CCCCCCCGTGGACGAATCGGCGGCCACGACGAAATTGGCCTGGCTCGGCCCCTGAAAGCTGAGTCTCTCTTTTACTCCGTCGCTTTCCCTTCGTTTTCTGCTTCTCCAGAATCTTCTCACCCTCTCTCACCCTCCCACGGGCATCACGACTCTTCCTTTGACCACCGCTTCACTCGTTCAGCGGGCACTCCTTTCGACAAGGAAAAATAAGATACAAACATATCAGAAGAACAAGACAGAACTTGGTATACAGTGTTCGCGAAAGTTTGGTTGCAATCGATCCCGACAGACAATGAAGGCCGCTTTCTGGACCGCCGCGGCCGCCCTCATGGGCTCGGCCATGGCTGCTGACCATCGTCACCATCATGAGCATGCTGCTTTGCACCGTCGCGCCGCTGCTGATGTTGCTGATAGCGAGGCTACTTGCGGTTGCTACACCAGTGTCGTGACCTACTGGGGCGCTCCTACCCGTGAGTCTTTGCCTATATGATGTTCAAGTCAAGATAGCGGGGAGAAGGCATCCATATTCCTTGGATGCAAGTCAATTTCAAGGGGAAAATGAAGAGAGCTAACCGATTAAACAGTTGTCTCAGTCTCTGCGACCCCCAGCCCTACTTCAACGTCTACTTCAACGTCTACGCCAACTCCCACTCCAACCACGACCTTGACTAGCACGACAACCATCCAGTCGACCAGCTACAGCACTGTCGTAGTCAAGGCATCTTCCTCTTCTTCGGCCTTGCCCTCTCCCTCTCCTTCAACCTCGTCTTCTTCATCCGCCACACCCCTGCCAGTGGACACCGTGACTGTTTTCCCTAGCCCAGGAACATACACTATTCCCGCCACCACTTTGACCGTGTCCTCATCGACAGTTGTTCCCCAGCCTACCACGACGTCGCTCACTAGCGGTACGCACACCATTGGTGGTGTGACAACTGTCGTCGAGACTTCGACTACCATTGTCTGCCCCTTTGCTACCGTCAGCCCCTCTGGTTCTACCGTCACTGATGTTATCATGACAACCACCTATATCTGCCCAACCCCAGGTACATACACCATTGCTCCAATCACTACCACTGTTCCCGAGAGCACCGTAGTTGTCTACCCAGTTCCCGCCACTGTGACCCCCGGAACCTACACCAAGTCAGAGCAGACCGTTACCGTCGCAGTGACTTCCTACACCTATTTCTGTCCTTTCGCCGATTCTTCCACCAGCTCAATTGTTGCTGCTGCTGCCCCCACGACTACCGCCTCCCCAGCTCCTGTCTCGACTACTAGTGCGGTAGTCTCGTCTTCTGCTTCATCCACCTCGTCCTTCTCATCCTCCTCATCTTCCTCGTCCAGCGCCCCTGCTGCTTCCTCTAGCTCCGCTGGAACTGGCTCCTCCTTGGGCAAAGTTAGCCCATACGCCGTTACCTACACTGGCTACAACCACGAGTCTGGATCCTGCATGACTGTCGATGAGGTCAAGACTGAACTTGAGAACATCCAGGTCAACGAATACTATGCTCTTCGCATGTACTCTACCGACTGCAACCAGATGGAGACGGTTGCTTCCCAGGCTATTTCAATGGGCCTTCGACTCATCCTTGGTGTTTACATTGGCAGCGGTGGTGTCAGCTCCGGCTCAAGCCAGGTTTCTGAAATCGTGAACTGGGGCAAGGCCAACAACTGGGAAGGTATCGAATTCATTCTCCTTGACAACGAGGCTGTCAGTGACGGATACTGCACTGCGTCTGAACTCGCCAGCTTCGTTACTTCCGCCAAGGAGACCATCAGTGCCGCTGGTTACACCGGCGAGTTCTCTATCGCTGAGCCTCTCGACATCTGGCAGAGCGACGCATCCACTCTTTGCAGCGTTGTCGACTTCCCTTCTGCTAACTTGCAGGCTTTCTTCAACAGCGACGTCGAGGCCTCGGAGGCTGGTTCGTTCGTTGCCAGTGAGGTTGAGATCCTCAAGACCCTCTGCCCTCAAACCGAGACCGTCTTTGTTAGCGAATCTGGCTGGCCCACCCAGGGTGAAACCAACGGAAAGGCCGTTCCAGGTGTCTCTGAGCAGAAGGCTGCTATTGACTCAATCCGCAGCGCACTTGGCAACATGACCGCTCAATTCTCGTACAAGAACGACGCATGGAAGAGCCCCGGCGACTTCGGTGTTGAACAGTACTGGGGTATCTACGACATGCTCAACGAGTCTGACTAAATGTTGCTGAACGGCTCAATCAGCCAAGTTATCCCATCAACTTCTAATAGTAACGCTTAGATTTGAAGATACGAAAAACAGACTGGGATTCCTTTTGCTTGATTCAGTAGGACGGCGTTAGCGAGAGTTTGTTTTGTTCTTTTTTTTTTTTTCCCCTTGTCATTTAAAATAGCCCACTCTTCTTTCCAACAAGAAACTCTTTACACCCTTCTTTTCCGATTTGTCGTTTTTTTTTTTTTTTCATTGGTAATATATATCTGTCATTCAATCTTGAACTCTCATTTCTTTCTGTTCTTCTAGTATATCCACTTCTCTGTATGTTATATAATATAGGAATCCGTAGGGGGAGATGCAACGAGTAGGCTTTTTTGAGTCAGAAATTAATTCGGTTCACAAATCATAACGCGGCATTTAAGAAGGATGATTGTTACTATATAGGCTACAGCAATTGTGAGTACGATGATGTTTCAATCAGATTGTGCCATTCGTCCATTCAAATTTGTTGTACCTTCCAATTACAAGCGTTGAGTTCATTAGAAAACTTGCGCAACCTTTTCGAAATGAGACGATATTCTGCTTATCTTTGCAATCGTCTTCGGCCAGGGAGACAGCTGTCTGGAATGCATTGCGTATCTGTCGGCCATTCCAAACGGAATTGTAATAATCATCACGGCTCTGGAGCTTGTATAGCTGTATGGCATGATCTTCCAGCTCGGTATTATTGAACCGGGCCTCAGGAACCTGTTCTGAGATTCTACTGCGGACTTCACCCAAGGGTGGATAGTATAGAGCCACGGAGATGCGAGATTTGAATGCTTCATCAAAGCGCCGATGACTTTGTTGGTTGTAAGAAATATGACCCCCTCCTAATACTCTAGCACACGTAGAAAAACTAAAAAAAAAAAAAAAAACACAAAAAAAAATGCTACTTAGCATTAAGACGATATAATGGCACGGGGAGGAGAAGGGAAGCAGTATTACCGGAAAGCAGCGCATTGCGTCGCAGGTTTTCCGGGGTTTCGCTCAGTCAAGAACATATCAGCTTCTTTGAGAATCAAAATGCAATCCCAAGTCCGTGCGATCTGTAAACAGTTTTTGAAGTTCTTTTCCACGTCCCGTGGGGAGAAACCCAAGTCTCCTTGAGGTTCCATGAGTAACTAACTACCCACCAAGTATTAGGTGACAATGCATACCACAGGGTATAGGTAGTAAAGGCTTATTGTAGTGTTGAGCAACCGGTTTCTATGATCAAAGGTTAGAATCAGGACACATAAAGTGCGACGTCTGGAGGAAGGCTTCTTACCAGCGGAAGATTTCTTTCCAACCCGCGATACACCGTGGAGGAGAATAGTCACGCCCTTGCCTAGAAACTCTCAATCAATGAATACTTTCCGACGCTTATTTACTCTTCCCATGCTTCCATATTTCGGTTAATGGGCTGAAGTCTCTGTTTTTTACTATCATCCTCATTGCAGCCAAGTTCCAGACATGCTAGTAGCAGAAGAAAGGTTAGCTTGTATCGAAATACAGTTGTTTATATGACCGGGACTGAAAGTATATCCTTATCTTCATCAGAAAGATAACTTTCGTGCCTTCCATCTCTGGTATTGTGTCTTTAACTTCAAAAACTGCTCTGCCATGCGAAAATCACAAGCCGTGTCATCAACCCCCTCGATGGTGTGACATTTGCAACATTCTTTTACTGAACCTTGGGAGACTTGATATATGCTGGCTGTATGCTGAAGCAAATCTCAAGTCAAACGACCTCAAATGAGCAATGTTTCATCCGAAAGTTGATCACCTAACAGTTCCTCTACATCTTCGCGCACGTAAAACCTTGTAAGCATCTCTATGTTCTGATCGTCCGTCCAGAGTGCATTACTCCATTGCTTATGGCACTGAGTCACTTGGAGCATGGTTGTCACTAATCTCGCTCTCTCTTGAAGTTTATCAATTCCTGTATAATTGATTAGCGAAGGAAAAAAAAAAGAAAAAGAAAAAAAGAAAAAAAAAAAGGCGTCTGGCTGACTGCCTTACCGCAGTCACAAATATTGCCTAGAGCAAATCGAACAGTCAGTAGTTTGTCCTGAATTTGAATCGTAAAGTCTTATATCTTACCGGCTGGTTCAAAGGCAAAGCGGTTTATTCGTACCAGCTCATCCATGTTAATTTTGGCGTGAAGTTCAAGGCCGGGGTTTTTAAGGAGAAATATATGTTTCATGACGGTAAAGTGAGGCTTGATCAATAGAGAAGGAGAGAGGACACTACCTTTGACAATGACATCCTCTGGTCCCTCCATATCCTCTTGCCAGTCATCATTTAGATCTGATGGGTCTTTCAAAGACATTAGTCGGAGCTGCTTGAGGTAGTACCACAGGCGTCTTGCTGGAAGTTGACAGAAAATATCCCTTAATTTTTCACGTATGTTCTCTCGCTTGCTTTCTTCCAGGCCTTGAGACCACACGTCAATCTTGATTCTCATATTAATCATTCTACGTGCCTGATCCACGTCCTTAAATATTGTCACCGCACTTCCACCTGTAGGCTCGCTGTCAATAATAAAGTTCGCTGGCTATCTGAAGTAAACTCACCTAGCTTCATGTACAGTTGCATATATTCAGTTGGCTGCTCTAACAGGTAATCTGCAAGTCTGCTAGCAGGAATCTCATAGGTTCTATCATCAATCGGCTCTGCACCATGACACTGATAAACCAGAGATTTATCAGAGCCCAACTTTCTCAGAATATTCTCAAATTTCAATAAATAGGATAAATTGGGGCCATTTTCTTAACAGCTAATAATCTTGAAACCTTCAGTAGCTGGTAATATCAGATAATATTCGATTGCAATCTTGAGAGCAGAGCGCGAGGTAAATGCTATGGATTGATAAGTATATGCGTTCTCCAGAAAAGTCGCATTAATTTTGTTGACGCGCTCTGTATTCAGTTTGAAAAAAGAAAAACAAAACCGATGATAGGCACGCCACGAACCATCCTCACCCTCTAATAACTCCATTCCGTGAGAAGTCAAGGATGAATACGAATTGCACAGTTTCTTAATAGGAAGATCCGCGAGTATGGAGTTCACAGTGATAGCATTAGCATGTGGACTTGTCGAAAGCTTGAACATATTCTCCCTCCATTTATTTGATTCTCTCATTCATATCTTCTTCAGGATCTGGAAGGATAAAGCTTCGGAGGACCATCACAAGCTTTGGGGATATTGGACTAAACCGTGAGAATTCGTCCACAAGCATCTCTTTTCTCCAGTTATTGGGTCTATTATATGGGTTTGTGGTCCTTCAAAGACGTTATAGCAGTTTTCGGTAAGGACAAACTCTCTGTCAGTATCGGACGGTGTGCAGAAGAAGAGATACATCCATTCTGTATGTATAATGAACTACATCGCATCATCAGGGTATATTTGGCTGGTTAGGTGTTGAACCCATATTCCAATAAGATCCATCTTCAACTCAAGGATTACCTTTATACTGTGGATCCACACATTAACGGGTTTCTGGAAGTCATGCTCGCGCATATACTTCAAAAATTTCTCTCTATTATCTTCAACGTAACCCTCCATATCGTCGTTGATAAAGCGCTTATAAAATTCTTTCCCCTAGTATTTCATGATGAAAAGAAATTTTCGTAAGACATTCCTTTCTTGTCGCGAAATCCACACGTCCTGGTTGCCGGAGTCGAAAGCTTTGCGTATTTTGGAGATAATCCTGGCAGCTTCTGACTCCAGCTTGCTAAGTTGGTTTTCAAGGAAATTCTGGTCTAAAGCTTTTGCAAAGTCCCAATACATATCCTTTAATCCAAACGTTCGGCGGATCGGCGACTCGGTCAGCTCTGGATTGTCACTGGAAAGGTCTAAGATGTGGAGCACTGGTTCGCCAGGACGCAAAACAGTATTCTTTTTTTTTTTTTTTTCACTATTACCACGATTAGAATTCCTCCTTGCGCGACCTCTCCCCTTGGTGGGGGGGGGGGGTAAGTATGTGCAAAATTTCGCAGGATGAATTGTGGGATGAAGTGGTGATATTGTGAACTTTCCGATGTTGACTGCGGCGCTGCCATGGACACTACTATGGATGATTTTCTGAGTGGAAATTTCCCTGCTAAGTTAGTACTAAGAGCTGCTAAAGTGCACACAGTATCGATGTGAAATAGATTTGTGATGAAAGGCACCAGACTGTGAAATTTGCGCGCTGATAATGTTGAGACTTGTCTGCCGTCCCTCAGGTAGGTGGTAATGTTGGCTATGTCTGTTAGCGGGGTGATTCCTGTCGCCTTAGGTAGCCATGCATGCAGTACAAGTAGCGAGATATGGAAGCGAAGATAGTCATCACCGTATTCAAGGCTTCGGTAGTCCTGCTAAAGATTATCTGTCGGAATTGACTGCCTTGCATTTCCTCGATGTTTCTTAATGAATTTCTGCACTGTTGAACTGTGTCCAGGAGACAAGGGCATCCTTGATAACGTTCATGGAGCATTCAGTGCGTTGAACAGTCTCGTAAAGCTTGTTCTGGAGGGAGGCATGGCTCTCGCACAGCCTGTCCACAAGTGACCAAATGATGCCGTAGATAACTTGCACGGCCAACAGCGTGATGCTTGTGTAGTCTGTCCACATTCTGTAGACTTAGTACAAGACATATGGGTAGTGAGTGATAAGTAGATGTCAGAATAGCTGGGGAGAGAGGTCAGAATGTTGCTTGTAAGGTAAATCGAAAAGAAAAGTATGGATGAGGAGGAGGAGGAGGAGGAAAGGAGTCAGAACGAGAGATTAAGCTCTTCTCAGGGAAGAGCAAAACATGCAAACATGCTGTGTTGGAGCTTTCTTTGTGTTCATGTTCCTGATATCCGCAATCGTAGTTAATACTTCATTTACAGTAAATACAAATGAAAAGCATAAGTAGTGAAGTATTCACAAAGAGCGTTGATGAGATATCATGCATCCCAAACAAAAGGAAAAAGTACTGACAAAGCCCACAATAGTCTACGATTACAGGCAGACATACCCAGTAAATGAGATATCATGCTTTGCATATAGATATACTGGCAGATAGTGATACTATCATTGTTTGTAATTTCGATGCAGTCAGAATCACCAAAATAGCGGTCGTAACCTTGATTCACCACGTTTAGGGAGTACTACATGCCGAATAGAGTAACAAACTGAGGCGTCAGGGATAGCTTTGACATGTGGTCCAATATTTCCACTCTTCCGCCAATTGCCTTGCGAGCAAGTAGAAGAACTTTTGTTGACCGACTTTGACTTTGTCCAGCTAGCTTTGACATGGTAGAGTACCAAGGCTTGTATGAAGCAACCCTTGCTATGTATCACCCCTAATGGAATATCTACATATCTAGGTACTACTGACTGGAATACAGCATTATAGCCTCACTTCGAAGCCAAAAAATGTACAGGAAGAAGCCTGGCACATTGAGCTAACCATGTTAAGTTTATTGTGTTTCTTGCAGATCAACCATTACTTTCTAATATATACGGCTTAAAGGAGTTCCGCCGTTGCTAGCCAACATACGTACCTAGGTAGTCAATACCACGCATGTAAAGCTATAAATGAGGCATCTACTACTCTAGAATCAACACATAGCGGGTTCAGGACAATCCAGAGCGTGAATGTTTAGGGTAAAGAAGCATGTGGTGATGCCAATCAAGCATGTATCAGCATGTACTTTACTAGTTTACCTATCTCAACCTAGATATATTTGACGTGTATACAATGCAAATATGCTTTCTCTTGATGTTTGACCAAAAGGTATTTTACTACTCAGTAGAATCCTATGAAAGGAAGGTTCGGTATACTAGTTACTTTGGGTACAATTGTATAAGAGCTCTGACTAAAGTATCTTCAGATAAGCAGATTATCTCTCGCCTCATCACTCAGTCCACTCAAAGTCCGGAAGTCTCGCTCGCGCCGACTAACAATGCATCTATCGTCATTCTCCAGTCCAGCCTCGCTGACCCATTCATGCGGCAAGTCAGAGTACCACTCCGGAGCGAGCTGTCCTCGGCGGTATTGCTGATGTCGTCGTCGTCTTTGTGACAAAGCAGAAGACGATCCATACCTTTGACCATACTGCATACGCTCAAACTTCATGAACCCACCAAACATTTCATCCGTATTAGCAACCCAAATCGAGCCACCGTCTGGTGTGTAATCGGCACCGCCAATCTCACCGAAAAAGTCGTGTACCTGTCTAGTTTCGTATGTCGTGGCATTAACAATAGAAATACGATCAGCGGGTTCGCTCATGAGTAGCGTGCGTGGGCCACCACCAATAGGCGAGAAACGCAGAGACCGGTATCCCGCGGTGTCCGAATCCATACTTTGAAGAATCCGCCACATCCGCACGTCCCAGATATTAACGGTTCGGTCTTGGTTACTAGTCGCTATGTGCAGCATATCCGGTGACCAGGCACACGCAAAGCCAAAGTCGCGATGTCCGCCGAGTTGCTGAAGTGTGCGCCCGCTATCAGCTTCAAGGACGTATGCCTCTGGTGAGTCCCCAACAACAAGGCGCATCCGGCCGTCTGCGGACGTCTCCGAGCAGTTCACGGGGATAAATAATTCGTGATCTGAGATGAATTGATGGCTTGCGCAGTCGAGAACACGGATATGTTGGTCATTCGAAGCAAATACGACCAAGGGCGACGAGTTTGTGCGACTTCGAATGATGTCTATGTTATTGGTGATCCCATTCAAGTTCGTTGTAACAAGCCCATATATGTTTTCTTCTCGACTCCCGTTGACATGCATACAGTACTCGCCCGTAAAGCCGCCAGCAACGGAAATGCCATGTTTAGATTGCATTGTGGAGATCTTCACTGGTCCTTGAAACCCGGTTTCTGGTGCCGGTCGAGAGAGATCCATGACGCATCTAACATGTTTGTAATCCGGTGTCCATGATAACAGTTTGGATTCCTGTGCAAATTGCAAAGTATTGAACGACGTAACCGCCATGAGATTCCGCAACTGGAAGTGTTCAACAGTAGCCCTAAAATCCGTGTATAGCGCTTTTTCGCGAAAATAGGGCTCCATTCTTGGCAATTTGCTTGGGCGCTTAACTCCAATATTAGCCAGGGTTAGGGGAGGTGGAACAACAAAGTACATACGTTATCATTTCTAAAATGCAGATTTGAATAGGGAGAATACCACGCATCGCGAAGAACACGAGCATCCGAACGGTGAACACCGAGATTCTCCTTCCACGGAATCTGCTGAATATCGTAGAATTCATAAGCGTCCATGTTCTGAGGGCGAATTACTTTATCTGGCCGAGGCCACTGCGATACATTTGCCGCTTCAAGTGACGGGCAAGGGAACTGGGGCGGCACATGTGCGCTGTTTGCGAGAGATGCTTGTAACCAGCGCTTTATAAATTGTTCAACTGTGAGATTCCGTTCTTGTGCTAAAATATCATGCATGTAAGCAGAGGGACGCAACGCCTATAAGATAAATGAAATCTCTAAAATTGTATACAACAAACTTACTTGCTTGCACAGGAATATCAAAATGCGTTTCGGCTAGATCGGGCTGCCCTGCATCCCAATAGCGATGGTAGCGATAGTCATAACGATTAATAGAAGCCAGCATCTGTCCAAGATGAGGGCGTCCATAATCACCGTCATTATCAGAATCGTCTGAAAAGCATTCGCTGTCTTCATCGTCACCGTCTATCAGTCTGCCACATGAATCTAATTCTGTGTAGAATTTACAGGTGTCGTCCGAATCACTGTCGTAACCTTCTTCATGCTCACTCTGAGATGAAACAGAACTCCACTCAAGCAAGTTGCACTGTGTATGTGCCTCGTTTTCTACGCCTGACATATGTTCAGAAGACCCAGCTAAGGGCCAATGAAAGGATGTAGAACCAGGCCCAGACTCTGAAGCCCGTTCATCACTTGAATAAGAGAGCGTCTCGTCACCGGAATAGGCGTGGCGATCAGAATATTCGACTTGCCTGTAACTACCTACAGGCGCAGTATCTCTGTCATCGATACGGACATTCGATCGATGGGAGAACAGGTCAGTTCGGCGCGAATCAACCGGTGTCTCAGTGCCGGACAAATGTATATAAGACGGTCTTTCCAGATCAGTCGTCGTTTGAGTAAATACCGGCGAGACCGTTACTCGCGATATGAAGCTCGGGGGTGACAGGATAGCAGTGCGGATGCTGTCAAACCCGGAACCTAGGGTTTCTTCCATGATGTCGGTTGTTAGTGGGTGACGCTAGCGCTCTGCCTTGGTCTCTAAGTATCCGTTCCGCCTGTAAGAAAAGCGATCCATTGCGCCCGATGATAATGTTGTAATATTATTGAGTATCCCGAGGGATCATGGAACCATCCAGGTCATACACGAGTTGGTATGCAGATGATGATACTATTAGTAACGGTACTATTTGTCTCTTTTCCTCGTGGATGATAGCAGTGCACGAGTCAGTGCCAAAGACGTCAACAAAGGAAAGAAACAAAAGTCGCAAAAAACAAATAAGCAGCCGCTGGTGAGTAGTGTCCAGCACTCGTTGAGACTGCCAATCAATGACAGAATGGATATCAAAACCGGACCGGTCCGCCAGTGACAGGTCAACACTTATTATTGACTTGTGTGCCTTGTTGGCAAGAGGAATAATCAAAGTGGCTGTCAGCCGTCAGCCCTACTCATCAATCAGCATTCAACATTCATCTCGACAAGATGAGGGGTTAGTGTTTGCGATCAGACTTCAGTCAGGCGGGCATGCAAGGTGAGGGGTTAAACACCGTCAGAACAGGCACGAGAAGCAAGAGAAGCAAGAGAAGCAAGAGAAGAAGACTATAGAGTGTTTCGGGCATTCAACTCAAGACAAGACGAAGCAAGATGGAACAAGCCTCTGCAAAGCACAGCAACAGCAAAGCGTTAAATAGACTGATAGTATAAGCAATGACCAACACCCAGCACACCGGAGAATATAGCTAGCTCTATGTCATAAGAGTATTGTGCGACAACTGCCCGCCTACTTGCTTGAATGTTGAACGACTGTATCAAACAATGTACATACCAACTGATGCTCACTTTCCTTCTCGGCTGATATTGAAATAATCGCAGTACAGCCCGCAGACAAACAGACGCAGGCAGACAGAGTCTTGTTTGCAACCGAGGGAGCGTGTAACGTGAATTGAGCTGCGGACTCGAGGGAGGAGGGGGAGGAGGAGGAATGCAGATGTAACATGCAATAAAAGAAAGAAAAATCCCTGAAGAAACTCTGGAGGTGAACTTGATCCGACCGGATGGGGTTAAGATTAGTCATGCTGTCTGGTACGGTAAGCATGTACCAAGATTACACTATTTGCCCGGTTTGTACAATAAAGTTACCGCACAGACGCGTATCGGCTGATACACGGCCGATCTCGATTATCGAAGAAGATAGCTACACAAAAAGCAAAGAAATAAAAGACAAAAGACAATCAATTGAAAACCGCTGAAGCAGATCCCAGGAAAACCTGACAGCGCAAAGTTCTAAACATCCCTGAACGTACATGTACATGTACATGACATGGCATGACTTGACATAGACTAGCCAAACACCCACAGGGCTGATATATTTTCCCACACAGGACGGGCCACGTACGTGCTTGCATCCACCCAGGAAGCATGTGGATGTATAACCTTTTTTTTAATTGATACTATGCAGGGATTTATTACCACTCATTGGCTTACTGTTCCATGTTATATTAGCTGATGCCCTGCAAGCGGCTGAAAGCAGAGAACTGGGCTCTATTCGTACATGCACGCATCTGTCGACATGCATCACTAGCACAGGTACTAACGACGACGACGACGTAAGCTACGTAGAGGAACGACACTGAGTAGCAAAGACGACGAATACGTATTTGGATCGGGCTCATGGTCGAAAAAAACGTAGACGTGCCTTCGATTACCGGCTCTCATGACTCACGAGTCAATGAGTTCGTTGATTTTCCTAGGGATTGGCAGTTAACTAGTCAGGCATGTAGCTAGTTGACTACAGAGTCGTCACAAAGGTTGACTCGTCACATTCTACGCTGGCATAAAAATCGATGGATTTTTGCTTGGCATCGATTGGGCTAGGTAGTATATTCATTTGCCTGGGAAATCGCAGCGCAGGAGAGCGAGGAAGGAAAAAATAATGCACCGAGGTAAATGAATAATGAATAATGAATACTTCTCAGGACAATGTGCAAGTTATTTATTACCATCATTTATCATGTAGCGCCGCCCCATGGTACAGTACAGTTCAGAGATTAAATATGCCAAGACTGTATATATGCGTATACTAATATCCTTATACGAGATCAGAAAAAGAAAGAAATGAAGCATGTTCCAGGATAGATACCACCCTAGTAATCAGAGTAAGTGTCATAACCGCCTGGGTAGGTGTATGCAGCCGCGGGCAAGCCGCCCGGTGGCAGTCCTTGTGCGTTGCTTATATTGAGTCGTCGTTCTATAAAGCAAATGTCAGTCATTAATCCTTCTGGGAAATAGGAAACAAAAAACAAAACAAAAAGGAGAGATGGATAGAATACCTTTCTCAAACTCGCGCCAGCGCTTCATCGTGATTTTACTGCTGTCAAATTCACCCTCGACATCTCCATGACCGCCCTTGCCCGTATCTCCAGCAGTCTTTCGCGTGTCACCCCAACTGAAATCGTCAAACTTCCAGAACGAGTACACCGGCAGCACAAAGTTCCATATCGGGATCGACGCCAGGTAGATAGCCATCCAGAGAACGTACACGAGTCGGTTGGCGGTCACAATGATAAGAACACCCGGCAAACCCCAAATAAGAGCCAGGAGCACCAACGGAATAATTTGTACCGGTTTGGAAACAATCGATTTGATAACAACGTAAAAGGTCAGACTGATGGCCACAGGCAAAACCAGTGAACCCATCAGATCGATAGAAACAACGAATTGCATACTGAAACAAAAAGTTCCGCACAAATCACGAACAAAGAGCAGCTCAAAATAATTGTGTACAGTACTGTTGATCCAACGACGACGCTGCGACAGCAGCACCATAAACTGGTCCGGCACTGTCGTTTTGCACACTGCCTGAGGAACAAAGACTTGCTTCCGTTTCGGGAATGTCTTCAGCATCAGAGTGGACAGGTAACGATCTTCACCTAGCAAGAGCAGATTCTTCTGGTGCAGTGTATCCACGACATTCTCGGAATAGTGCTCCACAACATCCGGGTTGGCTAAGATAGGCACCCAGTAGTTCTGGCCACCTTTGGGCGCTTTGATACGGTACATGGAGAAACATCCCGGGAGACAAGTGACACCACCAAAGATGGACTCGAAGGCCTTGAGCTGGTGGTGGGAAATGTAGTACTCAAAAACTTGGATCATAGTCACCCAGCTGTCGGTTTTATTGGCAATCTTTGTTTCACCGCATAATCCCATAATTTCCGGGTCCTTCACCATGGCCGAAACCATGTGCGAGAGACTGTCTGGGAACACCTTTGTATCGGCATCGACCATTAAAATGATTTCATAATAATCAGGCGAAATACCGGTAATATTCCAGAACCCGTTAAACATTTCAAACTCAAGCTCCGTCATTCGCTCGTCAAACATGACCTTTTGCAAAAAGGACATGAGGACAATCTGACTATCACGCTTGCCACGATTGCCAGGTTTGGACTGACTAGCCTCGGCGGGAGTTCCGCATTTGACCACAACAAGCATCGGCACTCGTTGCTGTTTTTCTGGTGGGACGATCGATGTTTCACCGTAGTCATAGAAGCCGGCATAGATCTTGGCCATGTTATGTCTCTTGGAACCAGAGGCAACAGCCACATACGAATGAGGTTTAACTTCTTCAGGCGGCACAGCAAAATCGCACATCATGCCCAACACATAATCAGGGGTGGATTTTTCCTCGCCCTTGCCTTTGATAATACCATCGCAGATGACAATGATAGTCTTGTGGCTGTTGGGGTAGTCGGTCAAAGCAACCGAGTCTAGAGTGGAACGAATACCTTCTTCACCTTCAGAGTAGCATGTTACCAGACAGAGACAATGCGCAAGAGGGAACCCAAACGGCTGCCATTCCGGTGGTGGCTGCGGGACGACATTTTCATGGATGAACCCCGCCGGTCCTTCACTAGAACCCACAACCGTTGAATGTCTCTGGTCATATTGTGAGATCATCAGGCTTGTTCGACTGTCACCGGCGGCAGCATTGTGACGCGAGATGGCGTCCATGCTCAAGGACCCATTGCTACTATTTCCACTTAGTTTGTACATCGAACTTGCTGTTGTGGCGGTGGGCACTAGACGAGAGGTGGAATTTTGGCTGGCCATAGTGAGAGGCTGAGTCCTCATCTTAGCACTATCACCACCCACCGCATAGGGGCTTGAAAAACGGGAGGTTGTGGGCAAGAAAGTTGCGCGCTTCCTGGTTGTTTTTTCAGGGACGGGCGGATCAGCAAGACGCGGTGCAGGACGATAGATATCGTCCGACCAGTCTTCAATTTGCTGAGCACGGGCCCGACGATCTGTCGGCATGGTTGACTTCGCGATATCGTACTTTTTGGATATGAACCAGTGGAAAAGGCAAGCCATAAAGAACCTCGCGAACACGACAGATAAGATGAAAATCAATGCGACGTAAAGAACGACCTGGGAGGCAATACAACCAACAGTCATTGTGTCTATGGTTCCAACTTTGATGACCTGGGACAGACACTTTGCGATACGCCTGTCCTCGGAAGATTGAAAAACGTATGTGAGGTCGACTCCCCGAACATCCGGATTTGTCCTCATCTCTGTGAACACATCAGGGTAGCTCACTTGAGAATCATTGAGCCAGGTGAGTAGATCAAGATCCAAGACGTTTCCCGAATACACAACAAGGTTACGGCTCTTATTTTTAATTCCATCCCAGGTATAATAGACGTCGCCGGAGCTTTTCAGACCGTAGAATGAATTCCGAGCATCGGATGAAAGGTGACACATATACCCAAGGTAAGGCGGGGTTGTTGTATTGACAGTAGAGGAGCCGTCTTGGTTATAAGCCTGGCATGGAAAGTACCAGGCAAGGTCTCCATTATCATTCGTAGGAATGTCAGAGCCCTCGGCGAGCGTGATAACGTCTTTGCACGCACCGTTAACATTCTGAAACATAAAACTGCCGTCTTGCCCGCCATATTTGTGTGGAAGATCGTACAAAACGTTGGAACCAGCAGGAATTCCATAAGCGGCGGGGTGCTCAGATCTAGACAAGTCGTAAGCTTCGCCATGAAAAATCATGTAACCGTTGTCGACAGAATTGGCTTTTAAGCGCACGGCCTGCGTGCCGCAAACCGCCGCAGTGAAGCCTAGGGTGATGAAACCAACAAAGGCACAGCACAGTGCAATTACACCGATCAAACCCATCTTCTCCCGCCATGCTCGACGCTGATCTGGCTTCCTCATACCAAGGCACATCAGGACTAGGTCGGGTGCCCAGAATGTGATCAACACACAGTATGCGTACCATGGGCTGGGAGGGGTAATTTGTTGGCGGGCCTTTTGCTGGCGCTTCTCCTCTGTTTCAATATCCTTTCGTGAGCTTCTCCGATAAAGTCTCCTTCTTTTGTGGCGTGAGCTTGGAGCCCGCTCGATCCGCTCCATAGGTTCATTCAAATTGCCGTCGAGGGGATACGCATAAGTTTTCGTGCGCGTCTTTACAGAGCTATCAGTGCTGCCAGTTTCCGTCTCGGCGGGGCCATCCAGGACCGGGTCATGACCAGTTGTTGATGGATACGTAGCCATGTTAGGATTCTGAGCATGCTGCTGGTAATGGTAATTAGGATGATCAGGCCCTATTTGGTTCCTTTCTGGGCGGACTAGTGTCCTTTTCCTGCTTAGATCAGTGGGAGAATCTTGTGATATCGATGCTCCTCGTCCTCGCGAAGATGAATGAGAAACATGCCTCCCATGTCCATGACGCCTTGGCGATGTAGGGGTGTATGGAGACGGAGCTACATCGGGGTAGGATCCGGACTCAAGGTCACGGCGACGTCGACGCGATGAGTCTCTGGGTCCCGACGACCGACTCTCCGGACGTCGCGAGGATGGAGTGCTGTCTGGCTTTCGAGGAAGCGACATTATGGGAAATTATCTGGGGGATCTATCCGATCAAGGGAATGTCAATTATAAGTGTCCACATTCCACGGTACGGGACGAGCACGTAAACTCACCACGTTTTGACCCGCCAAATTGCAGCCCCAGGGGAGTAATGACGACAGAAATAACAATGAGAGTTTGCCTGTTTTTCGCTCCAAATCAAAAGTCTTCAGGCGGTCGACATTTGGAAGGTTCAGTTCAGGGTGAGATGCTGATTTTCTGCACCGGGGTTGATTTCGATAATAATACACTGCCGGCGAATAAATAAGGAGTAGTCGAGTGTTTCGTTCAAACAAACGCCGAAGATGGCCGTGTGGGCTTTGAAGAAGCGCGCGGATTATGTCCGGCTGACCGTGATTATAAGCGAGAGAACGTCGGCTAATGGAGGCTTGCAAAGCGAAGGAGCAAATCAATAAACGGACACGACAAATATGTATGCTATGTATGCGTGTATGTACAGCAAGGAGGCTCAACGAGCGGGGAGCGGCCGCGATAAGGTAGACCTGCCCGCTCTCTCCTGATCTGTAAAGCGCAGCGGATGCGAGGAAGCGATTGATGGTAACAGTGTTGTCTTGCTGGGAAGGTGAGTGAGCGAGTGAAGCGATCGAAAAGAGAGAGGGAGAGAGGGAGGGAGAGTAGTATGCACCGCAGCGGAAGAAACAAATGGCAAGCGCAGCTCAGTGAGACAAAAGGGTCAGGGGCGGTCCACCAAATCACGGGACTGCGACCAGATAATCTTATATCAGACTTGATTTGACTACATAACTAAGTAGTTCTAGACAGGTACTATTCTAATCAGTTGGTATATTTTAATTACAAGGGCTCAGCCTGTTGCACCGTTGTAGCATCACGTTATCATCACATGTCCCAAGGCGATGGCGATGCAGAGTTTTCGCTTGGCCTCCTCTCGAAGACGAACGTCCAATTTCAAGAAAATTGTGAATGTTTATTGACCAAGCTGGCTGGCTGCCTTGGTTCTCAGGCCCGCAGCCAATCGCCTCGCGCAAAGATGGACTATTCGGCACTAGCCGGCCTGCCGTACGTTGATTGGCTGTAATTTATGGGACCGTGGACATTGGCCAGTGCTTCCATCGGGGGAGCCAATCAGAGGGGGCTCGCGGCGTCACGTTATTCGTGCTATTTTCGCGGTCCGAAAATAGCATATGCGTTGATTATTGGAATGATTATTGAACCGATTATTGGATGTGATGCTGGTATAGAGTATATATACTGTACAGAGCAGATCGGCCGGGACCTGAGTCCTGAAGCGACTGCCGCTTGTTCTCGTGTTCAAGTTCAAGGTTTTCTAGCTGCCAAGAAACATGGCCACAGATGAGGCTGACGAGAAATTGGATTTGACTTTGGCGTTTTTGAATATGAGAGCATTGCGGAGTACTCCGTATTATGTATCAAGAAGGCTAGCGTGGAGCATGAAATAATGTCCGATCCAAAATTGAAAATGCCCTGGCTGTTAAGGAGTCAATTGGCTGAGACGATGAGATTCACTAAGGAATCAAAGATCAATGATCATTCAGCAAATGCCAGATGAGGCAAGAGGAAAAAAAAAAAAAGAAAAAAGGCCTAAACTCTGAAGCATGCTCAGGCGAGGTGGGAAAACACTGTCTCAGACTAGTCCGTATCGGGGCTAGGCGGCTACCTTTGTCTCTTGGAGTCAGAGTCCGTAGGAGAATAACCAGCCAATAACCACAACTACCTAACGAGAAGCACTTCCTCTGCGGAATGAAGATTTCCTTTCGAACCAGCCCTGCGAACATGTTTTCTAATTATGCACCGGGGTGTGGTCTTTGGAACCCAGTGAGCGGACGGTTTGCAGGGCATTCCGGATAGGACTGGGCAAAAATCGAAAAATGGGCTGACTGAGTGAACCCTGATGATAACGTTAGGCCATCGCCCCACCAGACAGGTGCAAGTGGCAGGGTTGCACTTCTCTGCATGCATCGTGAAAGCCGGCATTGAAACCTGGCATGTTTTTGTGCTACCGATGATGATATCGAACTCTGGACAATGGCATTGACGTAGGATGATGGTTGACGAAGTCATTTTGCGCGATCGTCGTTTAATCAGAGTTGATCGGAATATAACTACTCCGTGCTCCAGAGCTTGGAGTCCTACTCGGTAAAGCCATCCCTTTTCTTGACTCGAAAGCGAAAGAGTTCGCTAAGCCAAGGTTATATCCATCAACAAACCCGCTCGGATCCCACGGTTCGACAAGCTCGAGTGGAGAACTGGTACGCACAGGAGCCAAACGAAGCAAAAGGAAAATACGCACACTGTCTTACGAGGCCCGCAATTCTGGTAGCTAGTGAGGTGCTTTCTTAATCGAGCACTGGGGCATACGGCAGTAGAGGCACGTCGTATTCGATGCAGACACCCCCGCCAATGGTCAGAGACACCTTGGCTGTTTTTCCCTGGCCGCCGACCGGTCTTTGGTATACGATTTGCATAGAATAGAAGCAGTGAGAGTGCGTTTGCAAAGCGAGCAACAAACTGAGACTGACGGGCTCCTTCATAAAATCCTAATGCCTGCATTGACAGACTTAATACACGGTAGCACTCAGCGCTTGCTACTTGAGTACGTAACGCCCAGTAATGCTACTGTAAAGTGCATTACTAGCACTACTATTGTTCGTCGCCATTTTAGTTAGTGAGTGGTTTATCGTTATTATTAATTGATTAGTTTGAGTAAACTGAGCGCGGGTGTGCTCTGAGCCTGAGGCTGCCTTAAAAAACGTTCTGGATAACTTACGTGCTTGGCCGCATCCGTCAGCCACGCTCGCTCTCGCGCTCGCTTTCTCCCTCTCTCGCTGCAACTGCAACCACCTTCCTTTCTGACAACAGCCCTTCGCTCGCTGGTGGTCGACTGCCACGGATCTTAACGTCCATTTCCATTCGCTTTCGACACTCGCTTCAGAGGGGAGGGAGCCTCTCTTTATTCGTTTCTTTCGGAGGTAGTCTCAGGTGAGACTTCCGCGCCTTCCACCACGCCCCTGTAGTCTTGTCCTCGCCATGTTCTTTATTCATGGAGAATGCACAGTGCCATGCTGATTCTACGACTCGCTCTCACAGGTTCCATTGTGACGATTCGAGACACCGACTGCCGCCGTTTTATTTGTCTGTACAGTATTGTTCAATCCTATATTCGATTGCTCGCCCGTTTCTCCCACTCCAACCGAGTTACAACGCCTCCTGTTTGTTGTATTTCTTTCATATAACGAGGGCATTTCTACACCCTGCTCAGCCCCGGGACTTCCGGGTCAGCCTTCCGAGTCCATGCTATAGCAACTTGTCGGTGCACGCAGCGAAGTTGAAAGAATCTGACGGAGCAGTGACTCGCATCCCAATTGCCTCCCACCTGGAGCAACATTGAAACGCAACGCAATGGCCAGCCCGGTCAACGATTACTTGGTTCGCCCTTCCTCGATTTCTCCTCCACCGCCTGTATATCTACGATCATCTCCCCCTCCCCAGTCAACAAATGCAGACAGCTCGCCCGATTCCATTATTTCCCCTTCAGCAGACCGACTTTCCTCGACGCCAATTCCCAGGAAGCTAGTTCCACCAGCTGCTCTAGCTATCAGCCCTGAACCACATATCCAGCCTTCTCCTCAATCACCCGTGCGAATCGATGCCTCGGTCTTTGATCCGCAGGCTTCCAGTGCTATGATTGAAGGCTCTGATGATTCTGCTCTCGCCCACTCGTTCAACTTAGACTTGTCGTTGTCGAATATGAAGATCTCGGAGCCAGATGACGCGGGTGCGTCTGCGTCTGCGTCAACACCGCACGTGGGCTCCATACCGCCGGAATACTCCCAACATGCAGCCGACCGCCATACGTCCGCCAGCACTGGTTCATGGTCGCTAGTAGGTGGCAATGAGAGAGATGACGGCTCGAAGCGACCGTCTACCGAACGTCCAGACTCGGCTTCGAGAGCCTATCATAATTCCAATTCGTCAGATGCTAGCTTATCGAGTTCACAGCAAATGGACTATCAGCCGCTGCAATATCACCATCGACCCTTTCGTGACTCACCAACCGGGCGCCGCTCGGGCTCATCATCTGCAGAAAACCTTCCGCATGGCAATCAACTACTCGCCCCAGCGAAGGGCATTTATGGTGCTGGGGTCTCGCGCCCATTGTCTGTCTACTCCTCCACATCTGATCTTCGAGCTCGCTCTCCAAACGGTTCTTTTATAAATCTACACGGCCGTCGTGCATCTGGCCACTCCCCTGATTCCCGTCCAAAGTCGACTTATGTAGAACTTCTGAGCACTCCATATCCCCAACAGGTACCGTCGCCAGCCGCAAAGAACAATGACCACCTGAGAACGCTGTTGGGGAATAATGTCTCGTTGTTAAGTCATAAACAAACATTCGAGATGTATCTTGCCAATGTCAAGAAGACTAACGACCCGGCCGTTCAATATGAGTTCGCTGTTTTCATGATCAGTGCCATTCAGGAAATGTACTCCAATGAGGATGACGAAGTGACATCGGTCTCGCTAAATAAGGAGAAGGAGAAAGCCGTAGCGCCAGACATCACGCGGTCTCGTTTATTGCTCGAGGCAAAAGCGATTTTGCAGAGGCTTTCGGATCGCAGCTATCCCTTTGCACAATATTATCTAGCAGATGGATTGTCATCCGGGCTCTTCAGTAAAGGGAAAGTAGATTATGAGCATGCACTGCCCCTTTTTGTGCAAGCTAGCAAGTATGGCCATGCAGAAGCGTCATACCGTGCTGGGTTGTGTAACGAATTTGGCTGGGGCTGCAGGGTGGACGCTGCCAAAGCTGCCAATTTCTACCGGGCGGCTGCGACCAAGAATCACCCCGGTGCCATGCTGCGACTCGGGCGAGCGTGTCTCACTAAGGATCTGGGTTTAGGAAACCGTTACCGAGAGGGGTTTAAGTGGATGAAGCTTGCTGTCGAGGCAGCCGATTTTCAATACAACGCAGCCCCTTATGAATTGGGCTTGTTACATGAAACTGGATTTGGAGATGACATTTTCAAGGACGAAGCATATGCCGCTCAGTTGTTTACGAAATCGGCCGATCTTGGCCACGCAGAAGCAAACTTTCGAATGGGAGAAGCATACGAGCACGGATATCTGAAATGCCCTCACGATCCGGCATTAAGCATTCATTTTTACACCGCGGCTGCCCAGCTGGAACATCCACAGGCTCAGATGGCATTGTGCGCGTGGTATCTGCTAGGCGCGGACCCTATCCTAGAAAGAGACGAAATGGAAGCGTACGAATGGGCCCGTAAGGCTGCCGAACAAGGTAAGGAATTTTCATCAAAACCGTATGAACTAGGGCCGAGGCTAACCAAATCATTGCAGGACTGGCCAAAGCTCAATATACCGTAGGGTTTTTTACGGAGAGTGGAATTGGATGTCGACGCGACCCTCTTGAAGCCAATGTTTGGTATGTGAAAGCCGCTGATCAAGGCGAGGAGCGGGCAAAACATAGGTTGGCAGCGATCCAGGCGGCTTCAGATGGAGCAAATCCCGTTTCGGCGGCGGCGAAATCCCGAAAGAAGAACAACGATAGACGGCCTTCCCAGGGAAAAAGTAAGTCTTCTAAACAATCGACGATGTTTTCTTGCGGCATTTTTAACCTGCATATAGAGGAAAAATCAAAATTCCTTGGCATATTCTAAGCCTCCTATGAACGATTTTCACCTGATCTGATACATGATTTCTAACTACAAAATCTGCCTTTCATTTGCTCGCCGTTTATATTGCATCTCATTTCTTGTGTGCGAGCGCCTTGCCAACAGCGAATTTTCAATACCAGCCGAAAAACCAGCTTTTCACCAATCCCTACTCTCTCATGCTTCACGCTCCCAGTTACATTGGACCATATCATTGGATTTTTTTTGGCCATTTTCTCCATAAAAATCCCATCCATCATCTCGGCTAAACAGCAGCTCGATCTGCCAAAGTTATACCAACGTCAAGTTTACGTTCACATTCACATACATCGCCCAACAAAACAACCATCATATACATATCGACGCCGCCCTTACCGGACCTAAGGGTTCATATCATTGTTAATGTCTTTTTTCCTCTGCTATTATCGTTGTTATTGATTTGACGAGGGAAAGGAAGGGCGTGTGAATAAAATGCATTTTAATATACGAACCCAGACTTGACCAACTTCATGATGAAAATTGATCAAGTCTCAGCATGTCTTGAATCCGATTCTATCTTTTCTCCGTTTCGTTGCGTTTTCAGGGGCGTTGTGAAGCATATAGGAGCTTTGTCCTGTCGATTTTGATTTGATTTTATTTTTTTTGCCTTCTTGCAATGAAATGCAATCCCCTCTTCCTGTCTCACGCATATAGCTACTATCAATCGGGTATATATAATAGTATAATATAAGCAGTTTCAAGCGTTTTCATACTGTTCTGGATCCAAGCACACCAATTTTCGTGTATCTTTATATCCGCTTATTACAGAAAGAGCAGCCCCGGAAAAAAGTCATCGTGATGTGTATGTGTGTGCGTATGTATGTAGTTTTAATATCCCCTCCGCCTCTGAAACAGATTAACCAATCTCCCCCCCTCCTGCAACCTCTCCAAATTAATCCTCAACACATCCAACGCTCGCTCAAAATACTCATCCCCCACCGAACTAACATGCGGACTAATCTGTATGCCCTCTACATCCCACAACGGATGCTCTTTTGGCAACGGTTCTGGATCCGTAACGTCTAGCGCCGCGCCGCGAATACTTTTGCTGCGCACCGCCTCAATGAGCGCGGAGGTGTTGACGATTGGGCCGCGGGATATGTTTGTTAGGAATCCTTTTCTTGCCGAAGAGGAAGGGAAGGAGGAGGAAGACCAAGCCTTGAATTCTTCGCGATCAAAGAGATTGGTTGTTGCTGGCGTCAGGGGCAAGGAGATTACCACATGGTCTGGTTTGGTTGTCGAGAGGAAATGCCGCAGCTCCTCTTTGCTGGTGCCATGGTGCCATTCCACTGGTATAATGCCGTCTGGGTCGCCTGTGCCGGGCACGATGTACCCGTTATCCTTGCGTGATTCAGCTGTGTTTTTGGCTGAGGCTGTGTAGGCGTAGACCTGGGCGCCTAGGGAGACGGCGATTCGGCCGACTGGATAGTAGTTACGAGTCGTTAGTAAGTCAAGCGAGACAAAACGGTCGTAAAGAGAGAGAAGGGAAGAGGGAAAGGAGAGTGAACAAACCCTGCCGTCCAATACTCCCATATCCCAAAATGGCAACTCTCTTCCCAACATGATCCGTCAGTCCGGAGGGGGCATACTGTCGCGCATTGATCCATTCATGTCTCTTCTGCCCTTCGTATAGAGCATGGTAGTTCCGCGATGAGACAAGCCAATTCAGCAGAATCCACTCGGAGATGGGCGGGCCATGGATTCCCGAGCTGGTGGTTAGCGGTAGATTGGTGCGTGTGATGTACGGCTCTTTGATTATTTGGTTTACGCCGGCGGAGAAGGTGTGGATGAGCTTGATGCTGGATATCAGTTAGTAGAGAGGGACAATGGCTTGGGGATATTGAGAGGCGTACTTTGGTATACTCTCAGGCAGAGGCAGGTATTTTGTGGTGTTTAATGCGATGACGGTCGCCTCAGCGAGTATATCTATGATATAGTCAATGTGAATGTCAACTAAACCTTCTCCGCAACTCTTTATTATATAATAGATTCTTACCCTTGGGCACCGTCTCCTCAAAAGGCTTGGTGATGTCCACCGTCAAACCTGTGATTTTAAGATTGGGAAACTGTCCACGTATCTTGTCCTGCCATGAGTCTGGCCAGTCAGTTGCTCGCAATATCAGGAGATGGTCCAGTTCGCTGTTGAAAAAGCCTGCTTCGCCCATTTTATCGGTCTATATAAGGAACTTAATGAGGTAGAAGCAAAAAGAAAGGGATCGGTGGATGAGAAGTTATAAGTAGTCGGTGCGGGGAATAGTGTGATATGATAAGCTGCAAGTATGTAGATAAAGCAAGGCCATTGGCTGCTGAAGCTGTGACTTCAGTTGAGCATTGTGCAATAATTACTGCGCACAGAACTGCATAATTTTCGACATCGACATCGCGAGAGAGTTAGAAGTGCTTCTCAAATATTCAAATTGTGGCAAGTCATGTGATTTCAGAGCGCCTTCCCGATTAGGCAACTGGCTGGTCGTTGCTTCCTGAGGCACAATTGGAAACGCAATGGGAAGTTCCGTTTGTTCTTCTTGCTCCTTTATAACACGTCAATCTTCAACCTCTTCACTCTTGCCATATTCATGCTCAATTCATCGTTTTGATGAAGAAGAAAGGCATGGCAACTATGGCCATGAATTCAACTTTTATCCCTGCTGAGCTCCAGCACCTTCTCCCTCTTGACAATGAAATGTCCTTTCTGCTGGGAGTCTTGAGTCTGTTGGGTACGGGCAATGAGGACTTTGTGTATCCTGAGTTTTTCGAAGTGCTCTCCCAGCAAAACCCCAATGACATGAAGCCATGCCGGGATGGCAAGAAGTAAGTTCACCTCATTCAATTTGACCGCCTAAGTACTACTGGCAATCTACTAAATGTTTCAAGATTGGAGGGCACTTATCCAGGTCTCGTGCAGCGACAAGTTTTACAGCCGTGGACCAACGCAGAAACTCTCATAGCCTACTACCCACGGTTCGATCGGTCCGGTTTTCTGCACTGTTTGAGTCTCGAGCAGAAGACGAAGGCATTTGCAGCGGCAGCTAGATTGTTTCGAAAGTTCTTCCCTGAACAGCATGGTGAGACTAGCATGTATCTGCAATGGCTCACTTGCAAAAAGTATGCAGGCCATGTTCTCGCCTTGGCTGCGCACTGGGGCAACTTCGATAGCGACAATGAGACCCTACGAGTACCAGTAGACTTTGTCTACATACTACGGCACTGTGCAGGGTAAGTTCTGTTGCTGTCTTGTTGTACACCGCTTATACTGTGGTAGATACTTTCGTGAAATCAATCTTCGGGCCAATGCTATTTCCATGGTCGACATCGGCTTGATAATTATGAGTACTCAGGACTTTTCTTCATCACAGGAATCCAAATCGGATCTTGAATTGTTGAATGCTGATTTGCTGAGTATCCAAGCTTCTGTTGCTATCCAGCTCGGTGATCATGCCACAGCAGCAGTAGCCAATTCACTGTGTCTCGAACTTCGGAAAGCCAAAGACGCAGGAAGATACTACAAGACGTATCTGCTAGACCAAACTTCAATAAACTTGGCGTCATTTGGCGCTGCAACGGGTGAATACGAAGACGCTCTGGATTTGTGCAATCTGGTTATAGCACAGGCCCGCCAGCATGGAGCTGGATCCCCTGAAGCTAGAGACGTGGAAATGCATGCAGCGACTATGGCGGGCAAAATTCACATCTTACTGAATGAGTTTGACAAAGCAGATGACATGCTCGTTTTTGCGAGTCTCATCTTCAATCCTACCTCTGATAGTCCCGTTTTCAAGCGAGCTGTTGAGCAAGCGCGTGGGACTTTGCGTTATGCGCAAGGAGATTTCGTCCAGGCTAGAGACCATTTTACCAATTCGATGCTTCCCCTACAGTATGGGAAAGTGATGCACTCGGGGCTGCCGGACCAGGAGCGCACCATCAGCATCTACTACAAATTAGCCGTAATAGACGTGCAGGAAGGAAAAGCCAGAGGCGCTGCGTGAGTACAAGCTCAGGTCCATTCAAGTCCTTATTGTGTGATTGTTTTCTTACTAACTTTGCTTACACCAAACCTTTGTGTTTACGTAGAATGAAAATTCGCCTCGCCTTGAAGATGTGCATGGGCCCACCCTACTTTAACGTATGGTATGGCCTATTCCACTTGCTCTGGGCACGAGTCCTGAGAAAGTTCCACGAGTTTGCAGCTTGTTCGGCACGCACGGAGAAGGACTTCCCGGAAGATCATGACAGAGAAGCAGAAAAAGTGAAGACCGATTTGGAATCGATGGGATGCCAGAGCGCTACAGAGGAGCAGTTCTTTCAGTTCATTCCATGGGATCTGCGATGATCTCAACATTGTTCCAGATCCCCAGAATTGCCTGCCATGGTAATCCACGAAATTGAGATCCAAAATTTATGCTATTTCCTGCCTTTTAGTTTAAAAATACACTATTCTAGGTTACCCTACATTCCAGCTTTAATCCTGTCCCGAACAACAGATAAAGGCACATCTTCTTCATCGTAGAATTCAACGTCTTCATCAACACCAAAATCATTGAGCCTCTCCCCCTCTTCATTCCTCCAGGCTTCTTCACCTTCATCAATATCAATATTGCGATTTGATTCACGCACTTCATGCACCCATTCTTCTTCTTCTTCTTCTTCTTCTGCAACATCTGCACCATTTTCTTCCTTTTCCTCTTCTCCTTCTAAGTCAGCATATATCTGCGATTGCCCATTAGAACGTTTATCTTCCTTGAAGCGTTCATGAAACTTTTTGCGCCGCCGAATATTATTAATATCGACCCCTTGGCGTGCCAAATCTTGCTCCTGCCGTTGCCTGAAAGCTGCAATTTCGTCGGCAGCAGAGTCGAAATGAGGAACACTGAATGGGTCACCTTCCACGACCGGGCGTGGCCTTCGCGGAATGCGATCTGGATCTGGTGGTGGCCAGGACACATTTGGATCTGGGAAACAATAAGATCAGCATTGAAAATATATTGGATTGTTCAACCGGTTGATTCTATTCACCTTCGAAGCCATTAACTTCAAAGTCCAAACCAGATTTTCGATCAGGTGTTGCCGCAAAGGGCCAAAACCAGCTGATAACCTAGATCAATCAAATATTAGATAGATCCCTTCAACGTCGAAAATACCCATGAAAAAAAAAAGAAACCATACATTCCAACTACCGCCCATCCCGGCTTTAATATTGCTAAAAATCCCAATATCATAGGGAAACTCCTGCTTTTTGATCCTGATTTTCAAGCCATCAGGCCCATCAAGATAACCGCCAAAGTGGCGCGCTCGTCGGAGAAGCGTTTTGTGGCGCTCGATCTCCCACGACTCGATTGTGCTGACGTTCGAGCCTAGAGACCAAAGACTTCGGAGTAGGAGGACCACAAGGGCAAATAATGTCATGCTATTGACGACTATAAGGATGAAGAAGTGACATAGCGCTGGTACGCTGGGGCCAAGGTACTGTTTTTATTATCATTATTTATAAATGTCAGCCACTTTTCCTCCACCCTTGGATGGATTTCGGTTTTCTCACACTAGGCAAGTTCCTGTTATCCCACAGAACATCAATTCTTGTTAAGATAAAAGATTCAAGATAGATCATGGAAGTAACGGCATAAAATAGGAAACGCATAAAGTGCGGGAATGTGAAATGAGACACGCAGTTGCGTGTCCAAGGGCAATGGTGATCCATTTTCGGTATACAACTATAGCTTCAATTAGCTATGTATCATAGAAAATAAAATTGCCACGAGATACACATGTCATTACCGTTGACAGGTCTTGCAATGATGTGCTCTCGGCGGCTTGAACGCGGCGCACTTCCTGCACCATCGTTGCCGAACCGAAACATCAGCGTCTCCCTTACTTTTGCCGTCTTTATCCTTTGCCACAGAAGACGACTTTGGCGACCAATCTTTCGGCAAGCGGCCAGGATCGACAGTGCAGGCACGGTAATAGCTGATCCATATACAAGCGACCAGGGTGTTGAACTTCCATGTCTCAGCCTTGCTGAGCGGTCCTGGTTCGAGGAACAGGAAGAGAAACTGAGATGAATATGCAAGAAAACTTATGAGAGCGGTGACGGCGGGAATCGCCAAAGCCCCGAAATTAAGCGATTCGCCTGCCATGGTGGAGGGAATCAACAGTCGCTGTGCATGTTCAGGAGGCGTTGTCGTTGAGGCGGATCACAAATCATTTCTCGCGGTCCCGGCTAGCTACGGCCTGGGTGCCTGATCTACAAGGCAGAAATTCCTCCAGGGCCATTGACACGGCGGTTTTGGTGTGCTTGGCCTAACTGTCAGCTTGGACATGTTTTTATTTTAACCATGCCCACGATCATGTTAGTCCAAGATGGTCACATGAATCAAGCAGTATTTCCACGATGCGTGAAGTCGATCACATGACTTCGCGTGTCGGTCGCGGTCACGGGACGCTCTTTCCATTCCTGACTTTGAAGTCTTGATTTACAACTTCCAACGTCAGGCCTGGGCAAGGGCAGACAGCCTTCAAAATGCCAATTGCAGCACTGCCACCATCAACCGCGCAGGCAATTGGCTCGTCGTCAATTCTGCCCGACCCTTGCAGTGCCGTCAAGGAACTAGTAGACAACGGGCTGGACGCAGGCGCAACATCTATCTCCGTGGAGATCTCTCAGAACACGCTTGACGTGATAACAGTCAAAGACAATGGCCACGGCATCGCGCCGGCAGACTTCGACCATGTGTGCAAACGGGCATACACGAGCAAAATCCAGACGCTGGATGATTTGAGGAACCTCGGTGGCCAGTCGTTGGGATTTCGCGGTGTGGCTCTTGCAAGCGCCGCCGACATGGCTGATAATCTCACCGTCACAACGAGAACGAAGCGCGAAATCGTAGCTTCAGTGTTGAAGTATGATAGAAGGGGCCAGCTGGTCAGGTAATGAGACGAACTTCTATAAGAAAATTTGTTAAATTGATATTGATAATGGCAGTACCGAAAAAGCATCTCATGCTGTCGGGACTACTGTATGTTTGACGGGTTTTTTGAAGAATGTCCCTGTTAGGCGCCAGACTGCAGTCAAGAATGCTTCTAAAACCATTACCAAGCTAAAGAAACTTCTTCAAGCCTATGCAATCGCGAGGCCGGTCACGCGTTTGTCTTTCAAAGTCCTACACAGCAAGAATGAGAAGGATAACTGGACTTACGCACCATCATCAACTGCAAACGTCACTGATGCATCTCGCAAAGTAGTCGGCGTCGAAATCGCCGGGCAATGTATTTGCAAATCCTGGCCTGAGGATATTGATGAAGAATCCAATGCGTCAATAAAGCTATTCGCTTACCTCCCAAAAGCAGATGCTGGTAGGTCCTTTCTCTCCGGAGTGGTCAATCAACATCTAAAAGAACACAGAGTTTTCCAAGATCGGCACTTCTGGTCAATATATCTCCGTTGATGGCCGTCCTCTCTCTTCTATGAGAGGCACGTCTAAGGAGGTTGTCCGATTATATAAGTCTCACATTCGTTCCGCGGCGAAGACGAGAGGGATTACATCGCTATCAGAACCATTTCTCTGTTTGCACCTCTCGTGTCCGAGAGGTTCTTATGATGCAAATGTAGAGCCTGCAAAGGACGATGTTCTATTTGCAGAACGAGACGAACTTCTAAAACTGTCGGGGGAATTTTTCAAATCAATTTATGGTGAGCTTGACAGAAATCCAGAAGTTACAGAAAAACCCTCAGCTCCTGTCAATGGGTTCAATCTTCTCTTACGTCAACCTGCTGCACAAGAACCGATTTCACCCCCATCCACTAATCATGTTCCTACTGTCATAAATAATCCAAGACCTACTGATGAGATACCACAAACGAACTTGCAAATTTCTACTCCAAGCGAGGACGTATTATCGGACGTTGGAAATGACGAAACTTTATCACATGACAATAGCCTGAATCCTTGGTCTATCACCAAGACGAATTTCTTCAATAGGTTGCCACAGTCGAGCAGAGCAGATCAATTTGTTACACCAACTAGGCAAAGTTCGGGAAGACAAACAGCTGGAAAACATGCAGAAGCCATCCAATCCAGTCACTCTGAAATTTCAAGCCCGCATTCTCAATTGTCTTCAGCAGAAGTTAGCCATTCGTTGCCTCAAAGATCCAGTTCGACCTCTGTTAGAGAATTCCGCAGTTCCAAAGGCTTTCCAGAGGCGAGAAGACGTGATAGAGAAAGACATGGAAATGGATCTCTTGAAGCATGGTTCATGAATAATAACGGACCCACGCTACGTATAGAGCAAGCATCTGATCTTATAGAAACGGAGAGCGTTATGCTTGATGATTTTGACACCGACGACCTCATCGAGTATTCCCCAGGAATCGTCAGCAAACCCTTTAGAATTCCACTACCACACGAGAAACGTGACTTTACAAATCGTTCACGACGGCCTCTTCACTCTCCCGATATTGAATCACTTGGTGTTTCATCACCGGAAAGAGGACAAAGTTCTCCAGTCATGGAAGAAAGGGCATCAAGTCTTCACAGAGCTTCAGAGATATCCAACAGCCAAGAAACGGAGAGAGCACTCGATTTTGAGCGCAGGAAACGCGAGGCTAACATCGCCCATCGACAGCAACTACAAGACCGGCAGCGGTATTTAAATACACCAGCGAGCAGCCAATCTACCTCAAACTCTCCACATCATAACCGGTATTTGGCGGCCAAAGCAGCTCTTTCTCAGCATAACCAACAAAACCAACCGGTGTTAGTACATCGGCAGAAGGGGGTATTTTATTCGACCGACCGAGTTCAAGAGATTGACCCTCGCGTATATCTGATGCGCCATCAAGCCGAACACCAAAAGGAATCTTTCATACCACAAGCGAATAATGTAACAAGGCCAGCTACAGAAAGAATACCGACAAACCGTTTACCACTAGAGAAGATCCCCCATGGTTTCGGTGTCCACAATCTCGGTCTAACTCTCGATATACCTCGTGATACGAGAGATCTAGCTAAGCAATGCAAGCATATGGTAGATGTTGACTTCTATGTTTCGGGAAGAGAGGCAGAAGATATAGACGTGGACTTTCACTCATTCAACCCGCTTCATAATCCTCATCTCCCGGAGATATGCAAGGTGTGGGAAACCAAACTAGCGAATCTCATCAAGGGCCAATATCGTCCGAAAGATGTCGATTTGTGTAGTGCTTCTGGTGGATCTGACGACGCGCTACTCGAGAATCTCGATATTTTCGCTGCTATCAATTCAATGAATGCAGAAAACTGATCTTCATTATAATTATAGTTGATCTATTACATGAGATCGATCCGTGTTTGAACTCGAAGTGTCTTAACTGCTAGATCTCTCGATTATGAAATATTTAGCATTCATCTAAGCTGCAGCTTTCTGAGCTGAGGGACACTTATTTGATGATCGTTGTTGAATGGGTAATGGATTACTAAACAGATATGGGTTATTGTGTATTATTAGGCTTTTCACATTGAAGTCCATACGACCAATATGATATTAAAATTGCATAAATTCCAAAGAGTGAGCTAAGAAATTAAACTCCATAAATAGATACAAACAATCGCTCTATAATCGCAGTCATGACCGTTCGTATATACAAACATAAGTTATTAGAAATATCCCATAGAGAATTGAACGTATACTAGGTAAATTAGAAAGGTGATACTCTCAGCCGTTGGAAAGTGAGATGCCAACAATCAGTTAGATCAAGTCCCATCTAACCCAATTCAACAGTAATCGCAATCGCTATTGCGAGCAGCGCTAATATAGCCTATATCCAATCCATTCAGTTAGTGTATACAGAAGAATATAGAGAGAACTAATACATGGGAAAATAAAGAAAGTGAGAGGGAGAAAACGCACCAAAAAAGTCAACAAACCGACACAATTCACCTCCCAGCCCCCAGAGACAATCTTCCCCCTGGCAATCGCATTCTGCTGTCTCCAAAACCGGTATGCGCCCACAAGCGCCACGAGGATTGCGCACACCTGATATGCAACGCTTATGGGAACACCGACAGAGTGGAAACTGAGATGCGCAGGATGGTTGCTGCTCTGGCTTTGGGACCTCAGACGAAAGATTTGTGCGACAAGAACCCCTTGCATAGAGAAAGTGGCTGCTGTGCGCATGTAAGCTAGGAATGTTCTTTCCAGGGCTAGAAGATCATACATATTGTTAATCAGTTCGTATTAACCCGAAAAATTTGTGAGGGAAAATGGGAGATATACCGAAATAGTCCCTATTCCCCTTCTGAGGAACGTTTAAAGTGACATGCCGTGCCCAAAACCGTCTCAGCGCTTGAAAATGCTGTTTCGTTGTACTACTAGCAGACGAAGCGGCAATACTGCGGGCCTCGTGGACACTCTGTCGCGGCGTAGAGCGGTATTCGTCGGATGATATGGATGCTGTGGAGGGGGTACTAGGACTGATGATTTCGTCGAGCTCGGTAGCTTCGCGCGGACGACTGGAGTTGCTTACGGTGCGCGAGAGCACGGGTCCTCTTCTTCTGTGTTGTTGTTGTTGCTGCTGCTGTTGGTCCTCGTGAAATGGACCTGACGGTGAGTCGTCGCGGTCAACGCCAATAGGTGTGTGAGGGAGAGGGTCATTATCGCGATCTGCGACTGCGACTGCGTCTGCCATTGAGCGTTATCTCGACCTCGTCGAATGGACGATGAATCCGTGCTGCTGTGCTATATGATGTGTCGCATTGCATTGCCTTCAACTTTTCACTTTCCGTCCGAACTCTCCGTTCCGCTGCTAGATAATCTGTCCGATTGTCTTCTATGTATCTGTTGTCTGTCTGTCGGTACCATCGAAATGACGCATTCAAGCTTTCAGGCTCCAAGGCATTCAATCCACCTGGCAGCCAATGAGAAGAGCCCCACGTTTCTAAGACTCCGCCGCACGTTCTCCATATTTTCCGCTGGCAGTGCTCCAATCAGAGCTGAGCAAAAGTATGGTGCGAAATGCGTTGATTGACGCAGAATACACATTTTATCCAGCTCGATAGGAAGATAAGTGAAGCTGTCAGGGCAAAATGCACCTCAGCCCTACCGCCGAGGAGGCTAAGAAGCTAAGATCGATCAAGCACATTGATCTGGCCCAATTGACCAATGGCACTGCTTTGCCGCTATGGCGACATCGTTGGCCAATTGACACGCGCTGCTCACGTGATATCTATCTATCTATGTGGATATACAGGTGTACTTTTCAAGGCTGTAGATTCAATTGTCTTGTTTTCATTCTTGCACCTCTTTACTCTTGCAGATGAATGCATGCGCTGCTTGCTATAGGTATAGTTGGTATCAAAACATTAAATCAAACCAAAACAATGACAATGAAACTGTGAAAGGACCATCGTGAAGTCATGGAAACAACAGAAACAAATAATCAGTCACATTGCAACAATCCCACGAATATCAGAAACGAAAACACAAAAACTCCTATGCATTCCATTACTCCCTTTCTAAGCCTCGCATATTCGACATCGCTTTTTGACCTGCCGTTTGTTGTTGTTGTTGTTGTTGTTGATGATGATGATCATACCGCCTCTGGGTAGATGCTGTAGGAGGAGGGTCTCGCTCAGATACATCAACACCATTATTGGCTGTATTCGGAGCCATGCAGATATATTCGCCATCTCCGCCTTGAGCACCGACGGTCACCCAAACATACTTTCCGACTCCGCTTGATGGACGTTCCTGCGGGCCATCCCAGAAGATCTCAGTGGGCTGAACATTGGAACCGGTTGTTGTGGGAGAAGATGCCGATGGTCTGCCTCCTAGTCGTCCATAGTAGATCCAGGTGCTGAGGACTTCCTTGATAAATTTCATTTTGCGTATGAAGCAATTTGCCTGTAGCACGTCTCGTAATCGGTCATCACCGCCATGCTCCGCCGAGCCGCTGGCGATAGCTATGAAAGTGGCCCCCTCATCGGAGGCAACGGCGCGAGTGTCAAACCCGGACGGGTGCATCTTGCCTTTGGTGGCTAGATACCGTGCGGCAGAAGGCGATAGGTGATAGAAGTCAATCCATGGTGATGAGCCTCGGCTCTTGCCATGTGAAATCACAAGCTTGGTGTGGTCAGGGAAATTGAACTAAATATTGTTAGTTACAAGATACACGAAGATATAAAGCATAATATACCTGGAAAGCTCCATCGCCAAACCCCCAGACGCCAACATTACCCAGTCGCTGGTAGAATTTAATGCAGGCATCCGATTCCCTTGCATCGTCATTGTTGGAATCATCTAGACCGTGCCTACCCAAGGATCCAATCATATATTTCCCGAATTGATCCACGAGTTTGACCCTTTTCACCTTCTCTGCTTCTGACTTGGCTTGGTCTGCTCCAATATCGGTTCTGACTTTGATCCCCATAGCTCCTGTTCCCGCACTGGACATCTTAACCTCAAAAACGTCTGGCTGGATGAGAATACGCTTCATTCCACGAGCCTCTGCCGGGCCCTGCTCTGTATTCTCGTAGAACTCAACGGGCTTCCCATTGCGCGGCACAAGCTGATCCACCTCCGAGTAGGCATATTGGGCTACGTTCCGGTTCTCTAGGCACCGAGACTTACGACGAATATGCCTCTCTCCATCTCGTAATATGATACCACTGGCCGCCTGCCCGTGTTCTCCTTTGAAAACACAACCAACTGTGCCATCGTCCAATATGTAGCCGATTCCATAGCGGTTTGTATAATCAACCCATTTGATGACATACGGGTGCGGGCGGCGCTTAGAGTGGGACCGATATGTACGAGATGATGATGGCATCATATTCCGAAGCATAAGCTTGATATCAACAACGACGTCTTCTGCTGAAGAGCGAGGGAGTAAGTCAAACTTTTCATTCGGATGTATAAGCGGACTGGCGCCAAGTGTTGATCGTGGCTTGCTTGAGGATGTACTAGATTTGCTCGACTGTCGCTCGTGACTTTGCGTATCTCCCGCTGTTGGTACTTGCGAGGTTTTGTATATCTTCTTCTCCATTGGAACTTCCTTTCGGCTTTCTGGTTGCTCTGAGCCCGGCGCTCGCGCAACCCGAGGTCTAGACGACTTTGAACGAGGTTCTTCCATCTGTGGTGTAGTAGAGCGCACTTCATCGTTTGTAAATTGTGGCTTCACAGATGCATCCATAGCAGCTTCATACTGGCGACGCGACTGGGATCGTGTCTTGCCCATAGCAAGACCGTCAGGTACACTTTCGGACTTGGGCATTGGTGGAGCAACGATTCTGTCAAGCTCGCGTAGTGAAGCTGAGTATGACGCAGCAACTCCCCTAGGAACGCGAACGGGTCTTTGAGCCAGCCCTTTTGGAGGAGACTCAGGAACGTTATCATGAGATGTAGACAGGTTCCTCCTGGCATGCGTTGCAGTTACGGTAGGGGCTCTCATAGGGCCGGCATTCCTGCTCGATTGGCGAATAGGCAATGCTTGTTGACGAAGCGAGGCTGCATGGCTCTGTGGTTTCGAATCGATCCGTCGAGATTGCGCTGCAGCCAGTGCAGCTTGTGTTCTCGCAAGCGACATTCCATTCGTCCTCTTCGGAGATTCTACCTGAGTAATCTTTTCGCTGCTATCATCAGAGCTGGTTGATTCATTAAACTCGTTAATTGAAGGAGCTACATTGTCGGGTACGCTCCAGTCCCCATCGGTATACGCTGGGTATTGGTAAACAACGTCTGCCGGCAATGGGATAATTGGCGAAAGCATCTTCTCCGTCTCTGCAGATGTTTCTGAAAAAACACTTTTAGAGGAGTGTTTGCCGCTACATTTGCGCGGGGTTCCATCTCGTTTGCGACCAACTCCGCACTCACTGTAAAAGGCTTCCCTAGAAAGTGCATACCTTTCTCGGGGATCTTTAATCTGTGTTATCATGCCGCGGTATTTGCTCTCGTAATCCAAGCCATATCCCTGTATCATTCGATCACCTTGAGGCTCTTCCATTTTCAACCATACCGGCTTCATCTGCTTACATGAAGGGTCCAATGATCTAGGAATGCAGCCTGGATACATATTAAAAAACTCGTGTTCCACAATATCGTCTGGCAAGGGCCGCTTCTCCTCATCCAGATTCAAGCAAGAGCTCACAAGGCTCTTTGCCTCCACCGGAATGTAGTTTGAGCACTCGCTATCCTTCGGCCACACGTAGTTCAAATTCTTGACCTTTTTATAGATCTCCTCTTGGGTCTTAGATTGGAATGGAGGGAACCCAGAAAGCATTGCAAAGCTGTGAAATGTCAGGACACTTTTCCGTATGCCAAGTTTATTCGAGCAGTGAATTACCAGATGACTCCCAGTGACCATATATCTACCTTCTGATTATGCCCGCCTTTGCTTCTATCAATGACTTCTGGCGCGATATAATTTGGAGTACCGCAGAGAGTTTGTCGCCGCTTTGCTTCCTTTTCGGACAAGATCATCGCTGCCAGTCCGAAATCTCCGACTTTGATATCCATGTTCCGATCTAAAAACAAGTTACCCATCTTGAGATCCCGATGAGCCACATTTCGCTTATGTAGGTATTTCACCGCGCCGCAAAGTTGCACCATGAAGCGTCGCACCTCCGGCAAGGTAAGGCATTTTCGTTTTCGAACCATATCCATCACTGAGCCATTGGAGCAGAGGTCAAGGATCACGTAGGTACATTGGTGGAAAGCGAATGCTCGGTGGAAACGAACAATGTGTGGATGTCGCAATTTGGAGTGAATCTCAAGCTCCGTCCGAAACTAATCTTCCACTGTCAGCCTTTCTTCCTCTCTCTCTCTCTCTCTCAGTAATAACTCTTCAATGTCACCTTTTCAGCCATTTTTTTCTGGGTCATTTCTGATCGGACGACTTTCATCGCAAATACCCGGCCATTACGCACGAGTTGTCCTTCGTAGCAGACTGCAAATCCTCCCTTCCCAAGAAAGAGCCCTGTTGAATATTCCTCCCCATCGTCCCCGGGTTCCCTAACAATCGAAGGCGGTGGCGGCGCATGGATTTTCGAAGGCGCAGCCTTCGCGGCCGCAGAAGCGGGAGGAGCGTGGCGATCCACCTTTTGACGAGTTGCAGGTGGCGGTTTATTCTGAAGCGGAAGGTTTGTTGAGCGGGGGGAGAGCGCTTCCATATCAATATGAATGATTGACTATCGTGGTATCCCTGGCTGGATGCTTCAGGCACATGAGGCAACAGGACATGGAATAAATCTCGCGGCGTTCGTGGATCGATCAGGTCAGATGCTAGGATCCCACCAAATTCGACGTGACTAGCAATAGAGCGATGGCGGGTGTAAAAACTGTGTAAATATCGTCTTTGCGACTCCTAACTAATTGTCAAGTTGCGGTTTCGGATGGAATGTTTCAGGTGCTTGGCGGACCCCAATTAGGATCTGCGGTTGAGGAGCAGACAATGAAGACAATGAAGTGTCTTTGAAGGAAGTCGCACAGGAAGAGTGTCGATGCCCCAGAGGAATCGCCTTGTTGCTTGGTATATATCTCGCTCGCAAGCGGAAGTGCATTGGAGGAAGTGTGGTGGCTGGGCAGTTGCCTTCTGTTTTGGGAAATCCATAAACACGGGCCACGGCAACGGCGAAATGTTTGTCCAGGGGCCCATCGCCTAAGGCAACAACAAGAATCAAGCTCCGCGGCCTTGGCGGAGATCCCGCCGCACTGCTCCATTATCATCTGTTAACAGTTCATAATATTATATTGTTGGTTTCGTCCTGCCAATATCGCCAGGCTGTTTGTGTGTGGCATCAGATTGCCATGTCTCTTACCTTAAAACTCTCGTCCCTTGTCATCCGCACGCTCTCAAAACCCATCGCGGTATGGAACGCAGCAACTCAATGTCAGGCAAAGGATTCTAATGGATAATAGAACAGCATCAAAGCCCAGGCTCGCGAACATGAACGGTTTCGACGAACCTGCGTTTCCATCGCGCAGGCAGTTCACCGCATCGACATGCGCTTGAGATTGGGCCTTCTACGAGACACAGCTGCGATCGAGGCCCAAGCCGCGAAGGAAGCAGCCGAGGCCCAGGCGCGAAAACATAAACCAAAATCTCCTACAGCGAAAACAGAAGCGGAGAGCAAAGCTGAGGAAGAGGAAGCCGCACAGGCAAAGAAACAAGCCATAGAGAAAGCAAGATCAAAACCTCTGCCGCGAATTCGGCCGCTTTCCGAATCTAAAGCTATTGATTCGGGAGCAAACTTCATCAGCGAAACATTTCTTTTCCTGGTAGCAGGTGGCCTGATTGTGTTTGAATCGTGGCGCTCAAGGCGCAAAGAAACGAATCGCCAGACAAATGTCCAGGATCGATTGAATGAGTTGGAGGAATCAGAAAAGGCTGCCCGAAGGGCATTGGGTATACTTGAGAAGGAGCTCATACAGCTCAAGGCGCATCAAGGGAAACATCCCGTCAAAGATGTAAAACGGATTCTTCCTAGTGATGTCTGGGAGGACGATGGACAGGAAGTAGTCCCTAAAGCGGAGCAAGACCAGAGCTGGGCTTCTTGGATCTCGTCTTACTTCCCTTCTTCAGAAAAAACAGCCCAGAAACCAGAAGCAGTTCAGCCTATTGTGCCTACTTCCACGGCAGACAAAGCCACTACCTCGCCCTCAGGCACGGAGTCGCCTCATTCTATAATCCCTACGATATTGACTCCTCACCCAACAAAGCCTTCACCGAAAGAGTGAGCTCCTTTGATCTAGTTGTTGCATAGTCGAGTGCTTGATACCCTCTGCATCTCTCATTTTTTCTTCATTGGACCCATCTTCGCATTAGTATCGCCGTTCTCATTTTGTTCCTCACTAGATCAGTTCATTTCATGGTGTATATAAACGGGTCCCTTCCTTCCTTCCCGGCGATCATGTGCATCGGCATCTCTGCTCTCGGCGTCTCTCTTTACTGTTTATATTTTCTTCTCCTTCCATGTATAAACATACCTTGCAATATTCTGGCAAATAAATTTCATGAATGCATAAACGAACATGTCTGACAGTTTCCACGCCGTTGTGTCCGCATCTCTTCGAGGCCGTCCGGTTTGGGAGGTGCTCCTTCCTATTCTTGACTCGAATAACGAGCTCACGTTCGAAGGTGTGTCTTGTTGGCGTTGTCGACCTTGGAAGTCAGCTTATTTCTAAATTGTTTATAGATTCACCTGATAATATATGTGATCTCACCTTCTATTGCCCCAACGAAACTTGGGCGTCCAACGTCGAGGTACATTGCATTCTCGTCACCCCTCCTGATATCGAGGCAACCAACAGACAAGCAACATTGATTCGTGCCGAAAAGCTTGCGATTGCAACGCATAAGAACGTTCAGAGTCGATGTGATCGAGTGATTGTTTTCGTGTGTTCAGCTACGGCATTTCAAACAGCAAGCAGATACTGCAGCATAGATGGATTTGTGTCTTTGCAGGTACTGTGAGTGCCATCATTCTCCCTCCCGCAGTTCGAATTCGAAAACAGCAGTTCCTGGAAGCAACAAGAATGTCGTTGATAGTTGCATAGCCTTTTCGACTCGCCGTCAGCTGCGGCTTTGCCCATCATTATAGTAGGCGAACCTAGCGAGCTATTGTCATCGATCAAGGAGCGCTGTCAAGTTCTCCAGCATCACCTCGACCAGTCTCCTGAACGTCCCCATTTGGGAAGTTCTGCATCCTCGCTGCGCCTCTTAGAGCATATTGTCGCCCATGCCTCTGATTCGGTCACCTGCCAGCAGAACCTGAATATTCTCAGCGATCTTTTTCCGTCGCTTCGTGCTCTAAGTGCAGCTATCAGAACAATGGAGGGTCGTCAGCTTATTGCAGACTACTTAGGCAGCCGTGTTGCAAGAAACATTGTAGCGTTTTGGAGCGAGGAAAGGATTGCGGTTGAGAATAGGGTATTTTGATCGCTCGCTGAACAAAATCCGGGGGCTCTAGATGGGCAAGTATCACAGATCCCAGAATAATGTCCTAGAAGTACGTGCTAATTATTATAAGACGCTGAGTAACTGACCATGCTTAACATCGCTATTATAACATTCTAATATCTACATCAACTTGAAAAGAAAGAGCCATAAAACTGTACAATTACCCAATCAGAGTCTTCAAGTCTCCAAAAGTCGATATTTCCAGAAAGCGTCACGAATCTCGGTCTTGAGCTCCTCACGCAGTCTTTGTGATATAATGAGAGACATTAGTGAACCCAACCCGACATCGGCAATGTTTGCATCATCAGTCAGCATGCGGATGTCAATGGCCAACTCCTCAGCTATATCTCAAATGCACGGACGACCGACATGGCTGTTGACTCATACTTGCTTTCCTTTGGATGGACGCTCGGCGCCGGCGAAGGGGGAGTCAGCAGGCCTGTAACGATTTTTGAGTCGCTCGTAAAGAGAGATGGCTGAGCTGACTGCGCCTTGGGCGTGATTTCACTGGAGTCTAGAAAGATATCAGATGCTGCTGCCTTGGTAGCTGGGGGCCGGAAAATGCGATCCAACATGACTCGTGGCCATTGCGTGAATACAATCGCCTCGACGACACCGACAATTTCGTTGTCTTGAAGGATGTACACGTCGCCTACAAAGTCATGGTTGTCCGCAGATACCATTCGGACGTAGGCTAGGTATTGGCTGCCAGGCGCAAGCGGCTTTGCGAAACGCATAGATTTCCAGGACGGGGTTATGTAAAAGCATTTGGTGTTATCGAAACGGGTGCCTCCGTTCAGGATGAAGCCAGACAAGGACACGCATCCGTCTATGAAATGGGGAGGCACCGTCCATGTCCCCGCGGTACCGGCAGGGAACTCTACTTCAGCCACAGCTTCATCTTTGTTGAGAATCACAGATTTCATTGCTCGATACATGTCTGAGTAGTCGACAAATTTCCCAAAGAGGCTGTATGCAAGATTAGTCGTCAATTTGTCGGCCATGCCGCTGGTGGCCATATCGTTCAGGGCCGCTATACGACTTGTCACAAGGCCTGCTAAACGGGACCATGTCGACAGCCAAGATGAGGGATCTTCGTAGAAGACAGTCGCATGACAGTACCACAGGTTTTTGGCCGGGTTATACCACTTGATATGGGCCTGTCTCTTTCCCAAATCGGCCTCGGCACTTCCCACGATCGGCTGAGTCTCAATGGGATTGTGGTGCTTGACCATAGGTTCGCGATATTCGAAGTCGGCAACGTTGATGCCAATGTTAGCTGATCTTAGAAGCCCTTTATCAAGAATACGTTGCGCGACTGTGAAAGCTATGTCTGCGTGAAGGAATTACTGATGTTAGAAACGAGATATGTGTGTGTGCTAAGAGTCAATGAGTACATACTTACAGAAGAAGCAACTCCGTAGTTGTTCACAGCATGTCCGTCAATAACATCCTTGAGCACTAGGTCAGTCATGTCCGACTCAGTTACGAGCTGGGCTGATGATCCAGTGTAGTTCTCCGAACGGATTCCGTGGATGTTTGTCGTGCGGAAGCCCTTGACAGTCTGAGCCATAGCCTTGGTGGTGAAGTTTGGATCGGACAGCGCCTGTTTCTTGGTCAAGTTCCAGTCTTCACTGTACTGGATCCAATAGTTTTTATTATTCCACGCGTACGCCGGGGAATCGACCAGTCGCAGAGCCTGTTCAGAAGGCAAATGGTACTCTGCCCAATCTATGTTTATACCGACATTGTATAAAGCAACGAGTGCCTTGCCGAGCATGGTCTAGTTATCATGGTCTCGATGCAACGCTGGGCATGTCAATCGAGTTTCTGGCAATGCCTTTGAGACAAAGCCGACACAGCAAGGATGATGGCCAATTTTCATCCAGATGGTGGATTTCGACACAACGCCAGATGTCCAAGCGGCATTGAGTCCACCAACAAAGTCGACTGTTTCTCGAGTTGCCTTAGCCAGATACCCAACTTGTCGTCGGTGTTGAAACCGTCGCCATGCTGGCCTCAGGGTATGCCTTAGGTGGTTTGTTAACCAACGGTCGTCAAGTTTGCAGGAGCCATGAGCTTACCTTTTGCGCATTGAAATCTGCCACTACTTTTTGGGTCTCTTTGAAACCAGCTCTGCCCCGGAGAGCAAACCTGGATCCCGTCCGATAAGCACGACATTTTCTGCTTGAAAATTGTATTCAAGAGGATGAGCTTCGTGGTAGCTTTCCAAGTGTCGACGGGTCAGTGCCTTTGCTTTGCTATGCTTTTCTTGTTGAACTTACGCAATGAAGATACCCAACTGAAAGACAAGAACAAGAACTCCCTCAATAGCTCCACGCAACGGCGTTTTCCTGAGCTCGATAACACTATCGGTCAAGTCTAAAATGCTTTCAAAGACAGGGGCCAATTCCCTCTTGAGGCTTCTCCAATCGCCGGCATTCTTGCTTCGAGGCAGTAGTGATCGCCTCGAGAGTTGATGCAAGGATAGGGTGATTTCTCTCTTTGCTCGGGAGATACAGTTTTCTAAACAATGTACGCTGGTCTCCTTCGGGACCCCCTTGAGGGATTTCGCCAGACAAATATATTATCTTCGCACGCGTCATGGTGCTTGGGCTTCGCATAGAACCTTTACTATGCGAAGTATAGGCAGCGATTCAGCATAAAAAAAGGGGCATTTACTACGTAAATAAGTCTGCCCGTCGGTAAGCACGTCGAAGTGATTGACTATGGCATATTGATTGGCTTAACTATCCTATCAACTTATTAGTCATCTAATGAAGGGGTCCGGAATCCGAATTCAGACAAAGACTACTCGTTAATCAACCCCAGCCGAATCCCGAAGCTCGTGTTATATGTATCGGACTCTCGGCTGTACCCTAAAGCATGCAGGATCAGATTTGAAGGATTGCAAAGCGTCGAGTTCAGATTTCTTAAGAAACATACCTCTGTAAAGCAGAATAATAATGCTAAGTGATTGATTCAAAACACTCTTCCAGCCTGCTTATAATACCGAGCTCGATACCTACTCATACTCTTCTCAGCACCCGGAGAACCTGCATGCTCTTATACAGTATATGGGCCTAGAGCAAAGTGTGCGAGGCCGCTGGCTGAAGGAGTATCCATTTGAAAAGCAGACGCAGGACTGGAATCCAAACCCCGATGAGGCACTTTTTGTGGATATCGGTGGCAATGCAGGACATTATTATGCTTTGTTCAAAAGTGAATTCCCTGGTATCCGAGGTCGTATCGTGTTGGAAGATTTGCCTGACACTTTGACTCATACTCTGCCGACGCCGGGAGTTGAGAAACTGGGACACGACTTTTTCCAACCGCAGCCGATCAAAGGTGTGTGAAAAGTTCGGAGAACCTTGATGCCAAATTGAGTACGGCTTTGGTGATTATATTGATAATTTATTTTCTGGTGCCAAATTTTATCATCTAGGCGGGATTCTGCACAATTGGAGCGATGACCATCTTGCGCCAAATCAAATCGGCCATGAGTCTAGAGTCTGTGCTGCTCATTAATGACATGATCCTTTCAGAAACAGGAATTCCGCCATATGCCACTGCGCTGGACTTGGTTATGCTGGGTGCATGCGGTAGCCTAGAGCGCACCGAGGAGCAGTGGAAGGATGTGCTTGGAGAGGTCGGCTTGGAGATCAAGCAGGCCATTGTATACGACCATGAACTCTTCCATGGTATCATCTCTGCAACAGTAGCTTAGACCAACTAGAAATCAAATTTCAGCTTTTACAAAACCGACATATTATGTTAATGACACTACAGAGGCTTGCTAACAGTCTTCGGATTTGTTTAAGTCAAGCACCGCCCCTCAGTCAACGGATATTATTTGGAAGCTGATGACTTTTGACATCGGTCCGGTCATATTCTGATTGTTTAAATTCCAGAGCCCATTGATTAGTTACCTGAGTCGAGGAGCCTTGGTTTTACTTGACTCCTTTTCGCTCGTAATAAGGCGGAGATACACTCATTATTCCTTTCTTTCCCTCTTTTTTGGGAGCAATGATAGTGAACATCGGACCTCATTGCCCTTGAAAGACTCCGATTGGTAGTTGAATCCCTTAATAATGGCCGGACCGATGCCGCCGAAGGCTGTAGTGCTATCAGATGTGAGTGTTGTGGCATGAGAGTCGTTCTCACGCCGATTGGCAATGGACACGGAATCACGTGGAATCACGTGATAACGCATGCCCAAGAGTGTACGCTCACTAATAGACTACGTACATAATTTTTCATTCTAAGCTACTCTATCTACTTGTACACTGAGAGGGCCAGCAAAGCGAACCACACGTAATGTATCAAATCTCTTCTCTATGTTCTAGATCCCCGCCGTTAACTAGTTATCTCATTTGGAAGTTCGCGGAGGATCTAAAATTCTGTTGGTAGATTATCTAGAAATCATTCGGATTTTTGTCAATCTCAACTACTGTATAATTATATAATGAATATTATTGGCTGTTTTTGGGTAGTTAGCTGTCCGAGTTCACTGAACTAAGCCATTAGGATTAGAGCCCTCTTTCGGTCTAGCCCCTTCGGTCTAGTTTTGGTTTCCTTTGAAATTCAGATCACATGATACTACAACAACGCGGCCTCAGGCCAAATACCGGATAGCAAACAACGTCACATCATACAAAATACAGGATATCGAACTACACCAAAAACAATCTCACTTGATCGGGCTGGCCTGTGTCACAATGAAGAGCTACGACGGCTGCTGGACGTGCCGCTTGAGAAAGAAACGGTGCGATGAGATACGGCCAGTGTGTAGGAACTGCTCAACGCTGCAGATTACCTGCCACTTCGGCCATGAGAAGCCGTCATGGATGGACAGCGGACTGGGACAGAAAGAGAAAGCCGAAGAGGTCAAGCGCGAGGTTAAGAGCGCTGCCGCGCGGCGTCGGGGGACCTTGCCGATGAATGCTGTCAACCGACAAAGTGCGCTGTCGACAGAGTGCCCACCATTTCAGGCCGAGCCAACTCCAGACTCCAGCCCTGGTTGGACTTCTACATATTCGCCACCTAGCACGGAGCCATCATCGAGCAATGCCTACCCAGATTCCTGGAATAGGCTGGACGGCTGGTCTATAAGCAACTCACCTGATGGGAAACCGGCGGACTCAGAGCTCGACCGCCGCTTCATGATGTTCTACTTTGACCATTTCTTTCCGTTCCTATTTCCCTTTTACCAGCCCCTACTGCTTGAAGGCGGGCGTACCTGGATCATGGAGCTTGTTGCAGGCGACCAAGCCATGTGGCATACCACACTCTGCCTTAGCACGTACTTTGTCTCAGTCGCCCTAGATGGCGCAGTTTCAGGACACAACGTATGCAAAACGCTTGCTTGGGAAAAGCTTCTGAATCAGATGGGTGTAACCTTTCTGATGCTCCAGCGTAACCTCCAGGAAGTTGTTGCTTCAAGCATTACGCCGGAGCTAATATCCAAGACCTCCCGAATTATGGGAAGCATTATCCAGCTACAACGGTTTGAGATCTCGGTGGGGAACTTTGAAAACTGTCAAAAACACCTTGGGGCGGCCATTATGCTGTTCAGACAGATATTCCGGACTGCAGAGAGTGCCATCAACATTCCTGCTTTTTACGGCGTGTTGAGTCATATGGGACGGCCACTCTGGGCTATAATGTCTCAACAGAGCGGAGCCTGGAACTCCGATCAGGCAGCTTTTCGATTTTACTCCGCACTACTGATCGTGGACGATATTATTGCCAGCACATGCATGGGGGAACAGCCTAAATTGCTCGAGTATCACGCTCAACTCCTCACTAATGGCGGCAGCTCTGACGAGAAACCTCCCCTGAATCTCGAGGATTTTGTCGGCTGCGAAAACTGGGTCATGTTGCAGATTGGCGAGGTAGCTGCCCTCGACGCGTGGAAGAAGTCCAGAAAACAGGCCGGGAAGCTCGACGTGATGGAGCTGGTGGCGCACGCGTCAACAATCAAGCAGACACTGCTCGGTAACCTCGCGCGCCTCGACGCCACAGAAAACACCCCCAGTACCAATGGGCTCGGCTTGTTCACCCTTTACAACGACCAGTTGCCGCCTATGCCGGGTGGTTGCGCCGCATATGTCACCCGTGTCTGGGCGCACGCCGCATTACTCTACCTCTCAGTTGTGGTCTCTGGGTGGCAGCCCGGCAGCGCGGCGATCCGGGAGAACGTAGTGCGTACACTAGCGCTGCTGGAGCAGATGCCGAAACCCGAGCTGCTGCGCACTATGGTGTGGCCCTTCTGCATGGTCGGCTGCCTAGCCGAGCCCGGGGAGGAATGCCGCCTGCGGGCCATGGCTGATGCGCTGGTCCCGCATCGACTGTTTGGAGCAGCGCGGAAGGCACTTGAGATCATGGAGAACGTCTGGAAGTGCAGAGACGAGCTCGCCATCGACACAGACTTTGCGGCGTGCGTCTGCCGCTTGGGTTATGTTTCTCTGTTAGTCTGAACCACATCTCGTGCCTCACGCGTGAGTAGCACTCGACCACGTGATCAGGTCCAGGTCCTGGTTTAGTACTATGTACTGTTACCTATTTAGGCAATTTTCGTCGGCCCTACCAAGAGGACATTTCCGAATGCCGGTGTGTGCGTATACATAATGATGAGTGCCTCGGGAAATATCACATACAGCAATCGCAAGGACCTTGTTCATAAACAGCAACTACTTAATTCTGCTGTCCAGTGCTGGGAGACACTGCGGAGAACAGCCAAGAAGGAGTTTATCTACATGGGCCACAAGCAGAATACTGTGGTCAACCGATACTGCTCACTATGAGCCTTGGACATTTGCTCACCCTATTTCATCGTCGCACCAGACACTCAGTACTCTACGGTTAGTCCAACTTTGACCCGAAGAGGAAAGAGTGACGACTAATGCTCCTAAGGGCCTTTTCTACATTAGTGAGCGCAATACCGATTGCAGCCAGAAGTTCGTGCAGCTTTATAATGACGCGCATGCTAATTTCTTCAGAGGAAGAAGTGCCATGGCATGCCACCTGTGTCCAAGGACAGGGTTACGACAAGCTCTAGATGGAATAATTTATGCGGTCAGCAATTGATGCCGAATACGAAGCCCACACTTATTCTGTCCACGATGAATCAGCGTGCAACTCATCAAGAAGTCTATGTGGGATCGGATCACTGTCGACTTCAGTCTAGCTTGATACAGTGTTTTCACTCAATGCAGCGCTTTACACAATCAACTGAAATGTTCTCAAACTAAGAAATGCAAGTGAGGATCTAGTTAGGGCCGTAACTGTCGCAGGACTAGCATAGTTGTAAGTTACCCGTATTAAGATGTTGAACCTGGAACTAGAACATCCTGAAGAAAACTAGTCCCGAAGGATTATCTTTCTCAGACGAGACATGGGCGACAACAGTGCAAGCGCAAGATCTAATTGGGTACGCATGGTCGTCCGAAATCTGCTCTTTTGAAGCTCTTCATCGCGCGCGGGATGGGAAATCCTGGAGTATTCGTCCCGCGCGGCTTGTGGAGCTGATACGGACTCATGCTACTATTCCCATCGACTTTCAGCACAGCGAACACCGATTACATATTCTTCGAAATGGGCCAGTTTATTCTCTGGTAGTACACATTAAAGACATCTTACGTGTTGCTCTACTCCTCGTTCACGACATAACCCCGTCACGATGAACGGGTACGAATTCCTCCCAAAAACACCCGAGCTTGTCGAGCAGCGACGCATTGCATTAGATTGGTACGCGAATCTAGCGCAGACCTCGCAGCTTACAGTTCACCTGGTTATCTTGATCTGCGAATTAGTCCAGGTGAGGAAATTCACAAAAAAGTCTCGTCAGAGAGGCGACGCAGCTGTGCTGGCAAGAAACCTGAAGTTTACATTGAGCACAGAAGTGGTCAAGGGATATGGCACATATGGGCAATGGGTCTTTGGGATAGCCTGGACGGCATGGCTGGGATTCTTATGTATTACCGAGACTGCGCCTGGTAGCTACACCTTCTCTCCGGGATAAATTGATTGACAAGCATATACTGATGGTTGGCATAGATTACCTGCACCTCACGAAACGGTTCGGACTCGTCGCAGCCTCGCAACTACCGATTCACTACCTCCTCGCTGCGACACCTCTTCAGCTCGCTCTTAGGAGTTCCTCCTACAGACCAAATATGTCATTACACAAAGTCACCGGAAAGATTATCATCGCCTTCTTCGCCGTCCATATGTCACTCTACAGCATCTGCTTTGTGCAAATGGGCATATTTTGGAAAAGTGTTCAGCAGCCAAACATTGTAGTTGCTTTGATCAGCGCTGGTATTCTGTTTATCATTGGAAGCACGGCGACTCAATTCTTCCGTCGCAGATATTACTCGTGGTTTTATATGTTGCACGTTATCGGATCAACTCTTGTGCTACCGCTGCTCTTCTTTCACGTTAACCATATCAGAATATATCTATTTGAGAGTGCGGCGGTTCTCATTATCAATGCTGTCCTTCGCTCTCGAAACTGGTAAGCGGGTTCGGGGAAGCGGCGGATGAGGATCCTAACGTGTCTTGCCAATGGGTTAGTAATATGTTTTCTCTAATCATTCACATCTTCTCAGTGTTGAGTATATCTACAGAAGACATTGACGGCTTGATCTATCAACCCCTCGTTCAACACTCAGTCCTGATTCCTCTCTCGCAAATTTTACCTTGCACACACTAAAAACGCCACAAAGAGCAAGCAATCCACAAATATTGACAAAGTCTTATCTATAAGCATGATGTCGACATTGACATCAACCGTTTGTTTACATAGTTCACATGTCAATTCCGTCTGGGCCAGTTTTTTTGGCCCCTGCCCCTCTGCCCAATTTTACATTTGTCCAATCACTGAAAGTCATTAGCAAGTTGACAGCGGAATACAAGGTATAATTTACACATTTATCAGAAGGCCCATTAAGAGGTCCCATTCTGGTGGCTTACTGTTTACTGGTTAATATTCAGTTGAAAGCACATGCGACTGCCCAAACGAGAACTGGCTCCATTCGTATCTTCGAGTACAACCTTGTTCTTTTTAACAAACGGCCCGCAAACGGCCCCCGCGACTTTTAAGGCTTATCTCAGTATAAGTTTACATACAGAGCACGGAGTAACGCCCCTAAATTGACTGGAAGCCCGGGATGCCTTTAAGACAATGGTGGATACACTATTCACAAGCCCAAGCGTCAGCAGCATTCATGTGCGAAGCTCGGCATATAGGATTCTAGACTACAGTGCATTAATCCACCATTAACTGCTTCCAACTATTCAGTGGCTGTGAGTTATCGATAAGCCGCTTCTGGTACATAGTGTTGGGTCTTAATTCCGAGTGTGAATACGGGTGGCATCTTACCATTACCAAGCTGTAACTACTGCAAAAGGGTTGGTATTCTTCTAGAAATAGAAAAACAAGCGGCAAAATCAAGAAAGTATTGGCTCTCATCAGTGAGGAAACTTACCGCCATAATGACTCAACCGTGACATGTCTGTAATTTTGTTTCAATGAAATGTAATTATATTTTTACAATACGTACCCAGGTAACTACACCAACAATAGCTTCTAGTAACTGTAGTACCACGACTAGTCTTTGGAAGCTAGAATATCACACTAATTGAGAGACTACCTAGGTATCTGAGCGTCTGTCAAGTTGCGGACCAAAAAGTAACCATACGCCTTCCTGCGTATGCTTACGTATGATTCAGTCAGCACCATAAGGGTGTTGTAAGGTGTGCCCTGGCAAATATATATAAAGCATATTTATCTAGTCGAAGAGATCTCTTCTTAACCAATTGAGACAGATTTTCAACATAAGTCGTCAAATATATTCTACACTGTCTAGCCATCGAAAAAGAGTATATACAAAACGCATCCGTTCTTGGTATAGTGAAGATGCTGCCGCTGATTGAGAAAATAGAACCAAAAACACTCAGAAGAGTCCATTTCAGACCAAGCATGTACTCGTTGCCGTGAGCGCAAGATTAGTTTTAACCGTGAGCTCCCTCAATGCAACGAGCGCCTGGTTAACATAGAATCGCAGCTCGGCCGCCTCTCGGTCAGCATCGCAGAGAGCATGGACCAGGCCAATTCATCAACCCGAGAAGCCTCAAGTTTTGATGAAGAGAGTGATGAAGAAGATCATTTGATGAATCCTTCGCTGTACAGCGATGACTGTACCGACTTGCATGTCTTCCACAGCCAGGTGGATATGGTCGATTACTATCACGGACCACTGTCACTGTTTGTCCTCTGCAAGCAATTTCGATCTTGTGCCCTCTCTGTAAGCGATGCGAAATATGATGCTCCTCCTCTGCGAGATATACTGCAGAGCTTGTGTGAGAGTGCTGGTGTACTTGAACCTTTCCCACCCTTTGGCGACCAGCCTTCTATAAACCTCCTGCCTAAGCAACAGGCCAACACCGTTCTTAGTCATTTCTTCCAGCACGTTGACTGTGTCACCGATATCTTTGTAAAGAGTAGTCTTCTTGCCCATGTCGAACGTATATACTCGCACCAGGCAGGGCGTGAGGAGCGAGGTATGGGTTATCTCTCTCCAGGCCACCATTGTGTTTGTTTGGGGCATGGAAATCTCTGCCCAAGCAGGGAACGGCCTATTTGGCGACTTTGAACGTTCATTCCTCCCGAGTCGAGCTGCACTGGTAAACTTCTGTTTGCTGACCACATCAAGACTCATTAACGTTCAGATTTTGATAATTCTCGTATATACCGGCCTCTATTTGATGTCATTTCTCAAGCCAACTGACCCGTTTGTATAGAGCGTCGTAGTACAGCAATTTGTCCTCCGGGATGGGCTGAGCTTATCTTCAATCACGCATGTGGGCTTGCAAGAACCTTCATTAGACTACATACACACTTTGGTTCAGTAAATTCGGCGCATGCCTTGGAGACTAGTATATCAAATATGTTCGATTAGCTGAGACAAGGCGGCCCAACAATCCATCTACCACTTCAACATTCTTCCGGCAATTCCACTGGAGGGTGGTGCCACCTATACAGAAATATCCGCAAAAGTCGGTTTGTCTGAGAGGAAACTTAAGACCGTTGTGCGTAAAGCAATTATTAACTGTATGGTGCGCGAGAATGCCCCTGAACATGTTGTTCACACCGCCTCCTCAGCCCTGCTTCTGCGAAATCGTAACATGATGGATTACTACGGCTTCTTCGTTGAGCAGATGTTCCCTGCCAGCGCAAAGCTCGCAGAGGCGCTGGAGAAATATCAAGACTGTGCAGCTGCGCAGGATACTGCTTTCGATCCTGCCTTCAATACGAACGAGACCTTATTCAAGTTCCTCGAGCAACATCCCAAGTTGCAAGCTCGGTTCGTTGGTGCGATGGAGAGTGTGGGCAAGGACCCTAGCCAGAGCCAGAAACACGTTATAACAGAATATCCGTCCGTGGGCAGAACTCGGAGAGGCTACTGTCATCGATGTAGGTTCTGATTTTGCTTCCTTCATTTCTCTCTATATGTGAAAAGCTAACGTAGATGGATGTATAGGTCGGCGGGTCATCCGGCTTCATGAGTGTAGAACTCGCACAGAGATACCCGAACCTGAAAATGGTAGTAGAAGATTACAAAAACACCGTTGAGCAGGGCGCTGCACAATTGCCACCCGAATTGGCGGATCGTGTGAAGTTTGTGCCGCATAATTTATTTGATCTCCAACCGGTGGCGGGTGCAGAAATCTACATTTTGCATCATATCTGCCACGACTGGTCAGCGGAAAACAGTGTCAAGATTATTAAGCAGATTTTACCGGCCATGAAGCCGGGCAGCAAGATTCTGTTGGTCGAAATTGTGGTTTCGGTATCAAATAGAGTGATGTCGAGTATCGCAGAGCGTACCTGCGGTAATTTTTCTTTCCACTTCGCAGTCAACTATTTATATAACGCTAAACTTCACCAGAATTCGTGACCTTAATATGCTTCAGATGCTAAATGCACAGGAGCGAAGTGAGTCTGGGTGGAGGGAAATTATCACCAGGGCAGATTCCAAACTTGGGCTGACACACATCATCGTAAGCAACTCTTTCTGATCCGAGTGACTCATAACATGAGACATTTTCGTTTGAAACAATGCCACAGATCGAATCTTCTAGTATAGGCAGTGCTAACTTTGTGATGTGATTGTGCAGACGCTTCATGGCAGTACCGACTCGATTATCGAGATTTCGTTGAGGGAGAATTGAGGCAAGTGATTCATTGGCGGCAAATGCGGGTCTAGTTAGGGCTCTAGGTTGTAGCCCTAACTAGTAGTGCCAATTTCCAAATCTGGAGATATTCTTATTGGAGCTGTATTATTAAATCAATAGGCTCTAGCGAGTTTTTAAAAGGACCTATAAAGGTCTTCCTTTTCCTTTATTTTCCCATTTTTGATTCTTTGTGCTCAAGTCTACTTTTGACAGCTTTTTTTTATCGCCGACCTATAATATCTATAACTACCTATTCCGGTGAGACAATCCTTTGAATTAAAAAACATTGAATTAATAATATATTATAAATCAGTAACAATGCCTGAAAGTTGCGGAGTCAATTCTTGTTTACCAAGTCATAACATCATTTTTCGCCGTATTAGCATCAGTTGCTCCAAAACTTCAGGCCAAAAAGGCCCGAACCAGCCGTCATCAACAGCGCCATTTAGGAACTTCGGAGTTCATATATCAAGCTATAACTAGCTAGCAGGCATCGAGGGCAACCTAGTCTTAAGAGACGGGTTCCGGGAACCGAGTAACGAGATCAAAAAGCATAGACTTGACGGTTCCATGTTCATTTCAAAGCCTCGCACCCGCGCGGTTCCCTTATGCCGCGCGCCCTAGATGCCGCTGCTGCATACGGCACTCTTTGTTTGATTCCTGCAAGGTTGTAGCTCAAATTTGAAACGGAGCGTAAAATAGGATGTCCCGCGCGGCTTATGGGTCTCACCCCGCGCGGCTTATTGTTAGCGGGATACTTAGGTATCAAGACAAAAAAGATACACATGAAATGAGCATTACCAGAAGCCCCATTAAGGAGTCCATTCTAGCGACTTAGTGCTCGGTATCCTACGGAGCTGAACTGATATAAGCAACCCTCTTTCCTCTGGAATTAACACGGGGACATAGCTTGATCAAATCATCCAACACTTCTATCTACATATTCTTTTTGTGTTCATGAGATTATTCTCTGCAACCCAGCTGCGACGCTATTTTACATCCTCGAGAAAAATGGCCACCCGTACCGTTCTTATTCTCGGCTCTGGCCCCCGTATCGGTGACGCTGTCTCTGAAAAGTTCGCCGCAGAGGGATACAAAGTCGCTCTTGTCTCGAGAAAAGGAACGAATTCGATCAACGAGAAAGGCTATCTTTCGCTGCAGGCTGATTTTGCCAATACCGATCCCAGCCTCCTAGCTTCCATCTTCGACAAAGTCAAGAGTGAATTCAACGCGGCCCCTAGCGTTGTCGTATACAATGCCGGGTCTATCACTCCTCCGCCTGACGCCGATTCGGTCTTGTCTATCCCGAGTGTAAGTTATACTTCTTCAGTCTTCGAAAGAATAGAGAAATGCTAACTTTATCACTCTTTAGGCTCGTGTCACCAACGATTTGAACGTCAATGTTGTCAGCCCGTACATTGCCGCACAAGAGGCCATCAAACACTGGGAAACTCTGCCCACAGAGGGCAAGAAGTTGTTTATCTACACAGGCAATATCTGTAATGTTGCCATCCTGCCTGTACCGCTGTTGCTGAACGGTGGTATGGGAAAGGCGGCAGCCGCCTACTGGCTTGGTGTTGCTGACGGCGCATACACAGCCAAGGGTTATCGGTAAGTTCTCATCCATCCTTCTCTTTCGAGGTTATGCTGGTGAATAGGCTCTGATGTTCCCAGATTCGTTTACGCCGACCAGCGCCAGGACGATGGCAAGCTTGCAGGCCCAACGGTCAACGGTCCTGCGCATGCCGATTTCTTTGCGCAGTTGGCGGCGACCGGGGCGAATGATATCCCATGGCATGCGACGTTTGTCAAGGACAAAGGCTATGTCAAATTTTAGGCTTGCTAGCTAGCTCCTCTCTAGGTATATCGGTGCTTATTGTCTCATACGGGAATCCTCAGCCGGTGTACTGGCAGTACCTGGACCAAATATCAATATATATTCAACGCGAAGGACGCGTATACCAGCAGTTCCTATTTTGAAGTAGTACTATTAGACGTATTGATCAAGTAGTGATAGAACCAAGAGAAGAATTGTCGGTGCCTGGGGCGATGGAAGCAGCCGGATATTCTAGAACAGTGCCTAATCAGGCACCAAGACAAGGGCCGATGACGTCGGAGTCTCCACGCGGCGTTTAAATGCTTCCATTATTTTATTTCCCCCTCTCTCTCAGTATGGTCGGTAGTATAGACTATATTTTGTAATTCACAATAGAGCCATGACAGCTGCGATCGTATAATGTAAATCATAAAAAAATCATGCCTAGGGAAGCACTCGGGATGACGCGTCGGGAAAGCGGCACTGTGGCGGACATGTGTGGCGCAGCTGCCAAGCGGACAGGCCCCCGCTGTTCTAATTACGGAGAACCAGGGCACGGCCGCCTCCAACTGACCCTACCATCGTGCTCCTCATTCCTCACTTGCACACATTGCTCTTTCTATCTTGTTGCTTTTTGACCAAAGCTCTGCCATAGAGCGCTGCTTTATTGTTGATTACGCCTGATTTACTTATTTTTCTTACCGGGTACATAGCCAATACACAGCGGCACAGGAGAACGTCTAGCTCCCCCCCCTCAGCTTACAGGTGTCAAAACTGATACGTCAGAATTGGTTGCGGTGTTCGGCACAACGGCATAGAAAATGGTTCGTCTTGACCAGCGCTGATGTTGATCTTGCAATTCTTTGCTTCCTGCGTGTTAACATGCTCATTTCTGAAATTAGGGTCAATCGCGACGTCCAGCCGGCGGTGAGAAGCGCAGTCGAGGTTTTGGCCGGTCCAAAGCGGATGCCGACGTGGGTGATGGTCGACATGCGAGAGGAAAGCCTCAGGTCAAGAAAGCTGCCTTTGAGAGCACAAAAAAGAAGGAGATTGGTGTATCTGACCTCACTTTGCTGAGCAAAGTCTCCAACGAGGCCATCAATGACAACCTCAAGTTACGCTTCGAAAATAGGGAAATTTACGTGGGTGATCGCTTCTGGAATGGCGTGGGAAGAGAGAGAGTCATACTGATCTATTATTTTGTGTAGACATATATTGGCCATGTGCTGGTTTCTGTCAACCCTTTTCGAGACCGTACGTTTCATGCGCCCAGTTTGCGATTTCTCAACTAATCAGATGGCAGTGGGTATATACACCGACCAAGTCCTCGAATCCTACCGTGGCAAGAACCGACTTGAGACGCCGCCTCACGTTTTTGCCGTCGCGGAATCTGCATATTATAACATGAACGCCTACAAAGACAACCAGTGTGTCATTATTTCAGGAGAGTCAGGTGCGGGGAAGACAGAAGCTGCCAAGCGATTAATGCAGTATATTGCGAGTGTCTCAGGGGGCACCGATTCATCGATTCAACAAACGAAGGACATGGTTTTGGCGACAAATCCTCTTCTAGAATCCTTTGGTAATGCGAAGACGTTGCGTAACAACAATTCTTCGCGGTTCGGCAAGTACTTGGAATTGGAATTCAACACACAGGGACAGCCAATCGGTGCCAACATTACGAACTATCTTCTGGAGAAAACGAGAGTAGTTGGCCAAATCACGAATGAACGAAACTTCCATATTTTCTACCAGCTTACCAAGGCCGCACCCCAAGCCTATCGAGGTGAGAATAATGAAAAGGCCACTTCTTTCGTCGTTCTTCCCCTTCCAGCGCTAACGCAACAATATATTTGCAGAGAACTTTGGTATTCAACAGCCTCAGTCGTACCTATACACGAGCCGCTCGAAATGCTTCGATGTCCAAGGCATCGACGACACTTCCGACTTCGCTGATACACTCGAGGCAATGAGAATTATTGGACTAGCACAGTCTGAACAGGATAATATCTTTCGCATGCTTGCTGCAATCTTGTGGTTGGGCAATGTGCAGTTCACAGAAGATGACCAGACTCACGCATCGATCATTGATCAATCTGTTGTCGACTTTGTCGCTTATCTCCTCGAAGTCGATTCTGCCCAAGTCAATAAGGCTCTCACGATCCGTGTGGTTGAGACGGCACGAGGTGGTCGCAGGGGCTCTGTCTATGAAGTTCCGTTGAACAAAGTGCAAGCAACTGCTGTGCGGGATGCTTTAGCAATGGCCATCTATTTCAATCTGTTCGATTGGATTGTCGAACGCTTGAACATGTCTTTGAAAGCAAAGTCGGCTGTCACGAATTCAATTGGCATTTTGGATATTTATGGATTTGAGATTTTCGAGAAAAACTCTTTCGAACAGCTCTGCATCAACTACGTCAACGAGAAGCTACAACAAATTTTTATCCAGTTGACTTTAAAAGCTGAGCAGGAGGAGTACGCCCGAGAGCAGATCCAGTGGACGCCGATCAAGTATTTTGATAACAAGGTGGTTTGCTCCTTGATTGAAGACAAGCGCCCACCAGGCGTCTTCGCTGCGCTGAACGATGCATGCGCAACTGCCCACGCAGACTCGTCGGCTGCTGACCAAACTTTCGTCGGACGTTTGAATTTCTTAGGTCAGAATCCCAACTTCGAAAATCGGCAAGGACAATTCATCATTAAACATTATGCTGGTGATGTCAGCTACTCTGTGGAAGGAATGACGGACAAGAACAAGGATCAGCTGCTCAAGGATCTGCTCAATCTCGTTGGGTCATCGAGCAATGACTTTGTGCATGTTTTGTTCCCGAACCAAGTCAACCAAGATGATAAGCGACGTCCCCCTACTGCTGGCGATAAGATTAAAGCATCTGCAAATGATCTCGTTACCACGCTGATGAGATGCCAACCTTCTTACATTCGAACGATCAAGCCAAATGAGAACAAATCCCCTTCTGAGTACAATGTGGCGAACGTGCTTCACCAGATCAAGTACCTCGGTCTGCAAGAGAACGTTCGCATTAGACGAGCAGGATTTGCTTATCGTCAGACGTTCGACAAGTTTGTCGAGCGCTTTTACCTCCTATCTAAGCACACTTCATACGCGGGTGACTATACATGGACGGGCGATGCAGAATCTGGTGCTAAGCAGATTCTGAAAGACACTGGTATACCAGCTGAAGAGTATCAAATGGGAGTGACAAAAGCGTTTATCAAGACTCCGGAAACCTTGTTCGCTCTTGAACACATGAGAGATCGTTATTGGCACAATATGGCTATTCGTATTCAACGGGCATGGCGCAATTACCTACGATATCGTATAGAATGCGCGGTCAGAATACAACGTTTCTGGCGTCGCTTCACCGGTGGCTTAGAATTCATTAAGGTGCGAGACCAAGGCCATAAGCTATTACAGGGTAAGAAGGAACGTCGCCGCATGAGTTTGCTCGGGTCTCGGCGATTCATGGGCGATTACATTGGCATCGGTAATAATGGTGGTCCTGGCGAGGTAATTCGTAGTAGTGCTGGTATTAGTGGTAAGGAAGCTCTCTCTGGCTCTTGATTGGATTCTGGACTAAAACAGTTGTGTATAGCATCGGAGCCGATTCTTTTCTCTAGTCGCTGCGAGCTCTTGGTGGCCAAATTTGGTCGCTCGAGTAAACCGATGCCCCGTATACTGGTTTTGGTGAGTCTTATCTAGTTCTCCTTGTTTATTTTTTGGTCTTTGGTAGTCTTTCAAGCAAGATTTGCCGACTTACAGAAAACACATTCTGACCACTTTTAGACTGCACGACACGTATATATCATTGTTCAAGCCATTGTCAATAACCAACTTTCCATATCTTCGGAACGAACGATTCCCGTGGGAGCTATCAAATTCATCGGTGCATCGAACTTGAAGGATGACTGGTTCTCGCTGGTCGTGGGCTCGCAAGAACCCGATCCACTTTTAAATTGCGTTTTTAAGACTGAATTCTTCACCCATCTTTCATCTGCTCTTAGAGGACAGTTGACTTTGAAGATTGGGCAGACGTGAGTATTATTATCTCACACATTTGGATTACATGATCTAAGAGCAAATTTAGGATTGAATACAACAAAAAGCCCGGAAAACTGGTGACTGTTAAAACAGTTAAAGACAACACCGTTCCCCGTGACGATCTTTATAAGAGTGGTACCATTCACACCGGCCCTGGTGAGCCTCCTAACTCGATTTCGAAGCCGACACCGCGGCCCAAGCAGGTTGCTGCCAGACCAGTTACTAAGGGCAAACTGTTGCGGCCTGGCGGCCCCAATGGTGGTCCTTCTAAGCTCAGTGGGAATCGCCCAAATGGCACTACACGACCTGTTCCAACTCCTCAAGCACTTCCTACAGCGACCCCCGTTGCTCCCCGGTCAACGCCAGCACAGTCACGTGTCGTTCCACAGCCTGTCGTTGCCGCTACCGCTGCAGGTGGACACCGTCATACATCATCTCAAGCGTCAGTTCGTGCTCCTCCGCCACCACCGCCGGCACCGCCGGCAGCAGCTTCAGCCGCGCCCAAAAAACCTACTGCGAAGGTCTTGTATGATTTTTCCAGTGACCGGGCCAATGAGCTCACAATCCATGCTGGAGAAGTCGTTCAGATCGTCTCCAAGGAAGGAAACGGTATGTTAAAATCCATTCCCTTGTTTTGCACAACTTACTCATGACTTTAAAAAAAAATCATAGGTTGGTGGCTATGCATGAACACAACAACGGAAGCACAAGGATGGACACCTGAAGCCTATCTCGAAGAAATTGTTATAGCAGCCGCCAAACCAGCTCCGCCACCTCCACCCCCAGCTCCGAAAGCCGCTCCCAACGGCAATGCAATAGCGGCAGCCAAGGCTAAACCAGCCCCTCCAGCACCGCCCGCCAAAAGACCAAATGCTGCTGGACGTAAGCCTCTTGCACCGCCAACACGTGATAGCGCCGTGAGTATCAATTCGCAGGATTCATCTGGAGCCAGTGGTCGAGCGACTCCCAACAGCAGCTCGAATGCCAGTCTAGCCGGTGGTCTTGCCGAGATTCTGCGCCAACGAGGAAGCGCCATGCGTCCATCTAACGAAGAAGACGACGACTGGTGAGCGAGGGTGACCGTGTTTGTTTTTTCTCTGGTAAATCCATATGCCTATGTATTTTTCTTTTTTTTTTTTTTTTTTTTTTTTACTCTGATGAAAAAGAACGATTCAGCAACCCCTTTTTTGTTTGTTTCCACAACTTCTTTTTCCCGTTATTCGTCATGACGATGGATGCATATGGACTATTTTGTATTGGGGCGTTATAAAAACTCTCGCCTTGCAAATTTCTACTGTTGCTTTTATTTTTCTTTATGGTTTTATTCTAAGGCAATGCTTCGCATATTCGCTTTGAAATTGACTATTTTTTCCCGTTCTACTTGCTTAAGTGCTTCTTCTTTTCTTTTGTTTTCCCTCGATTTTTTTTTTTTTTTCTTTTTCTTTTTCTTTTTGCTTTCTTCGCCTAATTTATTCTAGAGCGCATATGTAAAAAGCACTGGATAGCACGTTGTTGTAGAGCATGGTTGATTGTATGAGCACTAAGCAAGCAACTCTTTACTAAATCTTACCAATCTAATTTTCAGAGTATACACTCAATAAGTGATCTACTGTGTTATGATAGATCACAACTTTAATGCTATGTCAGGCAGTGCCAAGGCTGGTACGGAGACTGTATGGTAAAATGTGACTGCCTATACTCGATCGATAAGATGACGTCGAGATCGTGGCGCAAGCAGCTTTTTCATTGGCTCTCACCAGCGAAATGCGATCAGATGCCCCGCTGTTTCTCCACAGTTCTCCGTGTTTATTTCCTACATTACGTACTGTATGTACAGACCCCTCCCCCTCCTTTCCCTCTCCTGATTTTGCTCTTTTCTTCCATTCAACATTCATCTCCCTGAACGAACTCCCTATTGTTATTATTATCAATAATATTACATATACCCCTTATAACCACATCATGTCTTACGGCGGCGGATACGGTGAACAACAACAAAGCTACGGCGGAGGAGGATACGGCGAGCAAGAGAACTACGGAAGAGGAGGAGGATCGTATGGCGACCAGCGATTTCGCGGAAACTACGGTGCCAGCGGCCCTGACTTCTCCGACCTTGCTAGCCACGCCCAGAACCACGGTGGTAACAGTTCGTCGTTCTTTAGCGAGGCAGCCAATTATTTGCAGCAACAGCACGGCAACATTTCCAACCAGGGCGTTGATGAGAGTCATATGGTGAACTCTCACCAGAGATTTTATGGAAACGGTGGCGGCGGTGGTGGTGCCCCTGCAAGCTCGAATGAGCTTGGTGCTGGTGCTGCCATGCAGGCACTTAAGAAGTTCACTAGTGGCGGTTCTGGCGGTGGACAGAATCAATTTATTGGGCTGGCCATGGCTGAGGCTGAGAAGCTTTTTGACCAACAGAGTGCAAGTGGCAACGCGGTGAGTTTTCTTTCCTTTTTCTTTTCGTTATTGTGTCGCGCAGCTGTTGCTGACGTTGTTGTTTTGCTAGTCCGGAGACAAGCAGTCTGCTATCAACTCTGCTGCTGAGACAGCCCTCAAGATGTTCACCAAGGGAGGCGGTGGTTTGGGAGGTACTGGCGGCCTTGGAGGGTCCTCTGAGTTGTTGAGTTTGGCCAGCAAGTTCTTTTAAACGGCTTACTTATATGTATGTATGGAATGGCGAGTACTACCGAGGCATGAATATATATGAAATGACGTCTTGATTGAAGGATGATCATGTATACAGAGGGCATAGCAGAGTAAACCCAGGATATAATAGTAATATATCCTTTATCTATTTTATATTTAGCATATTTAGGCACGCTCGGAACGGCAGCCGAGATTGCGTCAAACAGCGCGAGACGAGGAGGGGCGGCGGCGGAAATTTGTATCTCCGAGCGGCGTGACGGAGCGACATTTTTTGTCTCCCAGGCAAGAGAAAAGAGAGGAATTCCTGGAATCCCCTTCCTTTTACTCACTTTCTCCCTTTTCCTCACTGATTCCTTCCTCGCTTCTTCTTTATCCTCTCGCTCTCATCTTGCACTGGCGCACTTTCCTCCGTCGGTCACCCAATCCGTTCCTATCAACCAGTCTGACCAGCCGGAAATCCAGATCCGATGCACGACCACGCCGCAGAACTTGTACTCCATTCCGTGTAAAATCGCGCCTCTGGCGCTACGATCGTTTACAAGCAATGGCTCTCTCGAAATCGAACAGGATCATTATCCTGTTGATCATTGATACAATATTTTTTCTCCTAGAATTGATTGTCGGTAAGTGCTTGTTCATCGTGACTCTTAACTATGCGTACGTAATAGCGTCAAACAAGAGACATTGCGCTAATCAATGGATGAATTCTGCTGCAGGTTACGCCGTACATTCACTCGCTCTCGTCGCCGACTCGTTTCATATGGTGCGCTTTATATCTATTATTAACAAGCAATAGAAAGATACTAACTTCAACGATCCCAAATTTAGCTTAACGATGTCCTCTCCTTGATCGTGGGCTTATGGGCTGTGAAAGTTGCAAACCAAGAATCCAATTCTAAACAATACACATACGGCGTAAGTGGATAGACCGGGATAATTGTTTTATATGTTTTCGTTTTCGTTGACAATCTGACTGGTTCAGTGGCAACGTGCGGAAACCTTGGGTGCCTTGGTCAATGGTGTTTTCCTTGTGGCGCTGTGCATGTCGATTTTCCTCGAAGCAATCCAACGGCTGGTTGAGCCTCAGGAAGTGAAAAATCCCAAACTGGTCTTGGTTGTTGGCTGTTTCGGTCTGTTGTCTAACATCCTTGGTTTGCTACTCTTCCACGATCACACCCATGGCCCTGGAGCTGAGGAACATGGACATGAACATGCACAGGGCGAAGAGGGAGATTTGCATGCTGCAGAGGAAGGGCACATCCACGAACATTCGACCCGCAAGATGGCCGACGAGAGGAACACTGTTGCTAGTGTTATGCCTCAGAATGTTGTAGGCGTTCGCCGTACTGATTCTGAGGACGTTGGGGAACGCCCTCAAATAATCGGCAATGAGAATGCAGGATCCCAATCTCAGGAAAGCCGGAGGTCTAGTTCCGGTCGGCGCGCTTCTTGGGGCTATAGTGGATCGAAGCCGCGAGCCTTTGCTAACCTGGACGACATTCATGTCCACCCGGCTGATCGATATCAGAATATCATCAATGCTAGCCAACTAAATGAGGAACCAGCAAGCGAGTCTGAAGACGGTGGTGAAGACGAGTCTACCGCCACGGAGCGCACTAGTTTACTTGGAAAAACGAGTCGCACACTACGGTACACCAATGGAGACAGTGCCCCGGCATCTAAAGCTGTCAAGGATGACATTCATCGGACTCATAACCACGCTATCCCGAAATCTGGAAAGAAAGGCCATGGCGGACATTCACATGGAGATCTCAACATGAGAGGAGTCTTTCTGCACGTTATGGGCGACGCACTGGGAAACATTGGAGTCATTGCCTCCGCGGCTGTGATTTGGCTAACCAGTTATTCTTGGAGATTTTACGTCGATCCAGGAATTTCACTCGTCATTACAGTCATTATTCTTTGCTCGGCTATTCCACTCTGCAAGGCCGCATCTCGGATTCTTTTGCAGGCGGTCCCCGCTGGAATGAGCATTGACCACATCCAAGAGGACATTAACAGCATCCGCGGTGTCGTAAGCTCGCATCACCTACATGTGTGGCAGCTGAGCGACACTAAGCTTGTTGCCTCGATACACATCCAAGTTGGAAGCGAGATCAAGGATGAGGGATCCGATAGCTACATGGAAGTTGCGAAAGAGATTCGCCGATGTCTGCATGCCTATGGGATTCACTCATCGACCATTCAACCCGAATTCGCTCCTGATACTGATTCCGAGAGCCAAAACGGCGCTGTATCATCTTCTCACAGCGGAGGTGACAATACCCGTATCCCCAGCCGTGCCAGCAGTTTCGGAGACGATAATGCATGTCTATTGGACTGCGGCGACGAATGTCCTCGTGGACAATGCTGCCCTAAGAAATAAACCCCTTTCCTCTTCCTTTCCTCTTTTCTTATGAATGCACACACATACCCCTTGACTCCTCACTTCCCCGCACGCCGCGCGGCCGCAGACAAATTATTTCTTCTGCGAGTTCCCCTTCATTCATATTCATTTTCTTCATACAAACTAATTACCTGTAATAATAAAAGCCGAGCTGGACCTAATCCCGATCAGTTTTGACTCCTGTCCTGCGTTTTTCTCTCTGTAAAACTTGCAGATTTTCCTCCTTCTCTTTCTTTCTTTCTCCATCGGGCTGGTTACGGTGTATTCCTATTCTCTTATTCTTTCTTCCCCATCAGAGTTTTTGTATTTTGTTATCTATTTGTATGGTGTTTGTTAGAAATGAGGACTTTTTCATACCTTTGTTAGTTTATCATTCCGTATCTGATTAGACGGTCAATGCTAGTCTAGAGTGGTAATAGTGGATTATGCTCTGCATTAATTTTCATAGTTTTTCACTCATGGTATAAAAAGTCGGTATTCAGAATCAATGGCTCATTCCTCCAAGCTTCCCAAGCCTGTTTGTAGGCAACTCATATAGGGCACGCTAACTTAGCCCTAACTATTGACCTAGTCGCGTGGCTATCCAACAACTATCTTCTTCTCAGTGGTTATCTTACTCAACGTCTCATTTGACAGATTCAAAGTATCTTGCACAATTTGTTTGGGAGTCAATCCAATCCACTGCGCGAGCGACATGTCTGATTATTTATTCAAGTCAGCAAGTCTTCGAAACAGAAAGGTGGGAATAGATGGAAAAGATGGAAAAGACTCACCAGAGTAATGGTCTGCCTGCAAAACCTCCAAAACAATAAGTACCTCATCCCCAGTATTCTCGATGTAATGGCTATTCGACTGAGGGAAATAGGCTATGTCGCCCGCCATATAATCAAACGTAGTAGCCTCACTAGGCGGCGTGAAAAGCGTCGCACGGCCCTGACCCTGAATGAAAAAGGTCCACTCGTCACTCGACGGATGCCAGTGAATCTCCCTCATTGCTCCGGGGTTAATAGTGACCACAGCCACCGAGAAGTCGCTAGCAATGGGGAAGGAAAGAGGATCAATGATCTTAACGGTTCCACCTTCAAGGAGTTGCGGAGGCTGCTCTGAGAAGTGGTACGAGTAACTCATGTTTTTGGGTATGTTTCCTGCTGAGCCGGTTTTATTCTGTTCTTGTATGTCGGTGGGTGCTGGTGTGCCGGGGAAGATGAAGAGTTTGTGTTCGGGTATGTTTTGCAAGGCGGAGATGTCAATTCCGAGATCTTTGGAGAGGACTTCTTTCTGTTATTTTGTGTTAGTTAGCTCTTCTTCCCTCCCTGGTTCTTATTTTGACTTACTGGATTATGAGCAAAAACTTCTGATGCAAGGAATGTGTTAGTTTCTGAGAATGAGCCTTGGTCAAAGACGAGCATGAACTCGACGCCGTTCTGTAGTGCTTGGATGCTGTGAGGGATCCCTCTAGAAATGATTTTTGAATCAATCATATATTTCTTTAAAAGGAGACTACAAAGTGAATGTGAGCGCTTACGGTGGGAAAAACCAAACATCTCCTTCGCCGACATCATCAACGAATGTCTCACCCTCATCGTTTACTGCCTATATTTTCCATACCATTAGTCTTGCCATAGAAATACTTAACCGTAAAGGAAACTGTGCAGCATACTTGAATTCTGCATGACCCATTCAACACAATAGCCCACTCAGCAGCCACATGCCAATGGAGTTCTCTGTATCCGGCTGCTTCGAGTCGCATGTTTACTCCAGCCATTTTGGTAGCAGCGGGCATGACATTTGTATTTTCTTCACGAGACCAGCCGGATCTTTCTTTTCCTAGTCTGTGTAGTGGACCATGTTAGGGTATACATGCACATGCCATAACGTAACGAAGAGTGTTCACGCACGTGACTGAGCTAAGACCTGTTAAATTGTTAACCACCAGATATTTCCTTTACTGGAGATTGTCAAGAGAGGATACATGTAACAACATACCTAGTGGCCATTGCGCGTTGATTGTAGCAACCCCAGTGTCTGTTCCTGGAGGAGCGAGTTTATCCGGGTTGATTTTGTCATAATTCAAGTTCCCTGTAAGCAAATAATCAATACAAATCTCAGTCAACCTTTCTTTTCTAAAAAGGGAACTCGTTGCATACGCGGGCCAGGATCCGTGCCACCGGTATCTCCTCGGATCGGCTGTGGATTCTCAACCTTCTCAAAGTCCAGATACAGACCGATGTCAGGATTGGCTGTCTGGCCTGGCGCGTACTGAAATGAGATTGTCTCCGTGTTGTCAACGGGGACCGTGTTCGTTGGCGAATATCCTATCAAGCGTGGACCTCCTCTCAGAGGATTTGATGATGCTGCCGCCGGTGCTGCAGTGACAGCGTCGATGGCTGAGAGGATGAAGACGGCGAGGGGGATGAATCGATTCATTGTCACGGAGAAAGAAGAGATTTTCAAATGTACTCGAGAGCCTCCCTAAGGCTTTAATGTCTAATACCAAGGCTATTTGGATAGGTCTTGAACGAACACGAAAATCTGCAAGTCAGGGAAAGGAGATAGTAGGTGCTTCTTATAGCAATTCCCGCATTCCCAGGTTTCCCCAATTTTTTCCTATTTTTATATCCACTTCACTTTTTTCCCCTCATGTGAAATATAAAAATATCTCTCTCTCTGCTCGCAGACTAGGGGAGGGCAAATATCAAGATCCGTCTTTGTGTGGTCCACCGCAACCTCATCCGACCCATGCAGCAGAGCGTCTCCTCTTCTCCTCACATTTGACGTCAGCAAACAATGCAACGCACTATTCTACCCCTCACGACTTAAAATGAGTGAATTAAAAAGTAATAGACGAGAGCTGACCGGAGTTTCACAATATTTGCATTGATACTAAAAATTGCAGGTAGTCTAGATAGTTATTCGGGTAGATGAAAGTATTTACTTGTACGCTATATTCTTTGACTGTATGAACGAAACCATAGGAAGAACCTTATTGTAGCTGTTCATCTAAAACATCTTAACGTAGTGGAGGAACGTATCTTGGTCACTGTTTTATTACGCAAAAATACCTATATATAGTATACATGCAAGGATGAATCTAGTATTGGCTGAATGATTAATAGCTGAAATGCGCCGCCCACTGGTGGCACTACAGACAGAGATGGACATAATAGTAAAATATACCAAGTTCACAGGATATGACTGGACGAAGTGAATGATTGAAGAAATAGGCTCCGCGGGTGAGGATCTTATGGCTTGTCTACTAAAGATCACCGGTAACTACCTAGGTAGTAGAAGTTCATATGTTGATTATATTTGTGGACAGCTAGAGAGTATTCCCGGGTTTATTCTATACGTGCATACGTTCTCGTGGCAATGCAGAAGATTGATTACCTGTAAGTTTGTCTGCCGGCGAGATTCAATAGTCAACCGGAGAGAAACTATTCTTATATATCAGCTGATCAACAGAAAACAATCCTTGAAATAGACATATCAAGGGGTCTTCTTCACTTACGTGAAATTATTCAGTGGTACCCTCTTCAAAAAATCCCTCGAGAGATTTAATTCAGTGCGTAATTTTTCTTTTCCCAAACCGGTAATTACCAAGCTCGAATATGACCCCCTCACCTTAATACAGGGCTGGTTGGCACATGGTCAAGGGCCGTATAATAATCCCGCAACCTTGGAACTCTTTTGATCCTAGGGGTTGTGACCCTGCCTACTTCTTACACATGCCGATTCATCCGGATTATCCGGCGCTTGGAATTCAAGAAGAAGGTTTCCCGGGATTTTCAAATACTGCCTGGATACACAAATATCTTAGATTGGCCACGTATCTATTTATAGAACCAATCGCATCTCTAGCCAGCAGCGAGTATAGGTGAGAGCAAACAGACAAGTTCTCAATTTTTCCACTCTGCGGTTACAGAAAAAAAGAAAAGAAAGCTACCAAGTAGAAAAAGGGAGGGGGTTTGGATTCAGCCCCGGTCACTTGTATATGCACCTACGTTAGAAGTCGGCAAATGAAGAAACAAGAGTTGCCAAGCGTCTGCAAGGACAAGGATGATGCAGATGCAGCATTCGTCATGAGCGATTCGCCGAATGACGTCTATAATCTATGAATAGATACACACATGATTTACTCTCGGTAGATATGGACCGGCTTGGCTGTGTAATTCCAATGTATGGACGCATAGGACCTACCTTATTCCGACGATTTGGATATATCCTGAACTACCCAAATAGGCAACAATCTAGCTACTCCGGGTGGATTCAAAGAAAACTCCGGGTTCCAGCATGCCGTGGTTTCTCGGAGGCACTGCATAATCACACCAATTTCCCTAAAAAATCATAAGCTATTTCTATTTGCAGAGGAGCCTATCTAGGTATGCCATTTTTATATAAAAAATAAGTAACGTGCCCTTTGAAGTTCAAAGTCTAGAATACCTCAACAAATCAGTCAATCAGCAAACTCGTAGCCAACTATTTTCCACCATGCTAGTAGTGCTTTCCCAATATTGTTAAGACGTTGTGGTAGAGTTAGCGTTGGTTTGTTTGATGGATAATTATATGTATGTGTGGGGCTGAGTGGGAACGAAAAACCTCGCATCTTCCAAGACGATAAGCCCTTTTTTTTTCCCCAGTGATGCAATGAATCCCTTTATTGGCGTATTCCAGCCAAATAAAACATGGCATCGCATCGGTCTCACTTCCGAATTCCCGGATATAGCCCAAGGCGATGATGGCTGCCGGATAACACCCAGCTGCAAAGCCTTCAAAATTTACAACACAATCGGCCAGGGTCCAGTCGAAGCAAGCGTCGATCTACCGGGGGACCTGAAAGATCAAGTGCTTATCTTCAAGTACAAGGGCAATTTCCATGCCATTGATCACGTATGTCTTTCAACAAGAGATTCACTGTACTCAAGCAAGACTGACTATTCCAGCAATGCCCTCACTCTTCATTCCCGCTTTCTCAGGGCAGTCTGTTCGATATTGAAGATTTTGGAATCACTCTCAGCACTGGAATTACGTGCCCCAAGCATGGCTGGTCATTTGACACTGTAACCGGCAAGGCAGACCGTGGAAACTATAGGCTCAATATTTGGGAAGTGCAGCTGCGTGATCAACCAGGGTCTAACACCAGCGATAAGGAGGTTTGGGTGCGGCGGAAACAAAGGATTGGTTGATTATACTAAACGATAATATTTTCATATTCTAAAACAACAACTTCTAGAAGTAGTGAACTCAAGAAACGGTGCCTTTTGTGGGCTCTCTGCTTCCCAATTCTAATTCATAAGACGAGCCTGGCCTACTAGTTTGTTTTTGTAGGTATACCGCAGGAACGTACGTACTGGGGGTGTGGTTTCGCGGAGACTCGGTGGCCCAAGTCCGTGAACTTCAATTCAATGTGACGAGGACAGCAACAAATCGAAAAACCAGAATATTTGCTGCATAATACTGCTAATATAGCTCCTGTTGAGCCTTTGACTGTGTGGAAACTATCCGGCAGGCCCGTTTCCAGGCTCCAAAGGTCATTTTTACAAGTCGAGTTATCCATGCCTGCGCCAACTATAGGTCTTCCCTCAGATCCTTGCACCGAGTACATATCGTACTATGTTTGGCGGGCTGGAAATATAGTCTCCCTGGTATCCCTGCTGATACTTGCGGAGCACATGATTGTAATCATTGTATACGTAGCCTCGAATTCATCCCTAAATTGGCCCACCACATACCTAGGTAAACTTCTCTTAATAAAGTGTATAAATCCAGGGGGGTCTTGGAAGATTGCCGTCCTTTCCGACGGAAATGAACTCAACCCCTCAAGCCCCCAATAATCGTTTCACCCCGCAAGAGTTGCGTGGCCTGCGTATAGAAAATTGGAGTATTACTGATCAATCGTCCATATGACCAAAATGTCCTCGGGTCTACCTGTCTATTCGATGTAAGATGAGCCCGTGCGTAGGAGCCGAAAGCGAAGAAAACAAGGGTATATGACATTAGCTAATATATACAAATCGAATAAAGAACAGCCTGGCCAGCGTGTGTTATATAATAAACAATAAATCATAAATATACACAGGAGAAGCAAAGTAGACAAACGCCGTAAAATCAGAACCGCGGCACTCGACAACGGCTTTTCGCGTCTTCTGGCGCCGTCCGCCACACCACATCTGCGACCTCCTTGCCCACTTGCTCAATGGCATCCATTGCCCAAAGAACATCCAAGTGCTCGTAATCATCAATGATCTTGTGGTGCACAAGATTTACATACGGTTCTCTGCCATTGCGTAATCTGCGTAGAAGTCTGCGTCCATCCACCAAATCGTCCGAGCCTGCAATCCATAATGCGAACGGTGGTGTTTTGGGCCCATACCACGCGTTCGCTTTGCGATGATGATGATGATCAACAGCAACTTCTGCTGAAGACGAATAATCATCCGGATCAGGTGACGACGACTCGGCGTGAGTTTTGGCAGCTGCACTCCTGTGCTCATAGGCTCGGTCCTCTTCTTCCTCTCGCAGTCCTTGCTCTTCAGTGGCCAAAATGCACTTCTGGACCGCGAAACCGTCACGCCCAAGCCACCATCGCATGCTCTCTGCGCTAACATAAACCGGTGAGAATTGAAACATGCGGTCACGTAGTCCCCGATCCCACCGTTTGTCGCTCCAGTCAAAAAGATAAGAAAACACACGATAGCCAAGCACACCGTACAATCGTGACGGTAACAGACGGTGCATCGTCATCATAAAAGGAATGAAAGCGTGGATGCCGAAGAAAAGCCGAAACGCACTCGGAGATATTATTCGCATGAAGCGGAAGTAGGCTTTCTTGATCAGAGGCCCGGCATATGCCGCCGGTGCAAGGGCACAAAATACAGATATGCGCTCGCCCAACTCAGGTCGTTGGTCTTCCGCTAGGGCCACCATAGCCTCGGTGGTACCTTGACTATGGCAAATAAGGCCTAGAGTTTCAAATCCAGTCTCGTACAGAACTCGAGAAACAAAAGCTGGAAGATCCAGCACACCCATGTGGCGAATATTCCAACACCACATACGCGGATCGTTATAGTGGAGTGTCGTGTGTTGCGGCTCAAAGCCACATCTATTGTTGCCCAACCAAACGTCATATCCAGCCTTGCACAAAAAGAAAGCTAAGCTGTCGTCATCGTTGGCACAGTAAGCGCCTGCACTTTGAAGCAAGCCGTGGATCAACAGGACAGGATATCGGTGGTTTGATGACGGCAGTTCACCGGCTTTCTTATCATAGAACACTTCTGGTTTCCGGAAGGCCCTCTCGCTCTCCGGGAACGGTGTATATTCATGAGGATTATAAATGTGCCATAATGTTAGAATAAAGCCATCCTCCGTCTGGACTTTGAATGTCTCGACATCTAATCCAACACGCCTAGCGTAGTAACCAATGTCAAAGATTACCGGGTCATCTCCGCCTTCTAGAGGTGGGAACTCTCTATCTGATTCCGGGTCCTCGACTGGTTGATTATTTTCTTGTCCGAATATCGTATCCATCTTCTCCGTTCTCATCTCTCGTTGCCTGTGTTCCCACCTCTTCGCAGCTTCCTGTCTCGTCAGCTCTCTTTCCATCTCTTCCTTATAGAATGGCCTTTCAAACTTTGAATCTTGCCCCCTAAATCGCAAAAGAAGGCTTCTAACCCCAATACTTATTCCACTCACACAAGATCCCATGACTATCACACTGAGAAACGAAAGTGAGAGGCAAAACGAGACAGCGCGAAAGGTCTGGCATTGCAAGGTTCGCAAGAGAGACGGCGGGCCATAAAGTGGCAGCGGGGGAAAAAGCGGATGCGTATGTGCTGGAGGTTTAGCTATATCAAGCGGACCGCCATGCCCTTCAGGCGAATGATTGTTCTCCGAGCGTATTATCTCAGCAGGTAAAACTTCATCCTTCGTTTCAATCTCACACGGACTCGACTGCCCCAATAAAGGGAAGGTATGTTGATCATAGGCAATAGCTTCATTTCGTAGACGATTTAATTTCTGTGCTTCCTCCACCGGCACTGCAGGTAAACGGTCTCCTTCTACGGTCTCAATAACTGCATCGTGTGGGGTTATAAATCGCCCTGCAAGTGCAGTATTTTCGTCGCGCTCGTCTTCGTTACGTCCACCCAGAGATAGTTTTTGGGCCTGTTTGGCAAATTTAAGAGCCTTTGACGGTTTGCTGCGATTGGAAGCGTTGGTGGACGTAGAGGACGAGGGCACCGGGGAGGACATGGTTAGGCATAGGTGCCTTGACGTGAAGGGGTTCTGACACGGTAAGACGGCAACATGAATGACCCCAACACGGTGTAAACACGGTGCCTGAGAAAGATGAATTGATTCTGTTTAGCAGGGGTTGATGCGGAGTCTAATTTAAGTCGGGGCTAGGCCTTGGCAAGTGGGGCCGCAACCCCGGCCTATGACGTTGGGGCTCAGATCTCTGACATTGTGGCTTAGAATAGAAGCAAGTAGAGAAAAAACATGAAATCATTGCAGTTGTTCTTGTTTTATATAGATAAAAGATTTAATAATAATCAACTGCTTTCTATTATACTAGTGCTCGCTCCTAGCTGCCTTTAGATTGTCAAGTAAGTTAGAATTGCTTAATCACACTCGGCCTGGTGAGTGAGATTACAGGCTAAAACGCCATGTGTATTCAACACTGAAAAAATTCAAATTACAAAGAAGAGATCCTAAGCCATCTTGTCATTCTTGTTTCTCTCCCTGACTCTTTAATTGACATCATCTTTATTGTCTTGACTTTCGACTTTCACGCCAATCCCTCAAGTCTTCTAGGGCCACTTACAGAAAGTATTAACTTTCAACTGTCATGAGATGATATTTGGCTGGTGAATTTGGCGGTGTAAATCGTCCAATTCTAATAACAGCAAATTTCAGTCTTGCGCAACTGCAGGTTGTTATTTAGCTACGAAAAATGGGTGATGGGCAACCCGATTATGTCCGAATTACGGTTCCTAGCAGATGGCTTATATTCTCATCAATTCCTCCTAGTCTCGACTATGTCCTGAGTACTTTTTTAAACAAAAGATTGGTAGCTAGTACACGATTATTTTTGCTTGCCCTCGAGGTCTGTAAATAACTCATAGCCAAAGTCCTTGCTCGAATCATTGAAACGAAGCTTCTTATCGAGCTGATCAATTTCTTTGATGTCCGAATCGTCAAGTTTGAATGCAATGTCGAAGTTCTGTTTGATGCGCTCTGGAGATTTGGACTTGGGAATGACCGAGCGGCCATGTGATATGCCCCAGGCTTGAAGATTTCAGTCACGTTAGCAGCTGTAGGACAACGTAAAGACAAAGATCAGACATTCTTACCAAGAGCGACCTGGTTCGATGTTTTTCCATACTTCTTCCCAATCTTCACGAGCTTCTCGTCGTTCACTAGCTGACCGTATTTCTCACGGGAGCCATAGATTTCGTTTTGGTTACCAAACGGCGAATATTGGGTGACATGAATACCTTTCTGCTTGTGGAATTCTGTGAAGTCCTTCTGTTGCAACCACGGATGTAGCTCCATCTGGTGAACCGCTGGAACAGTGGATGCATTCTCCAGAATGCGCTCAACTTCCTTCTTGGAGAAGTTGCTTATTCCAATAGCTTTGGTCTTTCCCGTTTTGAGGAGAGCCTCCATAGCTTTGTAGGTCTTCATTTTATCAGTAATGCGCGATTCACGTGGATGAGATTGGTAGAAGGAGGGGGAACTAACGTCAAGATAATCAATGTTATCAGTAATCAATCTACCATCTTTATCGGAGGGGAAGGGGTCGTCTCCACGCTTAAACGCAACCGGCCAGTGCATCAGGAAAAGGTCGAGATATTCGAGCCCCAAGTCATCCAATGTCTCCTGTAATGCCAATCCAACATCATCTGGATGGTGCCTGTTGTTCCATAGCTTGCTGGTAACAAATATATCGTTGCGCGGCACGCCACTCTGTTTAATGGCCTTTCCCACTGCTGGTTCAGTACCGTAGCTAGAATTTCAATTTAGCTTTTGTTTCAACAAGAAATGAGTAGTGGATGAAATACCATCTTGCGGTATCGATGTGGCGATAGCCTGCTTTGAGAGCTGCAAGGACCGCGGCCTCCTGAGCCCCCTCGTCCTGCCATGTTCCTAGTCCAATAGCAGGAATCTCAGCGCCAGTATTGAGCTTGAAAGTCTTCTGGTTCTGGAATGACATATTGGTATTGTTGATCATTGGAATTTTGTATGTGACGAGAGGCACAGAACAAGGACGCCTCTTTTAAACCATCAAAGAGACCCATTTTCTGATGTCAGGATTTATTAATCGTTACGTTGCAATGACAAGAGCGTCACGGTGTGAGGAAATATATCTTGTACCTAGATATAGAAAGGCCCATGACGTCAGATCTGTCCCACCCTGTCTGAGTCCGGATATGGCAGTAACCCTAATCCCATACTCCAATTCCAAGGTTCTTCTCAATGCCTCAGAACTTAGAATGCCAATTGAGTTGGAGATTCTGGTTGTGGTGGGGCAAAATACTGCTCCGTCCAATCCTGCTGGGTTTCTGTAAATTGACGAACCTGCGCTTGTTTTGGCGATGACTTGACAGTTTCCATTCTGCAGACAACTGTTTACCTGGCCACTCTGGCAATGATCTTGCCTTTGGAGGCTGAATGGGATGCGTATTCGACGTCATGATTCCCTGATGTAGCAGCCCGAACATGTATCTCTGCCGCGTTGACCTGTCTGCCTTTGATGTGATTCTTTAGCGCGGCGGGACGTCTCACAAACAGACAACATATAAAAAGAACACCATTTATATGATTTTATTAGAAGCTCCGTTGAGGAGTCCCGTTCTGGTGGCTTGATGGTCGAAAACATGTTGTAGATCGCTTCTCTTTCTCCCAGGCATCAACTTGTTGGACAGATTTGCATCTAGCGTTTCCCCCTGAATTTTTGTCATCAGAAGACATTTGACTCATCGATCGTGTGCAGATGGCTCATACGCCCGGTCGGGCTGCGAAGTCTAAGACAGTAACAGAAACTCTCCTGAGGAACAGTGACTTATTTTTACGAATATGTCCTGTGTTGTTCTGCACTAACAGTCACGTGAAGTTCTCTCCTTGGTGATTTCCAAATAACCACATCGGCTCATGCAAAAGGGAAATGGGATATCGTAGTTTTCTAGTTTTCTCATACAATTTCCTGGTTCGATGTCGCATCCAATCACAATACTGTCCGGTCACCTATCTAATACATAAAATTGTTTTATGGATGCGTTGACACTGGTAACTAGAAAATCGCCAGCGACAGAATATGACGAACCTGATGTAATCTCTCTTTAGAGGTTCTTGATGATACAGAGCCCAAGAGAGTTCTGGGATTTTCTGTGATTGCAATGCACTTAAGTGCACACAGCCTCCTATTTAGGGAAGATTGCCTAGAGAAGCCAGCTGAACAGAGAAAATAGACCGCTCCACTGAAGATGGGCCCCCGTCAAAGAGGGAGGGTGGCTGGGATTATCAGTGGTATTTGGTCCTACTTTTTCGGGTTCACCAGCTGAACTCTTGGAGTTGGATGATGAAGGCGTGGACGACTAAGTCTCAACCTTAACCCAAATGCAGTCTGAGGATTCCAATCCAAAACCAGGACGACATTTGGCGACAGGCAGCAGGAGCGGTATAGGCAGATCACGATTGATCCGGACTGAAGATTCAAACCCGCTCCTCTATATCCACTGGGGATGAGTATGAATTTATAGCCCTTGTCTGTCTTGAAGGCCTCTGCGCATTAGTCTTTGCTATTGAGTCCATCGTTCCGTTAGAGGCATATATCCATGAACGTTGCCGTGATGACACAGGAAACGACGTCCAGGAATCGTAGAAATGTAGGAATATAGAAAAGATGACCACTACTTACCCGGCCATTTGGTCTTGATATGACGGATGAGCCGAAACACTGCACGGACCCTGGATAACTAAATGAATTCTGCTGTACTGAGAAGGTCAAGTTGCTTCAGCCCAGACAGCGGTGAGACACGCACAGAGGCAGTTGGTGCCAGTTAACGATGCCGCATCAGTGGCGTGACTGGCAGCGCATCGAAGCAATGCATCTCAGCGGAGTGTCTTATGGCAGTAGTGCAAAAATGTACGGGCCAAGTTAACCACAAGGCACGAAAATTTCGTTGAGATACAAGCTATGTTGAAGCACTAGAACCGTGCGAGTGCTAGGCTGGCCGTATATAAGCGCCACCATTGAATAACCATGATATATGGAGACTGTTGGTGGGGTCTATGTGACAGAAAGTCTGAAACTAAAGTGTGCTCACATAGTAACAGTTATGCAGTATGCTTACAGATCGGGGTTGATTGGTTCCTGTAACCCACTTCTCCTTTCCTCTCAGATTCTCAATCCTTGAAACTTAATTTTGATTAATAAATCAAACCGTATTCTTGTGCTAACATTCTTCGACTATAAAGAGCGGTCGGATTGAATTGTCTCTTACATACCGCATAGACGGGATTGCTATGCCTTGCGACATTAAAAACAGCTTCTAGTCCATGACGACCGAGTTTTGCCCTTTTTACGCAGATTCTTGAGGTATGGAAATAGTCCATCAATTTAGCTCTGAAGATGATACTAGCGGCTTTACAAGTCATAGATTCTACCGCACACGTTAATTGGACGCGATCATGACGCAGCAATACGCCGCCCAACAGTTACAAGGTTTTAATAATCGCATAGATACTGTTGCCATTATCGGAGTACGCACTTGTCTGAAATCTCCAGGCGACCCTCTAAATCTATTCTAATATCCTCCAGGCAGGCGGGCAAATTGGTAGATTCTTCACCAAACATATCCTCAAAACTGGAAAGCATGTGGTCACAGCTATTACACGGCCTGGCACCTCCCATGCTTTCCCAGGCGGCGTAAAAGCAGCCGCTATCGACTACAATGACGAAGACTCTCTCGTCTCAGCTCTGACGGGACAAGATTTCCTCATTATCACTCTGTCCCTCGCTGCACCCCCAGATACGCACAGCAGGCTAGTTAAAGCGGCGGCGAAAGCTGGTGTCCCATATATCATGCCGAATGCTTATAGTATCAATTTCTACGACAACGAAATCCTTCAACGGGACATTCCAGTGGGCCAGACTGTCCTCGAGAGGATCGCCGAGGTCAAGCAGCTAGGAATCAACTGTATTCCAGCCATGGTCGGCTTTTGGTATGAATACAGCCTTGCAATGGGCGAGGACACCTTTGGGTTCAAATGGGCCAGTCGCCAGGTCACATTTTACGACGAGGGCAAGAAGTCCATTAACTGCTCTACATGGGATCAGTGTGGCCGCGCAGTGGCTGCTTTGCTCAGCTTAAAGAGACTGCCTGACGACGAAGACGATAAGTCGGTAACTTTGTCTCGGTTCCAAGACCGACCACTGTTTGTGTCGAGCTTCACTGTCAGCCAGAAAGATATGCTAGAGAGTGTGAAAAGGGTGACAGGAGCTACCGAGGGAGAATGGAAGGTGTCTTACCAGCCTAGTAATACTCGGTATAAGGAGGGCTTGGAAGAACTGTACCGGGGTAAGCAAACAGGTTTCTACAAAGCGATGTATGCCAGAGTGTTTTATCCCAGCGGCGACGCGGACTTTGGACCAGACAACATGCTTCTTGGACTACCGGAGGAGGACTTAGATGAGGCGACCCGTAGAGCGATTGAAATTAGCGAAGAATTTTGAGATAGTCGTCCTAGTCTACTAATGTTATTTCCGTGACGGCTAGAGGAAAACTCACGCTCTTTCCAGTTTATAGTCTCAGTAAGCTACTAAGGATGGATAAAATTCTTTAGCAATTTACATGTTACGAGACATCTCAGAATTTGTTCTGATTTGACAACACCTTCTCGACAATGCGAGGAATAAAAGCCTAATTCTACGAAATCTATTAGCCATTGTTTGATTATCACGCTTAAAATTGACATACCATGAAATACAGGTTTAATGGTGTGGCCGAACAAGAAGATCGGTTGCTTATTACTGAAGCGAGACACATCCGCCATAATCTCAGCGGCCTCGGCACTTTCGAAGGCCTCCTTCAACCCCTTTTCGCTTTCCCAAAACACCTGGTGTCCAAAGGCATACCAAGGATCGGTACCATCCAATGAGGGCATAAACTTGGTGGCGGACCCGCCCTTTGGGGCCAAATTTGGTCCAATGCTTTTCAATGAGGGGCATATAATTCTGCGTATAATAATCGATGTCGTACTGAGCATCAAGCTCGTTGGGGGGAAACAACAGTGATCGTGCACGCCTTTTATGATTTTAGAATGCCTGATTAGGCGAAAGAGGTTTTCTATTCTGGGAAAAGATAGCAAGTGAGAAAGATGATTGAGTCTGGGGCAACGGTAGGAGGAAAGAAGAGCGACTTCTATATTCGTCTACCCATTATCAAACCCAGCGGTGCCACGTTCTTCCTCCTTGATTAGAACCTAATTGGAAGTGACCACTCAAAATGATTTTTGCCCATGTTGAAGCACTCTGAAGCCAAGAGAGTATTAGGGGCAAAAACAACAGTACACTGTTCACCGCTCAGAATCCTCCCACTGTGATGAGGCAATTTATAATCGAAGCGGCGGACTTCAAGAGTGAGGACGCTTGCAGATGGAATTTAACGTTCGCGAATGTAATTGAGCCACTACATATAGGAGCAGCCAGCCTATCAAATATAACATGTAAGCAACCCGCCTCAGATCTCCACCACTGCCAGGAACAAAACCAAGATAGATGTGACCAATGACGGTTGAGAAATAAGCACATAAACATCTTTACTATGTAATCTAGAGTAGGAAGCTTCGGTGAGTAACCAGGCGGAATATGATGAAAGACGAATGCAATGGGAGTTGCAAGACATCTACTGTCTCGTCAATGTTCTTCAGGTAGATACAAGTCATTTCGAAGCTCCGCGAAAACGCACCAATGCCGTCGGAGCGGTATCTTCACACAATTTTCCGAACACAATTAGAACCGCCTCAGTAGCATCGGTTATCTTTCTGATGGATGTATATTTTTAGGCATATAAGGCTCTTCCACGTACTGCTTCTCCTCCTCAGTTAGTTGCACGCTGATAGCACTGACGGCCTCCTCAATTCTCCCGACACTGTTGAGTCCCAAGATAGGATTCTCGCCATTGCTCAAGCACCATGCAATGGCGACCTGGGCCATGGTAGTTCCCTTCTTCTTTGCCAGCTCTTCCACCCGGCCAACAACAGTCTCGTCTGCCACTGTCTCCCGATCGCGGATGATACTTTTCAAACTCATATCTGTCGACTCGCGCACGGTTGAGCGGGAGCCCCAGGGTCGAGCAAGCACGCCGCGGGCCAAAGGCGACCAAGGAATGAGCCCGATTCCCGTATCCTTACAATAGGGGATCATCTCTCGCTCCTCTTCACGGCAAATCAGGTTGTGCAAGTTTTGCATCGAGATGAATTGATGCCACCCATTACGGGCAGCTATATTTTGAAGGGACTGGAATTCCCAGGCTGCCATCTAGAATTGAGCTCCAGTTAGTTGACCATTATCCCCCCCCCACCTCCTTAAACAAAAAACCCGAAGATTGAAGTAACTAACCGAACTGGCGCCGATATATCGTACTTTACCGCTGTCTATGACATCGTTCAGTGCCCTCATTACTTCCTCCCGCGAGGTATTGCGGTCGAGGCGATGGATCTGCAGAACGTCGATGAAGGTCCCAAGTCGCCGGACACTTCCTTCGACTGCATCAAAAACATGTTTTCGAGACAAACCCACGCGGTTAACCCATTCTTTTCCATCATTGTAGATTGTCGCACGATTGGGCGGCTGGCCACCTTGATCATCCACGCCGAAATAACATTTGGTCATGATGACCACGCGGTCGCGAGGGATTTGCTTCTCTCTCAAGAATTTACCAATGATTTCCTCTGAGCGACCATGAGAATAGACGTCCGCCTAGCTTCCACCATACACGTCGGTCAGAAATACATCCGATAGTTATATGTCTTCTTTGGCATACCGTGTCCCAGGTGTTGATGCCCAAGGCATAAGCATGTTCTAGCAGCGGAAAAGCTTCTGCTTCGTCAAGGACCCAACTTTGCCAATTGCTGCTGCCATATGACATGGTGCCTAATATGATCTTGGATATTTTAAGGCCCGAATTGCCCAGTCTAAAGGTTAAGGGGGCCGGTGTATCAGTGGCATGCATTCTCGAGCGGGTCTAATGGCAACTATACCGGACATATTCCATTTTCTGCTCCATAACGTCCGAAGATAGGGTTGGCAATCAGCTCGAATGCTGGGTGAGGATCGAGAAGAAATGGAAGGTAGTCATCCCCATGACAAAACAGGACCAACAGCCCATGAATAAATAATACAATAGGGGTGGGGTAACCATAGTCTCGACCTTCGATGATGGTGAAACTCATAGAACAACATCTCCACCCAACGCAAGCTTCATGAACTTACTGCATGGAACCTTGAACTATGTGATGTAACCATAACGTTCTATCTTACTCGTCCTAAAAATAAGGGGGAAAGAAAGTAGAGAATAAAGAAAAGAAAAGAAAAGGCTGTTCTCAATTTTCTGGCACTTCGGAACACTGAGAGTTAGAGCCTGGGGAACGCCAACTGCTTACTCATTTCCTCTGATTGGCTGCGATAGCGTTTCGGAGTTTATTGAAAGTGGCGTCCCATTTTGCCCGGACGTATGCTCCTACTTTGAGTATATATCCAGCAAATAGAAGTCTCTCGTTTATCGAGCTTTCTTTTCACGGGCAAGGATGGCATATAGCGTTGACAGTGGGCCGATCTATCATGCATACGCTGGATGACTCCACCACGTACGCTACCTGCTTACAGATCGAAGTTGATTGGCTCGAACATAATACTCCTTTGTTGTTGGAGATGGCAAATCATTATCAGCAACTGCTTGAGTGGCATCTTGTTGGATTCTTGGCCGGGGAATGGTTCTGACCAATCCGAAGCCCGCGTACACACGCTTTACTACAGACAGACTTCAACCGGCATAAAGCGAAGAAGGAGCTAGCACTATTAAGGAAAGGCGTCTAGTTAAAGCAGCGAACAGCATGACCACGCAAAAGATATATATCAACATGTATTTCAGAAAACAAGAGAAATGAATACTATCATATATACTAGGAGAACTATATAGACGCTCTCATTCATGTGCCTAGTTACTGCTTGGCATAGCTCTTTAAATCTGGTAACTTTGATTGTACACTCAGAGTGTCAGCAAGGCAAACATACTTAAGATATTACAATACCTCAAGGGACTTCTTCTATCTTAGTTGTAAGGCTAATCTTTATCCACCCAACAAGCATCCTGCTATCCAGTAGGATTATTTAGATAATCAAAGCCTCGAAGAACCTCTGGGTGGCTCAACCATCGTATTGTACCTCGACATCGCCAGTGACAGTTAAGATGGATACAGGTCCATGACACGTACCTATAGGCTGCAGTAACAATCATAACTGGAAAAAGCTTGATTGAATTATGAAATATAATAAACCCACGTAGTATTATTATCTCTTTCATAAAGATTCTTGTCAAACAACGGTAATAGTTGCATACTAGTTATCTTACCTAAAATACCTAGTCTATGCTTGAAAGGTATATCCTTCAATATTCCTGCAACTGAGGGAGAGAAAGAAAGTCAGTGAAGTGGCATGCAGGTGCCCCATTGAGTCCTCGATCAAGTCCTGCCAGTCACGAAAAGGGAAGCGAACAAACGAAATTACGGATGCGCTGGTTAGGAAGGATGGTACTCCAGTATACATTTCTATGTATCCCTTCTAACTTCAGAATTAGCTTTTTCGGGGCAATAAATTCTGCGTTCTGCTTAATGAGCCGTTTCTTTACTGGTGCCTGTGTCTTCACTGATACCACAGCTGGTTACATCGCTTTGATCAGCATTCTATTCAGTTGCGATATTATCAATCTTTTCAGAAAGCTTTTGTTTCAACCGCTCTTCCTCGTTAGTTTCTTCACTATTATTGATTTCTTCTTATATAGTTCTCTCCTGCTCTTTGGTCTTCTCCTGATCAGCCTCGTTCATATGGATATTGTCCGGACCTAGGGAACTGACGGTTCGATGATTCATACTACTCGAGTTTTACATTTCTATTCAGCACTACTTAAGAGTTTGATTCTTGTAATATTTTTCTTTATTATAATGCAGTAAATTAATTTATCGGTGATTGGGAATCAATCATTAGATAATACACTAACTTCATTATCTTTCTCACACAGTCATCCCTGAAGCACCTTACCTATAAATCCGGAGAACCGCTTTCGAACGAGTGCCTCCTATTATTTTGTACCGTATGAAGTGCATATGATGGCTTCTCTGTTTTCTCCAGCCTTCCGGAGCTCTGCTAGCTTTTGTTGTCGCCTAACATGCTTTAGATCTGGAGTAAGTATCATGAATAGTCTTCAAAGACTAGGTTTTTTTTTGAAGACATATCTTCGACCTTCTCCAACTCCCGTATGCACTATCTTGTTGAATCGATTTTCTTAGAAGGTGTGGGGAACAGCGAGCTGAGGAGACTTCCACTCAGGCCAAGGACCGATCAAATGATCAAACGACGGGGAGTTGGAGACGCGAGGGGTAAAGTCCTCCAAGTCCCACAGGTAGCCAAGGGTCTTGAGAACAGAGGTAGCGCTGTAAGGCTCGGCCTGGCCGTTGGTTGGGTTGACACCATAGTCCTCAACGTAAGCGGGAAGGGTGTAAGGTGAGATCAAGAAAGTGGGCATACGACCACCATAACGGTCGAAGTAAAGGGTATAGTTCTGGCCATCGACAGCAGTTTCCGTGTAAGTTTTTGAGTCTGGTCTCACAGCAGCGGGGGCCGGAATATGGTCGAAGAATCCACCTCGACGAAGTTAGCTAAAGAAACAGTATGAGGTGGCGAAGTTCTTACCTGTCTCATCGTAGGTCAACAAGAGAAGAGATTCTTCCCACTGAGGACCGTTGCGAAGGGCCTCGTAGATTTGCTTAACGAAAACCTCACCGTAGGAGACGTTACCGCTAGGGTGCATGGAGTTGGTGTTAAGGCCACAGCAGGAAGGGTTCAGGTAAGACAGCTGAGGAAGCTGGCCCAAGTAAGCATCTTGGAAGAAATTCTCGATGGGGACAACGCTGGACTTGGCGTTCTCGGCAGTCCAGTTAAAAAACAGACTGTCTGGAAGAAACGCGCCATTGGTGCCATCGTAGTTGAGCCAAGAGATGTTCTTGCTCGTAGCTTCTTGGAAGATGCTGTTAATGTCAACACCAGAGGTGAGGAAAGAATCGTCGTTGTAACCATGACCATCCGAGGTACCTGAAACGGCACAAAGACGGTTGGGGTTTGTGGGCTACTCAAATATCAGAAATTTGTTCTCGAATGTCTACATAGAAGACACAAATGCAAACGGAAACAAAACATGGAAGGCACTTACTCCGGGAACACAAGAGAACCAGTAGTTGAAGGTGACGAATTCATCTACCAAGTTGACCATGACGGGGATCTCGTCCTCAGAGTAGTAGCCCATGACCTGCTTGGCAGCAGTCTCAGCGGTGATATGCGGATAAGAGATCATCTGTTTCTCAACGAAACCTTGCTGGGTTTCTTTGAGACTGCCATTGGAAATGGCGTTGTTGTTTGGCGAAAATTGGCCAAAGAACTCAAAGTTGTTGCCGGTGACTGAATGGTCCGGGTCATTGACCACGGAGTCAAAGTCCTTGAGGCTAGTGCACCACTGCTGACCATTTGGCTGGCTGAGATTCTGTGGGATGCAGTAGTCACCGTTGTTGGTGGGGTTGTCTAAACCACGGCCATGGATACCACCGAGGATATTGTCGAAAGAACGGTTTTCAAGCAAAATCCAAACAACGTTCTTGATCTTGCTCTTCAAGTTGGCAATCGACTGCTCCGATCCGGCCGTGTAGCCAAATGGCGCAGAGGTGTGCTTATTCATAGACTCGCTTCCAGTCCAACCAAAGTGGGCTGAGGTCGGGGAGGCCAGGGCCGAGGAAGCCAAGAGGCCGGTGACCGTAGCAGCAGCAACGCCAGACTTCATGATGGCACTTTCAGGTAGCTTCTGAGGTCTAAGTGTGGTTGACGATCATGAAGGTAGAGGGAGTAATTAGGCGGTTGATGCGCGCTCTTATATGCACAGAGGGGAGACGTCGTGTCACTTGGCAACTTTCCTCGACTGAGAAATGACGCCCACGTGGGAGTGCATGCTGCAGCACTTAAACAGAACTCGAAAGTGCCAAGTCTTTTTGCTCGCACTTTGGAAATGAGCATTCCGCACCTTCCCGAGAAGCAGTGTGCATGTTATTCTTCGCGATTTGCACACGTGCCTCCTACCTGCTTCTGAGGCTCCAGCGGTGCTTGCTTTGTGTCTGCGGTGATTGGAGAAATCTTTTATGCGATGTTTTGCATAAACAGTGAAGGATGGATAAGATGGCTCCATTTCCTGCCCACTGACGAATCAGAACGCACTCGCGACTTTTCGTAGTCTTGCTCAACATCGGCGTGGTCGAAGCTCTGCCGCTGATTGGTTGGCAGTTGCATACCTTAAATACGCCTCAGGAACGGTGGGTGGGCCAGGTCTTCAATCTAAGTCCAAAGTGGTCTAGTGTGATATCAAGTCACTGAATGCTAAACAGTCGCGACTACTAACCTTTTTGCTATGCATCGACTTGGGCGTTTGGGACGTGCCATCATAGTCTATCGCTTTGTAGGACATATTAGCTTTAATTTCTTGCCTTAGTCTCTGAATGTTCCAAGGGACTCGCGGATTTAAACTTCGATTCTCAGAACTGCCTTTTGTCTTACAATCATGGTGACAACCTCAACTCAGAGAAGCATTCCCAAAGCTATATTACTGTTATTCAAAGCTCAGCTCATTCATCTTTTCAACCCATTTTAGACAAGACAGCGAGCAACGACAAATTGGTACATATCCGAAAAGGTACTAGTCGCGGCTTATTCTTGGAAGAGAATGTGGGGGGACCGATTTCTAGAAGACGCCCGTTCCACCAATGAAAACCACGGGATATACTGAAATACCGGAATGAATCACTGTTTGGCAAAGCCCTGAGGCTAAGTGCATAGTCTATAATGACTCGCGATCGATTGTAGGCGACATGAATGTGTACCTGCATATGCGTTAGCTCTTTCAGGGCACTAGTCCTCAGGTGGAAGGCGAGTGCTCCAGGAGGTTGCTGTAGGGCGTTATGTGAAAGGCAGCTTTCCAGAGTAAAGGGCAGATGTGGCTATACTCAGTTTAGAATACAGATGATTCTCCTATACATCTAGCGAAGATGTCCTCAGCAGCCTGGTTAAATCATCGCCTGTGTCATAGCCACCTACGTCAGGTTTCTTACCTGAAGTCGAAGAATACCTAGCTATGTAAGTGGCGGGAATCCTTGCCATGCAAATCTCCTTTAATTGCAACTAACGGTTAAAAATAATAGAACGAAAAAGCCTTCTCGTTGAGAAGAATGAGAGGATATCCAGTCTGTTTCAATCTGGCTGCGTGCCCGGTCAGGTGATTCAATCGGGCACGACAAAGAAGAAGTGACAGCCCGACGGTTATGTTAGGCAGGAGCTCATCATCCTTTGCTGCTATCCTTCAGCTTCATATCATCCGATTTCTCCAAGAATTGGTCCATGTCAATGGGATCATTCAATGCACCGCCAATTCCCGTCACACGCTGGAAGAACAGGGTGAAATTAGGAAAGGCGCTGCTAAGTCGTCTCCGACTTCTTTCCTGCTGCCATATACTAGTTTCGAAGTCTTTCAGCGACGATTCCGTCTCTGGTGGGAGGCTGATATTCATCTTCCTCGCGGTTACCTGAACCATTCGCAAAATACTCTTCGCAAGAAACCACTGTTTCGAGAATGCCTTTGTCGCAGAGCAGATATCTATGAATGCGCGCCGACTGAAAGGATCGTCCAGTTCCTCAAGTAGTACGAACAAGGCTATTGACACCCAATACACAGCTGTGCCCGATATGAATTCGATGCTCCACTTGGAACGGTAGAGGCGGATCATTTGGGCAATTTTCAGTGCCGACTCGACGCATGTTTCCCGCGCTTCACGGGGTGTGATAGTCATTGGGCGTGTTGAGTACCGATGCGAGCTCTTCAACATCCCAAAGAACACCATTATCGTGGCGTGGTAATACATACTAATACGAATCCAAGTTAAACCTGTGGAGCTTGCGGTACGCGCAAGGAAAAAACTCACTGCAACACTAGGATATGTGGTACGGTCGACTGTCCATCCTGAATGCACCTAGGTAGGTCAATATACCAGGCTTGCAATCGTGGAAAAATAGAGGATATGGTTGTCTCCAGATCCGGACGAGACATCGGCTTCCGTGACTCGTCTTTAAGCAGGCGTCGAGTGCCTTCAGCGTTTAACTCATTGAGTCTAGTAAGGTTGTTGAAAACACAACCAAGATGAGCTGGTTGCTTTTCGCCCTGACGGGGGTAAGGATTCCAAGCCACGATATCCTCCTTGTGGTCATGGGGTAGTTGGGATCTCAGGGGTTTCTTTTGGTCTATGGGTTTCATGAAAATTGTGGAAAACATTCTGCAAAAGTCTCAGCAAACACATCTTTCTATCGGCAGGTTTCGCATCATATATCAGTTTGAGAGGTGGTCAGACGCAGTAAGATTATACACTCCCCAGATTGTGTTATCAATGGCTCTTCCCTCAGCACGCTTATGTTCATCAGCATGCAACTGCATAGGCAGATGAATGGCAGATGCCTCGGCTACCATTCGTCCCAGCTGGCCAAGGGATAACAAGGCGAGGCGATCTTTGCCCAGCAGAGCCATGCTATATATATATATCACGTCATTAGCCAAGGATAAAGGAATCTCGTTGAGTTATTACCTTGACAGCATGGTGGCGTATCCTTGAATAGTGGGAATACTGATCCGTCCATCTTCCAGATCAAGGAGTCTCTTTGCCTCCTTATAGAAGTGCATGCCTTTGGATTCAGGTGCATCTGCATCTTCATAGACCTCAGGATAGTCACAGTGGAACTATATTATCAGTATCTTTACCAAAGCTTATTGTGTGAAAAGTTACCAACCACTCACCGAAGCCTCAGCTAAGACACTATTCACTAAGAAGGGCGAGCAGAACTTGGATTTCGTGTCTCTTGATTTCATGTCTCTGATAAATAGGTCGCGATCAATCCAGTTGCAGAAAGGGTGACTCCACGTTAACCAGAGGGAAATAAGATACGACACCAGGCTGTCGTCATCTGTCACAGTTGTCCAGGGTGTTGCTGGTACTTCAACGACCGGAATATGCGAGAGCCACATCACGTCCAACATGCGGCGACTTGACCTCTTTTGCGCTCTTTCTTCGAGCTTGTCGAGGACTTCCTGCAGCTCGGGTGTCGTCTCAATCTCGCTATCTGGCACATACCCTTCAAGGTAAGCCTTAATTTCATCCAAGGAGCTGTTCTTGTTTCGGATCAGGTCCAAAAGTCTGACGACATGCTCATTGGAACTGTAACGCAGTGTCTCCACTAGTCGAAGTAGCAAATTCTTGTCTTCAGTGAGCTCTTCAAGCTTGCGTTTCACCGCGAGTCGACGACGATTGTCACTCGACTCGTCAATAATACACTCAGTATTGCTCCGAACACAGTTCTCACACGGGACTGTTCCACTGCACTGTTCAACAACACCCATATTAGCAAGATTCGGAGAACGTCGTTATAATCCACTCCAACCTTCCACTTTCGGGTCTTGCAAGCAGAGCAGGCGGTCGATATGTTCTTCCGCTGCCTGGCAGGTTCTGCATTTGCCTTGCGCTGAAATCCGGGAGGCGCAGGCGCCAAAGATCTGGCGATATTTGGCTCTGCCATTGATACTACTATTCATTCAATTCGATGCTGAATTCTTTTCAATAATGAGGGGATAGTTGAAAGGCGAAGAAACATTTGCCACCGGTGAAGGACTACGAACTTTTTATACCCTCGCTCTTTCGAGTTACTAGAGAGCGGTAATAACACGCGCAACCATACATATTCACCATCTCAGGTGTTGACAAATTTCCCCTCACTAATGAGAAGCGCAGTCATAATATCCGATACACACGCAGTTCGACAAGTCTAGAAAAATGAAACGAAAGGGAGACTCCAAAGCGGGGAGGCCCAAAAAAGACGAAAAAAAAAAGAAAAAGAAAAAGAAAAAGAAACACCACCGAGGACGCTACAAGATTTAGTTCAAAATGTTTCGCGCATTTTCGTTGGTGTCTTACATTGTATGAAATCTCCGCGGAACCGGCTTGGTTCTCATGCATCCCCGGCTTGCACACACTTTCCGTCTCATGTCCGAGAGTTTGCCGACTGACAGATTCAATTTGAGGACAACAAGCATAGGCCAGGAGATATCATCCAAATATCTAAATCGGCGATTGTCTAGACCCCGACTTCAACACTCCAAACCAGCTACTGAAGCGCGAGTAGTTCTTATTGGAGATCTGGCCAGGACCGCATACGATATCCAATTCTCATCAGCCCATCTGCAAGCGGTGGGCCACGATGATGCTCCCACGGTTTCTGCCTTATCCTCACATCGGAGCAGCTATACGCAGTATGGAAATAAAGAAACGAATTTGTCTCAGAGCATCGTGCAAATGGACAGTGGTCATGCGAGCCGCCAGAAATTGACTGCACCTCCCGCAACGACTGACAACCGACATATCAGTGCCCAATGTCGCTAAGGAAAAATACGAGTGTTCTACTCGGTGAACGCCGTCGCGTATTTATCTAATATTCTCTAAGGGTAATGACTGGTAACTGGTTATGGCAGTAGCCCATTATACTGCCTGAACTCTGCTATTCATACACAATTATTCGTCGTCAAAACCGTCAGGTGGAGCACGGCTTCGAAATCTTGGATTAGGTTCTTCTTCCCGTCCCTGGGAGGCCCAAACGTGGTAAAGTCTTCCAGCCAATCGAGTGATCTGTTGAACTTCGCCCCAAATTTCTCTGCGTCGCTTTGTTCCGAAGCGTTTCCAGATAATTTTTTGGTATCTTTATTTTTATTTCTATAAAAAAACGCTCCTAGGTCCGCTACTAAGCAAGAGAGGATAGATCTCGTTGATCAATATTTTTCAGTCCCTAGCACCGAGTTTGTGTTCCTTCGATGAAGCGAGAAATACGTGTTCGCCAACAAATTAAAACACCCATAATACAGAGTTGAGTCTCCCATAGCGATCTCGCTCAGAAAGACCACAAGTCACTACTGTTGCTCCTAGTCGGTGGCGAGATGGACGAACACTAGGTTGGCAGCTGATGGGATGTAGAACTAACTTATTTGTATACTACGGTAGTAATGCTAACTGCACTCTGCATTTCTAATACTATTATTTCGTCTCTTATGAATTGAATTCAAGTCCCTTCTCTTTTTGTCTTTCATCAAGATCTATACTAGGACTGGTTTTTCAACCGAGGAAAATTGCTGAACTGAAGACGAGTGGATTTGGGATTTATGTGCCTCTTTGTCCTTTTCTCTTTCTTTCCCTTTGTTTCATTCTCCTTGATTTCTCCGGAATATCCTAATCCTAGTTATTAGTATAATTAGTTAACATAGTACATGCATTAGTCGGTTCTGACCTGCCTAGGCACGGAGTTCTTTGTACCCAAACAATGCATATCCATTCATGGTGGGCAGAGTGTTCAACAAAGTTAGTAGTGAAGTAGATTTTTGTGCGACTCGAGTTTGCCAACTGGAAGGCAGATTAGTTCAAAGCCCGATTTGATGTTTTTTCGACACAAGAGACAGATTAATAGTCACTATGTAGTGTAAACAGTAAGTAGGTACAAGCAGTGAAGCACAATGCCCCCAACTGTCTAGACAGTAAGGGTAAAGGGCAAAAGCACAGAATCATGTACTTTTCTCTTCTGATCCCCAAATCACACACCTCCAGTCTTCCCCTTAGTCACATCCTCCCATTCTACCCATTCTCCATATCGTGGAAACAAGTGTTCCTCCCCAGCCTGAATAGGCTCAACATCTCGCGACACGACCGCTACACGCAATTGCCCCTTATCTGCTAGGTCCTGAACAGGCACTTCGCGCTGTTCCCCGTATGAGGAGGCGTCTGAGTAGTCTGCTGTCGTTATGCGCCATTCCAGACTGTCTGTCAACATAGGGATGACATCTTCTGGTTCCAGTTGACTATCCGGCAGTATCCCATTCGAGAATGCATTGGCTAGCAAGGGGGAAAGCGAGATTTGCCCCGAAGATAAGTCTTCGCTACTAGTGGACTTGTCGGAGAATGAACGGCGGCGACTGCGGTGATCATCCCCGCCGCTATTATCTGACGAGACCCTCGGACTGGTGAAAGTTCGATATGTACTGATCAAATTGGGTGCCTGAAAATATTCGCTCGGTTTAATCTGGTCGTCGGGTTTGCCATAGAAGAAATGAATCTGAAAAGGATTCCCGTCGAGAGCATGCCTGGTTGAAAGAAAAAATAATTTCCCGAATCAGTAATCACTTTCCAGTTCCGGCAAGAGAAAAAGTAAAAGCCCTTAACCCACTAAGACCAAGATAAAGATGAAAATGGAATGGACTCACTTATCAACAGCAACATTAATAGCCCAATTCTTGGGCAGATTATTGACCCCAATACGATCGAATTCGGTTTTTGTCATTTTACCAGTGACCGCGTTCGTTCCCATCGTCGTCGCGCTCCCAGAAGCATTTTGCGACCCGTCCAGCGTCTGTCTCCGCAGGCGCGCAGATTTCGGTTCCATTGGACCCTTGCGTGCGGGCGCGTTGTATAGATTGTTAATCGCAGTGCGCACATTGTTCTGTAGAGTGCTCTGATCCACGCCCCAGTCCTGGATTTCGGGATATGTGTATCCAAAATCCCGGGTTGAACGACTAGTGGCGGATGTCCAGAAGTCATTCGGGTCGTCAGATCGATGGAATGGGTATAGAGGTGTGTTTACGTCTTCCACGGTGCCTGCTTCGATGACAAATGTGCCGTATGTATCTGCCATAGGCTCGACATATGAGTCTGGGTTGATGACTTCCCAAAGAGCGAAAATGCGATCAATTGACCTATAAAGGCATGGTGTTATAGTTTAGTCATGTAGTCTTCTGGAATGTCAATCATACTCAATGTTTAAAAGACATATTAACTTACGCATGATGGATCCAAAAGATGGGATCAAAAGCAGCCATGCTGAAATATGACATGTGTCCTCCATCCCCAATTAAGGCGTGCACACCATCGTGGATGCTTTCTAGATTGTTGTAGCTGTCACCCCTATCTTTGAGGACAGAGTTGGAGAAAACGGTGTAGTTGGTTTCAGAAGAAAGAAGCTGGTACGTGCTTGATGTCAACCTAATTACTTGATGTTAGTTTATTGCCACGCAACTCTAGTGTTCTTTATTAGGAGTGTACCAACCATGCGGAGTTTGATGACATGCCAGAATTCACGTTGTCCATGCGACTCTCACCGGTTGAAGGATCTGGCGAACGGACCGTTTCATCGTATTTTGCAAGCTGTGAAATTGATTCACACTCTGTCAGCCAGTATTGATTTGATAGAGAAAAGAGGTTACCCACCGGATCGTCACTAGGAATATCAGTTCCAACCGGCAAGGGATGAAATTTATACGAATACAAAGGATTAGCCATCGACTGCTGACCACTTGGCGTATTGATCACAATATCCTGATACGTCAAGCTGTCCGGCATCGCCGAATTTACAGCCCAGTCCCAATACGGGAATCTCAATGTTGTCGCCGCGTCGACATATGTCTGTCGCTGATCATCCGGATATGAACTGGCAATGGTCTGCGCATACGACCAAATACGCTGCTCGACAAGAGCGACGTATGGCCGATGCCATGTCGGGAAAATGGGAGAGCCGTGAGAGCAGTATCCCGTTTGAAATTGCCCGTTTACATCATCCCATGATCTGTAGGGGTAGCCGTGAATTCCTATACCAATAAAATAGAATGAGTATCAATCAGCCTACCTATGGTGATATGCCAGCAACTTTTATAGAGGACTAACCTGCTACTTCGTAGTAAGAAATAATATCACTCTGGTCGTCGCTTTGCCATTGAGATAATGCCTGGATAAACAGATCGAATGCCGGGCCAGCGGACTGCAGATCCCTCAGATCAATGCGCGAGGGTCTCTCTCCAGTATCAGCATTGACACCACCAGATAATCCGGTAATACCATATGCATTGATTGATTCTGAGAAGGCCAAAACAGAAACCAGACGGGACCAACTCGATGCCTTCATCGCGGTGTCAACTTCTCCCTTGCGCTGACAATATGGCCAATGAAGATACACTCTGCAATAAGAAAGAGCCCTTTTCGCAAACTACTAATGAAGGAACAAGGAACAATCAACCAAGAAAAGAAACTCTCCTATTGTCAGTATCTTCGCACGTCAAGCAAAGCAAACAGACAACAAAAACAGATGACCTGAAAAAAGATAGGAAAGGCAGGGATAGACGGTTTATAACTCAAATATGCAAGATTTCGAAGCACGTGTGTATATTCTTAACAAGGGCATATTGCATGTATATACCTAGGTACAAGGGCGCAGGCACAAAAAGATCGCTAGCCTCACGTGGGCGCAAGTAGCCCTAGCCAGGGGTAGAATCGCGCATATGCTAACACAATAACGAGACAAAACACCATGTAACCAGATACGCATTTAGATTTTTACATACTAGATTATGAGAATTGTCACTGTTTTAGAGTTTTCAACTATTCAAATCAAGTATGCAGCAAATATTCTTGGCCGGGAGCACGACCCCCTGACAACGACAACATTCCTAAGGAAGCAGTACTACTTTCAACCCCTTGTTATTCTGAAAAATTTGCCAGCCTTGGAATGCAGCGTGTATTGGCGCCTGGCTATTTTCTTAATTTGCCTCGCAAGCAATAATACATTGCATAGTTCCAGCTTATGTGGATTAGTTATTACCGAGCTGCACTTCCCTAGGACTGGAAAGAGTGGGAAAAGAGTAGAAAAGCAAACCCACAAAAGCAAGAATAAGCTATCTATCAACGTATTATTTTAGCTCTGATCCCTAACGCCATGCCACAAAATTATGCTCGCTAAAAATACATCTTGATAAAGATAAAAAGAAGACGCAGCAAAGTTTTTGTTTGTTTCACCATCTCCATATCAACCAGAGATAAAATGGAAGAACTATAAAAGCGACCTGCTTGACGCTGCTCTTCAATTCATGCGTAAATCGACCAGTACTAGAAGCCGGTCCGACGCATTCACGCCCCGACTGGCGACTACTCGATAAGAGTTTGCTTATTCCTCTATCGTCTTCTTCCCAGTCTTCCCCCCGTTTCCAATCATCATAACGTTGAGTGCTTTTGCGTATATCATCGTCCAGACGATAGTTACTAGCAGGCGCGGTGGTCATTGAGTTGCTGCGGTTTGCTAACCGGGGATTTCCCCCGGCCGTCGCGCTAGTGATGCTGGCGGATGGTTGGTGTGATGTACGACTTGGTGTTCGAGAGTGATGTGGATATTCGTTAAGTGGTAGAGTGGGCTCGTAATCGGCAGGCTTGCCAAACGAAAGGAAGGTGACGGTCATAGCTCGAATGACCAAGAGAACAATTGTTACAAAGAAAATGATGCCATAATATATAAAGATTGAAAGTTGATCCGGAAGAAGACACAAGTGATTTTGAACTGTTGCTTGCGACGTCTCATCAACAGACTTTCCATTGCTGATGTCGATGGGATTCCACAGCGTAGTCATTAGGAACCCCGGACGTCGTATTCCCATTGCCCAAGAAAGGCTCTTCACGGTAGTCTCCTTTGGAGACCCGATATATTCTCGATGCGTAATCTCACAGTAGTCATGGTCATCTCCTGAATAAATATGGGAAACCTCAGGGCCGATTCTTGTCATTATTTCACTAGAGATGGTCGGCGTAAGAACATTCTGATACTGATAACCGCCATTGATTTTAAGAGCGTTCTGCTCGTCCTCTTCTGGAATTGGATCAGTAGAAGACGGCGGATAACGCTCACGTAAAGGACCACAAGGAGTTGCAGGTTTTCGAAACAATGGAACGTGAGTGAGTAAAATGGTTGGAAATCCCTGAGATTCGAAAGGTGCCTTGTGGATGACGGTATCCTGCGCAGCTTCTTGAAGCCCCTGTATGAATTTGAACCCCTCGCTCTCATTGCGTTGAGAGCGAAGCTCCTCAGTTTCCAGACGTACTTTCATATCCTTTACCCCCTTGAGCCATTCTTCAGTCGGGCCCCAAATTGCCTCGTTAGGGAGAGGCCCATCACCGGCACCATTTCCGGTACTACCGGTTTCTGGGTCAGGTTGGTCCATGGCGGAGAGAGAAACGCTGTCAACAGAAACAAACGTATGATTGCCTATAATATCTACCCGGTTACCTCGGCCAAAGTATGCCTGAAATCGCCTGCGAACAGCGGGTTGCACGCCACTTCCAAAACCCAGATCGTGATTACCAGGCAAACTAGCAATTAGCTTGCGACCTCGACGCTCACCAGTTGATGCAGTGCCCGCTTGGTTCCACTGTTGAAAAAAAATGCGGGAAAACCGGTTATATTCGTTCAACCAAAACCTGTCACCGTACTTTCTGTATTGTTCTTCTGGGCTCTCACTTGTAGCAGTAGACCACTCTCGACCACCATCGAAGAGGTCTCCAAGAAACAAAACCGAGTCCGGGTTGAGATATTGCTCAATCAGGGAGAAAGATCGACGTAGGTATTGATCGGTGTATCTGATTGTCAGGGTGGACAATGGCCACGGACGCCCCGGATATGTGTGAGGGTCGACAATTTGAGGATCAGCCACGAAAACGACATGATGGGGCGTGGCACCAGCAGGCTGTGGAAAGAAAAAGAATATATATTAGCTGACGATGCCCTCGAGTTTATGGGGGATTGAAGAGCGCTTACCCATTTCTCCCACGAATCCCAATAGCATTGCGATATCTGTTCCCGGAAGACAGTCCTCTCCCCCCACCACAGAGTAAACATCCACAAAATCGCCAAGAAGTTGGCAACACAAAAGGCTGCTCTAAGACGAGATTTCACTTGATGCCACAGTGATAATTGGGTCCAAGACCTGCGTCCATATCCAGGGTGAGATCCGCCGTGTTGCGAGCCACGGATAGGCAAATATGTGCCGGCGCGTGCGATAAGGCCGCGCGGTTCGGTATATTGGTTGCTTTGTGAGTATCGCAAAGGTAGACCAGGACTGCCTCGAGAGTTGGCTTGGCTCATATCGGCAACGCGGTGTGGAAGTGATAAAAGAATGCGTTCAAAGGCGCGGCATTGAAGCTGACGGAGTGTATACGTATATATCCGAAGAGAACGGTCGAGATCACGTACACGGTATCGAAGACGGCGAATATAATCTCTCCACGGCGTATGTAAACGAATGACAAGGATGCCAGTGCAGGTGTCGTTTCGATGCAGTTGACGATTCTTTCAGGAGAACAGATTTTGGCAGACATGAAACACGATCAACGAAGGAAGGGCCTGGATCGTCGACGTACTGTCTGTTTCTTACCGTACCCGGGGCAGTGCAGCTCTATCCGTAAGATTTGGATGTGCACCGTGTATTATGAGCGTCAGACAAAGAGCTCGCGAATGGGACAATAGAGCATAAAAGCATAGAGAACAATAAAATTATAATTGCCTTGTAGCATCATCCATTTTCTAACTAGAAAGTAGACATAATTACAGATACAATACCTGCATTACAGTGTTACAGCGGCGGCAGAACAAAGGCGGTGAGAGCCCGTGCCGAGAGTTCGTCCCGCCAACGAGCGGCGAAGCACAAAAACTGCAAAATCGACGAATTTATTAATTTCATGTCGACTCCCCCCACAGACAGCAGCACTCCCACCGTCTTCTGCGTTTCGCGAGAGCCACATCTGTCTAAGAACAAGGCAGATTACTCTCGATAGGAAGAGTGCTAATATTCAACATGGCTCCTATGTCTGTTGCAGACATCGTGGCGTCCCTGCCATCTGGCGATGAATGGGGACCGCCTACGCCGTCTGAGAACACCCTCGATGGCGTTCCCTACGCGCCTTTCTCCAAGGGCGACAAACTCGGTCGCATGGCCGACTGGACTGCTGAAGGCAAAGATCGAGAGCGCGGTGGCCGTCAGGCCTACAACCGTAATTTCCGAGGTGAGTTTTTCGCCTTTTTTGTGGTTTAATGTCAGTCAACTAATCGAGCATAATAAATATAGACCAACAAGTGTATGGTGCCGGAGCCTCGAGCCTTTTCGCCGTTCAGGTCGCAGAGGATGAATCCTCCTTCTCCGTTGTCGACAACACTCGCACATCAACTAAGACTCGGGGCTTTGGACGAGGTGGCGGTACCATCTTCCGTGGCCGGGGTCAACGTGGCGCACTGCAGCGCGGTGGACGAGCCGGTTTCCAAAGAGTCGGTGCTGGTCGTGGTCAAGATCGGACCTATGATCAGCGCAGTGGTCGCGGTGGCCGTGGACGTCGCTTCGGATGGAAGGACTATGACAAGCCACAGCGCAACCGGGACAGCTCAGTTAACATCCGTCCGGACTGGTCTCTTCTCGAAGAAGTTGACTTCAACCGTTTGTCCAAGCTTCACTTGGAGTCGCCTGACGGAGAAGATCTCGAGAATTACGGCTTCCTCTACACCTATGATCGATCGTATGATAAGGCCCCTGTCAAGGGCAGCGAACGCAGACTTCAATCTGTCGACCGCGCTGCTTACAATGTGACCACCTCCTCCGACCCAATCATTCAGGATTTGTCTGAAAAGAATGAGGCTACTGTTTTTGCCACAGCCGATATCTTGTCTATGCTTATGTGTGCCCCTCGCAGTGTTTACTCGTGGGACATTGTCATTGTGAAACAGGGTAACAAAATCTACTTTGACAAGCGTGAAGGTGCTTCCATTGACATGGTCACCGTCAACGAGAACGCAGCGGATGCTCCTCTCGAAGCGTCCGAGGCAGGTGGCAAGCAAGACTCCATCAACACTCCTGGTGCTCTCGCATTGGAAGCCACCGTGATCAACCACAACTTCGCGCTGCAGACCGTCATCGAGTCCGAGAAGGACAAGGTTGAATTCCCCAACCCCAACCCATTCTACAACGCCAGTGAAGAAACCGAGGCCCTTGCCTCAAAGGCCTACAAATACCGCCGCTTCGACCTGTCTCTCGAGAAGGATGAGGAACCCCTCAACCTCATCGTCCGTACCGAAGTCGACGCCGTGTTGAAGAGCAACACCGGCTCCGACCAACACATCGTCATCAAAGCCCTGAACGAATTCGACCACAAAGCCCAAGGTGCCGGTGGAGCCCTTGATTGGCGCACCAAACTGTCTTCTCAGCGCGGTGCCGTCGTCGCGACCGAAATGAAGAACAACAGCTGCAAACTCGCCCGCTGGACCACTCAAGCCATTCTCGCCAAAGCCGACCACATGAAGCTCGGCTTCGTGTCTCGCAGCAACCCCCGCTCCGCCTCCTCGCATGTCATTCTGGGAATTGTGGGCTACAAACCCCGCGACTTTGCTACCCAGATGAACTTGAACTTGGGCAACGGATGGGGTATTGTCCGCACCATCGTCGATTTGATTCGCAATTTAGACGAAGACGAAGAAGAGGAACAAAGTGAAGACAAGATCAAGAAATATGTCCTCGTCAAGGACCCCAATAAGCCTGTTGTGCGTCTGTATAACGTCGCCCCGAACACCTTCGAGGAGGATGATACTATTGGCGAGGAGCAGGAGGAGAAGGCTGAGGAGGAGGAAGAGGAGGAGTAAACCTGTTCTTCCCTCATTTCTTCCTTTGTGCCGTTTTCCATGCTCCTTCAGTTACAATTGCTCAAATGTCTTTCCCCCTTCCTCCCTCCCCATTTTTTTTCTAATGATTACCCAATCCATATTCAGATGAACATGAACATGAAAAAAGTATTCTAGCTTAGACGGAATAAATATCTTTTGATCACTTATTTATGTCAATTTTCATAGCTTCGGTCCTTCGACCAAGGTACTTACCTAAGATTTCTACCTAAGCAAATCAAAGACACATTGAAAACTTCATGATTCAAGGTTTCCTAGAATATCAGAGTCGACCATATATCCTATAATGAGTATAGAGTAGCAGGGAGGTGACAATAAAAGTGATTAATATGCGTATTATGCATCATTTGGATATTTCTTCCTTGGAAGTTACAAGTTTGAAGCCAACATGCACCAACAAAAAAAATTAGTGATAGAAACAGAAGAGGGATAGTTTGAGTGAAATCCCTCGAAAAAGAAAACAAGGATATATTTCAACGCCTAGGATCTAAACCAGTGGTAACAAAATGAAGAGTTTCACTTTTGATAAATAGCATGTGTGTGTTTGGGTATATGTCAGTTTCTCATGGATTCGAGTCTGAGCTCGATGATCAGTCGTTAGAAGATGAACGAGAAGACAGGAGAATATTAAAGCAAGAGTAAACAAAAAAGGCTATCGATATAATGCATCATCTCCAACTTGCGACGGAGGACTTCGACTGTGGTATAATTTCGCACCCAGAACGTTTTGCAGGCAATCACGTAACTCGAAATCTTCCACCACCGCACCGAATCCATAGCATCGAATCTTGGCATGTAGCGTCTCGATAATCATTTTGATGTCATCTCTTGTAAGAGAGCGATATTGGTCGTGATTTTTCAGACTCTGCAGTATCATTATGGGCGTCACTTGACCATCGGTGATCAGTTGTTTGCTAAGGTTCAGCAGTTTTTCTAGATTCGGCATGGGAAGCTCGTAGGTTTGATGCGGGTATTGGTTATCTTCAGAGACGTTTTCGATGTGACTCGGTGGTGGACATGAAGCCATCAAAGCATGTCCCGAGAAAAAAGCATCCTTTTCAACATCTTTATGCGCTGTTCGACAGAGGTATTCTGTATGAACACGGCATGGTGCTTCCAACTGCAGTATAAAATCAACTCCCAGTTGAGGGTCCACATCGAAAATTCCGGGCATGGAAGTAAGCTCTTTGTTGCTTTCTGCACCAGTTGAAAAATCAAGACCACCCTGATCTGTGCTGGAATGATAAGCAGTGCCGATGAATGGCATAGATGAATCGCCTCGCGAGCCTGTTCTTTCATCACCACTCCCTGCACTATGCGGCGAACTAAACGTTGTTGGCGGGGTGGTCAGAAATGGGGGCTGGGAATGGACGGTGGCTGACTGAGAGCCGACAGAGCTACTTCCAGCTGTGCGCGATACGTTCTGTGTGTTGATATTGAGTGGCTCAGGCTGGGTTTGAACAGGGATCCCACAATCCATCAGTATTTTCATCAGTCGTTCGTTCTCCGCTTTCAAATGCTGGACCATCTCCTGCTGTTGCTGAACTTTTTGATTAGCGGCGTTGATATCCACGCTATAGGTCTCTCGCAGCCGAGAGAGTTCGGATTCGAGAGCACGAATGTATTGCTCTTTTCGTTCACGGTGAGTCCTATGGGGATCATATGTAAGGACTATCGTCCTATAGCCTATGTGTATGATCGGTTCCATACCTTTGCGCCTGGCGATTGAGCTCTTGTCGCCGGGTCATGGCCGGCTTTGCGTCCGGTTTCGGTCCGCGACGTTTGGCGGGTTGCCCATCTTGTTGGAAATCAGTATATGCACAACACCATGTTTCAGGCACTTCAAATCACCAACCTCTTGTGGTCTTTTTCTGTCCTCCACCAAACACTCTCATAAATCCAGTGGCTTTGCTTTGCTCCGCAGCAGGAGCACCTAGCGAAGACGTACAGCACGTTAGCATTCTATGAAGCTGCTCGAGAAACAAAGAGGAACTATAACACAAAAAAAAGGCATGCTGCCGGGAAAACACCATCGATCTCTCAGAATCGAGACGATGTTGGTCGGGATAATGCGGTAGTACCGTTGAATCACCAGGGATGGGGGAGGCGCGCAAAAAAAGGAGCTCACCAAATTGGGCGTATTGGTCATTATACTGCATGCCCGAAGCATGGTCGGGGTGCGGATAGCCCGACATGGCAGCGACCTGGAAATTTTTGTATGTAGCACTGACTCCAGAGCGCTAGACGAGAACCGACTGCAAAGGGGGGGGGGAGGGCGGCCAGCTGAAGTCGTCGGGCGATGTTTCAAAGCACGATCGAGGGGCCAGGTATAGGCGCGAGATACAAGTATGCTCGGTAGGTCGTTGGCAAAGATATGCAGCGGGCAGGCAGAGCGATGGTTGAACTGAGCGAGAGTGTCGCGGCTCGAGGATGAGCGCAAAGGCAAGCCTCAGGCTACCTTTTTCGATCCGAGAGCGGGCGGGGAAGCCCGTGATTCGCGAATGCGGAAGCCACAAGCCGTTGGCTCCTCCCCGCAGGGCGATTCACGCGGGTCGGCGACTGCCTTTCAGTGCCGGCCCTTTACTTCTTCAACTTCGCCAACTTCGCAAAGCTGCTTTCCCTCAAATCTCCTCGCGTGCTCACTGCGATCGAAAGACTCTTGCTGTCAGGGTTCAAACTCCACACTAGTGTTCATCACAGAAGACACCAACAACAAACTTATTTAGACGCCGGGTGATCGCAGGCTTGGCATATTCGGCGACCACAGGTTCGCCTAGTGGGTGAACTAAACGCTAGTCAGTCAATCAATTTCAGTCCGCGTCAGCCTGCTGTATGGACGTTGCCAGGACATAAAGAGTCACACAGCACCTCGCTTAGCCTTGGAATTCAACAATACGGCCTGCCACTCTGACGTGGTTCTAGCAGAGCGAACGCAATTGGGGGCGGGTTCTCGCACACGGGGGTCTTTTCACAACGTCCGCCGAATGTTGAGCCGGTGCAAGGCGAAAAAGTAAAACAGAAAGAACTCGTTCAATGACGCTAGTGCTCGAGAGGCGTCGCTCAAATCGTGGCCCTGGTCAATCACTTGACTAGATATTGATATACTCCGCAGTAAGTGCTGGATCGAGATTCCTTTGTTCCCTACATTTTTATCATATAGTACTTGACATGCCAAAAATACCATGTGGTGTGGACCATGTTCCAAATTGGACAGCAGGACCTTTCAATTACTGAGTCTTGAGAACTGCATTTTGGAGAAAAATTCTAGACTGGTCGGTCTGCAGGATGACGCTAGTTTAGCTAAATAACCCCTAGTTCGATCGTCACGATTATTCGCGTCAACGTACTAACTGCGACCCACCATATCCGGTTTAGCCTTTCGATCTGCGACGAACCAACATCCAGACGACTTTGACATTTTCAGTACACAAATCCTTGTGCTGAGCCTTGATCATATCAGCACATTCTCGCCAATTATATGGACAGAATTCTGAATTCAACAGTCCGCAATAACGGGAATAGCCGAAGCATCAGCAACGCGAAGACCTTTGATTCCATGAACCTTAAGTGCGGATCAACAACTCCTTGTTCGATGCTCTTGAAAGACGAGCCGTACCACACGGGTGGAACGCCCTCTGACAACGATCAAGCACAGCCCGCTTTAATTCCTCAACTGAATGAAGAGGCATGTCCCAAGGATACTCATCGACCACAAGATCGTTGAAGCCTTCGCCCTTGAGGAGAAGATCATAACTAAACCTAAGTCCTTCTCGCATCGCAATAATATCTAGATCATTTGCGAAGGAGTTGATGTTGATATTGGGTTGCGTAAGTGGATCCGAACCGTCGAGAGTCACGTCATCAGGCTCAGATATGGGCCGGACCAAGTCGACGACAACTTTGATATGATCACCTGTCTTAGGAGTCGGATAGTGCCATTGAAATGCACTGCCGAACATGCCGACAAAATCCAGTTCAGTATGTGGTTGACCATCTGGACAAATTGGATTGGATCTTTACCACCGTTCGCTGCTTTATATTTGCGGTATTCGAAATCCTTCTCAAGATAAGAGTCAATGCGGGGAAAGCCAACGAATTCCAGAAAACCAGATTCAACGGGTCCAGAGCGATCTCTTTTGTACTGCGCGGTGACTTTATCATTCCGAAGACGTTTACGAAGAAGTGTTTCGTCCATCCCAAATCCGCCCTTGACACGAAGCACGAAAAGGACTCCAGGGTGATCAATCAGATGTTAGCCAACGTGACGTGAATCAACAATGGTATTATTTAACATTGAGTATGACGAATCTATTCTTACATCAATCGACTGTGAGATGTTGAATGGATCCATGAATATATTTCAAGATAGAATTCTATTGAGGACGACTGCACTGCTAGTACTGATGCGAGATACTAAGTTGAGGAAGGAAAGGAAGAGAAAAAAGCACTACCTAGGTACTCTTACGGGGTCCTGCTTCTATGCTTATCCCACCCAATACCTATCAGGCATTTTCGTGCAACGCAAAACGCCCAGTTATCTGGGTAGGTGGAGGTTCCCAGCAATTAGAGATTTCTAAGAGGTAGGGCCGTGCGTTCACCTTTGAAGTTCTTTGTGAGATCAACAAGGCCCATCAATATGATCCCAAATACGCACTGCCGAGGCGCCGGCCTGTGGATCTTCAAGCACCACATGTATAGGCATTATTTACAAATGAAATGAGCATTGCCAGAAGCCCCATTAAGGTGTACCTTTTTGGTGGCTTACAGATTAATATTCCGTGGTTATGTTCCTAGGTATGAAGTGGACAGACTCTTGCATGGATACCAAGGTGAAAAACACCAAGCTAGGTGAATCTACGGTAGTGCTTATTTTTTACATGTATCAGCCCATGACTTAATATCACAATGCATCAGTAAGTCTTTATATTAGCATGGTATAAACTTAAACGATATAGAAATTAGAAATAAGAACTAAGATATTTTCATCTAGTTTTGTAATCTTTCTCTGATGAAAGGTGCATTTCTTAATGCTTGGGCCTGTGTATTTTATATCTCTCGTCCTAACTTAATGAGTTCCTTGTTAAACTCCTCTAAGACTTCTTCCACGCTTAGATCCTCTTTTTGAAGTATGTCTTCAAATAGCTTATTACTTATCTTAAATGTGGCCACCTTTTAAGTCTGCTTCCACTGGTTAATAGCAAGAAGTGTGGCCTTACTTTAACTCCACATTAGTGATAATTATGTAGAAAGAAGAATGTTTCTTGTGCGCTATAGTTGGTTGTAGAGCTGTAGGGAGGAGAACTTGTTAAAGGTATATAGAAGCTTTACCATCTTCTATATCTTGACTCTGTGTAGAAGCACAATCATAGTTTTGCCTGGCTGGAGATGTTCTAGACCTAATACTAGCTGAGTGAAGTCTTCTCTTCTCTCTTGAATAAAGAAAATTATCAGTGTCTGGGTATAATTATAGAATATTGGTTATCCCTATATTGGTAGCAAGTATTGTGATATCTAGAAACTTAGTATTAATATTTGGTGGTGTTGATTGAAGGGCCTTATGCCCGCCTTTTGAAATAGGGAGACTCAATGCTAGAATCTCGCATTCTGGATTCAGATCCAATACTGTGGAAAGAAATCCTCTGGGGGTCATATATATGCCCAATATCCTTTTCAGTTGTCCGCTAGTCTGGATTCTTAATGCCCCAGTGAAACTTTGTGTTTTACTGGCTATGCGCTTCATCATCTCAAAGAATATATTGGCAATCCCCTTGTTGGCGTTGTCGGCATTGTAACGTTGTCGCTCGAAGAACCGATTACCTGCTGGGTTTTTCCATCCCTGGTGAAGAGCAAAAGAGGGTTAGTAGACTCATCAATTTACCTAGGTATAACTAACCTTTTCTCGCAGTTCAACCAGTTCTTGGAAAACCGGCACTTTGTCCATTAGGTACCTGGAGATATCTACATTGGGACGCAGGTCCATCTTCTCACCGTCGATACTGCCTCTGGGCGGGGTGTATTTGAGAGCGAAAGTAGTAGTATTGGATTCTGCGTCAGTATCTTCTCTTGATGTAGATGTTGACATAGCTGCTGTTCCGTGCTAGACTGCTCAATGATCGATGAAGAGAAAGCGCTTCAGAGCATTCCAGATTGTTTAGATATTGAGCTGAGTTGAGTGGAAGTGGATGAGGTACGAATACAGCACAGCGCTCCATTATATATGGACAGTTTTCTTTATGTGTCTAAAGACTTGTCCGTCTTGCGCGGTATACTGCTTGTCAAGAGTCACAAGAAACTCGCCCTGCGCTCCTCAATCAGATCATCCCACTCTTCTTTCTTGGCTCCTCTTTGTTGTCTTCAAACTGGGATTGGCTTCTGGCATTCATGCAATTGATTTGTTTGGAAGTTTGTGGCGATCCTAAATGGATGTTTATGAGATCTATCAGTTTCGTACTTAGGGCTCAATTTGGCCCAGTTCCATCAAGACAAAGGCCGTAATAAGTACAATACGTAAACAAGAATGTAAACTGTTTGTCCACCCTCTCTTTCTCGTTGATCAAGCTCCTATAATGATTGCACCATTACCTACAAATAGTACTAATCATCTCTTAGAGAATGGTACAGCTGTGTCAACAGAGCCTAGTTGGGATTTCCCTTATCTTCTAGAATCAGAAAAGAGAGTTTTATGGCAATCCATTTTGCAACTAGATTATGATGACTGCCCAGCCAGGCGTAGGGAGTGTCTGAAAGTAAGAAGAAAATCCGTAGGCTACCAAGAGGCATTATTGCCTTCATTTACTGCTAGAAGAATCCAAGAATTAGATCTATGGATAAACATCTCTGACTATTCTGGCGGAGGCTTGAATATGGATGTCATTGTTAGAGCTACTCCACTCAGAGTGATATTCTCCGTTTGACTTAGTCCATAGCTTTAGAACATTGTAAGTTGTCCATTAGGATCTCGACTAAGCCTCACTTGATGTAGCCTTTGTCTTCAATAAATAGATATACCCAACAACCGACTACTTAGGTACAATATCAAGGCTAGCAAGATTATTTGCGCAGCTTCTGCTCGACGATGTCCAACCCAGTCATCTTCTTAATCTGCGCGTCCATGAACCCGTGTGGGAAAAGGGTCCCAATACGTGCCATTCTCGCCTGCGCGCCCCTCCAGATGATTGCAGACGGCTTCTTCTTCAGCAAATCTTGCACCACTTCTCCAGCCCATTGCTCAGGAGGCATGCCCACATTGCTCATGTTGTCAAACCTCATGGCGCCCTCGACAGCCTCTCTTGCAGGCTGATAAATCGACCCGCTGGGCAGTGTGACTGGTGTGAACTCTTTCTGATTTTGGATCATGTTTGTGGACACGGCGCCCGTCTTGAGTTCGATAACGGTTACACCGAATGGCTCCAGCTCCAAGCGAAGGGAGTCTGAGAAGATGGCCATTGCGGCTTTGGAGGCGTTGTATGCGGACTGGAACGGCACGGCCATGGTGGACACAATAGAGGTCTGATTGACAACCATTCCCTTGGATTTGAGCAACAAGGGCAGAAAAGCTTGCGTGACAGCGAGCTGGGCCCACACGTTGCTCTCAAAAACCTTCTTGGTTTCGTCAAGGGAGATGTCGGAAATCGGCATGCTGTAAGATGTGCCCGCGTTATTAACCAAGATGTCGAGTTTGGACAACTTCGAGACGCATTCGTTGATGGAATCCCGAGATAGCACGTCTAAGGTCAAGGTTTCTATGCCGAGAGCCTTGACCTTGGACATCTTTGCTGGATTCCGAGCGGTGGCATAGACGTGAAGGCCTGCATTATGGAAAGCAACTGCCAAAGCAGCTCCCATGCCTCCATCTGAGCAACCGGTGATGAGCACGGTGCGTTTGGAGTCCATTTCTTCTTCATTAATAGTAGAAACGGAATGAATACAACTTATGATGAAAAGGAATAGTCAGAGGCAGTTACAGGGGAATCTACGTTGCTTAAAAGTTGGCCATGTATCACTGACAACCAGATAATCTCAAGAAGCCCAAATATTGAGCCCTAAGTCAAGATCATCCGAAGCCGACAGCCAAATCGGGCTAAGCAAGCTTCAAAGCAGGTCGGGGAAATTTTCTCCCGACTCATTTTTGGGAAATGGACTACGATTTATCCTAACACTAGCCACAATGTTAGCAAATTTTTATATGCAGAATACTCCCTATATTATAATTCCTTAATGGCGTTGGAATACTTTAGTCTGTATTATGGTTGATAAGCTGGCGATGAGTAGTATAGTTTGGCGAATAGAGGCACGATTCTGATAGTAACTTTGATACTATTTCATTTCTTTTGCTTTCTACTTTTGCTTCTCAAAAATATTCATTGATCATCCAATTTTGATTAAATTGTAACTAAAGAATAAACTCGACCGACCAATGCAATCCGTTAACTATCATAACGGTAAGACCGTAGCCACCGGCATGTCCTAGCCCTAATAATCACCCAGGTGGTTGAGCTAGGAGCAAGTAAATAGTCTAAGCATAGCTAATTTATAGATTATTGAATGGACATATACCCCGCCCTCATAGACACGCATGCATCTAACATCACCGGGAGCCATCGATCACAACCTTGAAAGCTTATTGATCTGCGATGGCAGCAGAACCCTTCACGCCCCTTAAGGGCCACTGCACATGCAAGATCACCACGTACGAAGTTCTTGCGCCCTTTCTCTGCACAAATTGCTGTCACTGCACCTGTTGTCAACGCGAATCCGGCGCCGCCTTCGCCATAAACTGTATCATCGAAAGTTCAAACTTCCGTATCACCTCTCAGACTAAACCTATCATCACCAACCTGCCCACGGCGTCTGGCAACGGGCAGAAGATTGCTCGATGCCCAAATTGCTACGTAGTAATTGCCTGCGATTATGGCGGTGATTTCACGTGGACGACATTTGTGAAGGGGGGTACCCTGGATGATAAAAGCAAAAAGAAAGTCAAGCCAGAAGTTCACATATATACAACGACTAAATTAGGTTGGATCAACTTGACTAATGAGAAGGAAAGGGGAATACCGATCCTGGAGGCGTCCTATAAAGCGGCTCAGGTGTGGAGGAAGGATGCGTTGGAGAGATTTGAGGCGCTGAAACAAAAGATGAAGAAAGCCGAGGAAGCGAGCAAATATCCATGATCGTTTTTAGTTTTGGCCAAAAAGGCATTACTATTAAAACTAAAAAGTTGCCTGGTCCAGGGATTCGCGGTATTTAGGTATTCAATTGTGCTTGTTTTTAAGTAAATCGAAACCATGTTTCCGCTTCTGGGAAGAGGACACTGTGCAGCACATTTGCCCAATGTCGTAAGCATCTTTTCTGCCAGGTGGCATAGATTGAATGTACCTGCTTACAAGCTTATATCATAAATTCACTTTACATGGCGCACCATTGCAGTACTATCTCCTTAAGAATGCCCCGAGCTCCCTGTAGGGATTCAGGTTAGGCGACTGGAGGGTGCTCTAGATTGTCTGTTCAGGGACCTGCACTGAATTCCTCTAATGTTTATGATGTCGTTTTATTTGATACGAGCCTGTGTCTTTTCTAGGGAATCATGAGAATACCTAGGTATTGGGATTAAATAATTCGCATATTTCAAACTTAATACACATCAGACATCTTGCCTCGCATACTGTACGCCTCCACGCACGCAAGATAATGGTTGTCAGCTGCTAGGTTGATCTGTCGGTATGTGACGTTTGAGCTTTCCGTCAATGCTCCATGGGAGCAATAAGTAGTATGAGACCATCTTGTGACGGGAACGGGGATTTTCTTATTCTTCAGTAGTGCCTGATGCATATACTGCCTCACGTGCAGGAAATGAGCATAATGGAACATCAACGTCGACCAACTGTGGCCTGGCCAATCTAGATCGACTACATGAAGTGGTAGGTCCTGCACCCACTCAATGACGATTGACTTTGTAGTATCCGGTCCAGTACTGTCGTCATTACGGAGCCAGAATTCCGAAAGCTTGAGAGAATGGAAAGATTCATCGAGTTCTCTGTTATAGCATTCATGTGGCAGCCAGGCTATCAGGCCTGGCGCATGTTACGTGGGGGCTATTTCCTTCCTAATTGTACTCCGTGGTAGCTTCATAACCCTAGTGATTAGATTAGGCAAACAAGACGCAGGGAAAATCAAAGAATGGGTTTGCAATGACACCTAGAATCAGAATCCGAAGAGCTGTGAAACTGCTGCTGATGTTTGCAGAAGTATTTAGCAGACAGTCTGAGGCGGCGAGGCCTGGGGATCCTTGACGCCTTATCATATTACGCTGATGTATATGGCTTCAAAGTTCTTTTCCCCCCATCTCACGCTTTTTTCTTCCGTCTTAAAACCTCGGATCTTCTCGAGCTCAGAACTCATGGTTGACAGCGTACCTAGGTATAGTACCGTAGCCCTAACTAAGGAGCCTCTTAGTCACTGATCTTTGAACACTAGCAACCTCCCAAAGGTTTAGTACTAGGTGATTATTCGCATTATTTCAGTGATGCCCATTAGTATTTACTCTTCATAATTTACCCAAACTGACTTCCCAAGTGGATGCGTTGCTCGTATTAATCTTGGCCGTTGGTTGTGGAGGTTGGCCGTTGGCGAATAGGAGACCATATTCCGAAACAGGACTAGTGCACGTCTCTATATACTGCACGCAAAAACACCAGTCAGGCTTATCACGAAGAATGGTTCTCCTTATGGAGTGCTTGCAGGTCTTCACCTAGTAATAGAGTTTTCTCTGGCTTGATTATAAATCTGGTCATTTAACTAGCTATTATCGCCTATAAATCTCGGGTTTCATCCAAGTTCAGTTCTTGGATTTCTTCAACTTTCTAAACCCAAATCAAACACTCACTAACAAGATGAATGCTGCTGCAAAGAGACTCGTTTTGATTACTGGGGGTATGACAACTCACTAATTACGGCGTGCTTTGTTCCTCATTCCTAACTATTGTCCACGATAAAGGAACTAGTGGTATTGGCTTCGAGCTCACAGCTCAGCTTATGGCAAAGGGCACTTACCATGTCCTAATGGGCGCTCGATCAATCGAAAAAGGGAACGCTGCTCTAAAACACCTGAGTGATCGAAATCTGCCCGGCAGTGTAGAGATGCTCATGATAGATGTTACCGAAGACCATACAATCGAAAGCGCCGCAACCAAGGTGCGCCATGATCATGGCAGACTGGATATTCTCGTCAACAATGCAGCCGTGGCACCAATGAAAGACAACGGGCCATTACGCGAATTTATGCTCCTTGCCTTTGACACCAACGCAACGGGGCCTCTCATTGTGACCAACGCATTTGCGCCGCTCCTGAAGGAGTCGAAAGATTCGCCTAGGATTGTCAATATTACCAGTGGAGCGGGCTCGATTAGTTCTCGACTCAATCGGAATTCGCCAACCTATCAACTCCAGGGACACCAATATCGAGCGAGCAAATCTGCGCTCAACATGATCACTGCTTGTCAATTTGTGGAGTATGAACCGTACGGAATCAAAGTCTCGCTTTATGATCCGGGTTTTACACAGTCGAATCTCGGTCCGCATAATAAAGCAGAATTTGGAGCTAGAGAACCGGCTGACTCTGTCATGCCCTTGATTGATGTCTTGGAGGGCAAGCGAGATGACGAGTCGTTGAAAATACTGCACAACACCGGCATTTACTCGTGGTAATATTAATATTAACTTAGATACTACTTTAAAAATTTATTACGAAGCAAGGAGATATTATACTTATGATTAAGTGCCAGTTATTATTATATATATATTAGATAAAGAGTAATTAATCTCTGGCTTACTCTTGGAAATCGACTCGCAGTGTGTGGTGTTGCAAAGCTTGTTGAATTCGGATTATTTGACTCAGTCGAGATAGGCGTAAGCGGCCGCTCATCAAGCTGATCAATAACAATTTGATTATATGGGACTATCCTAGTATTGCGGAAAACGTGCATGATCGTTCTTGGCTTCAAGGTTTTTTCTTGAATGATTTTGAGAGAAGCAAGGAAGTCATTTTTGGTTAATGGACCGCAGCCTGCATGTGAGGTGGGTTAAGACGAATTTGCTATGCCAATGCTTAGAAGCATGAAAAACATCGACGTCAAGTAGCTACAAGATATGAATTTTATGAGGCAATCAAAAGAAGATAGTTATCTTCTCGCCAAAACGCATAAATTCCCACGTCAAATGTGACCCATAATCATCGCAAAGAACTAGTCGATAAACACCATGCTTTTTATACTTGGTTCGTTCGCCGGTGGAAGTGCTGTATCTAATGTCATGCGATCTCTTTGTTCACATAACCGATTTCTGAGGCCTTAATTATGCTTCCTTTTTCCGAATTACAACACGTCCGTCTGCTTTCTCTAATCCAAGCAATACTCATTTTTCATCATTTCCTCGCCGATACTGGTGAGTCTTGTCTCTTCTGCTCTTCGTGCCACAGCTTTGATCATTCAATTTCATACCTCACCCTCTCTTTTTAGTGGGGCCTGGCCGTCACACAATCTAGCATCTTGCGCCTCTTCGCGCTCTCCTCTCGCCTCTCTTCTTCTGTTCCTGCAGATCAAAACCACTATCGCGAGACCTCTTTCTTTTCCTTTCTTTTCAATATATCAAAATTGCACTTCCCAGACACTCCAATCTTTGTCTTATGACTCGGGAAACCCCCAATATTCACGCACAAGATGACAAAGGCTCCCTGATTTCGCCTTTACTTTGCGAGGCCACGGCTATCATCTGGATGACGTCTTCATCAAGAAGTCGTAACTGCACCAAATGCTTGTATAGCTATGATCCTTAAGAAAATTTACACTGTATGCACACCTCCAATTCTCCTTCCTTCTCTCATTGTGACGGTATACAATGGAGCTGCTTAAATAGCTCCTATTATGCATAGGTACGATTCTTCTCACATGTAGGTATAAATGTGAATCGAATTGAAATTATTTGCTCGTCAAACTGCTATGAAAGTATCGTTTAACCGAAATTCAAGCAAACTGGGCCACACTTCTGCGGGAACCTCTAAAACTACCTTCATCTAACCTTTCTGCGCCGTCGCCTTCTTTAATTGGCCTTAGCTCAACATGGTCTTCATATCTCGCGAACACACTCTGCCAGGCGAATTGAATTTTAACCCCAGTAAAGCTAGCCAGACGGGCATAGAATGAGAGTAGTCTCGGAAACTCCAATCTAGAAGCCGCTCTCAGGAGAGGAATGCATCCCATGATGATGACGAGACATTGCTCGATTCCACACCTCAGAAAACTGCTGTTGGATTTCCCAGTTATTGTTTTCATAATCGACGCAGACATGGTTAACAAATAAAGCGCCATCGAAGCAATAACTGCGAGTTTGCGACGAAGATTCCAAATGATCATCACGGGAAACAGGACATATGATAAGTCAGAGAAGCTAAATAATGCTCTCGTTATTCATCAGCCATAACAGCAATCTGCCATGAGCAACTAATATTTCTCACATTGTCCATGTCGCATACTGCGCAATTCTTGGATCCCATGCATAAGCCGTGAGCGATGGATTCCATAGCGCTTCTACTGGCGAGACCTGTACCCAAGAAAAAAAAAAAAAAAAAAACAGCAACTAAAACGGCGACAACTGACTGAAGGCTAGTAAAGACAATAAGGAACCATTTGAACCAAGTATGTAGTCCAAATAATTTGATGAGTAGAATCGTGATAGAAAGCCTGGCCACAATCGATACCGCGATAGCAGGAGTCATCACAATCCGAACCCAGAAGAGCTCGTTCATGAGTTCAGTGGCAGTCTGGTCTTGATCGTCTTTTCCCAATCCCCATCTAAAGGCTTCTGTTAGGCAAGCTTGGAAAGCCACCTGCAAGGCCTAATGAATGCCCCTGTTAGTGCATATACATGACAGTCGTGGAGGATACCTAGGTAATGTCCCATACAACGGCAAGAAGCATCAGCCAGTCCTCGATCGCCGAATACTGCGATGTCAATACTCTCTTGCGAAGGTAAAACCGAGCGGCGACGCAAAGCATCGAAATAGAGGTTAGAGTCCAGGTTACGCCGAAAGTTAATGATTCCTCGCTTGGGCTATTGGGCTCGACCAGCATTGTAGACATCTTTAGAGAATGCCTATGTTGCAGGAAATGTCAAGTTATTGGCGGATGGAATGCTTGATTTATGGACTGGGGGTACAATCTAGGCCCCTTGGAAGCTATTTCGTGAGTTACACGGCGACATGCACGCATGCATGCATGCATGCATGCATGTATCGGTTCAGCTCGAATTCGGGTTGGCAATCACTTCAGCCACTATGAAACTGCTAGTCATGTAGAGCTAGAGAACTCTGCGGACGTGCGTTGCTGCTGCATAGTAATTTGCGTAGCAAAGTAGTACAGGGGCCAAATATGCACATTTTCTGCGCTGTCAGCTCATGCCACATGGAATCTCTGGGTGCTACGAGCCAGTTAGGTGCATTTAAAATCCATAGTTACGTAGTACTACTTATCATATCAGTCAGATAAAAGAAATCGCTGGTCGATTGAGCGAGAGTTGAGACAGCCCTAAGCCTATATGTACGTAATCACTAGCGCGTCTTAAGCTTTCCGCCCCGGACTCTGCGCCGGCTTGGCGGGCGGGCGGCTTCCATCCTGAACTTGGTAAAATCTCCAACTCAACGCAACCAACAGAGTAAACGCGTCTGAAGGCCTCTTCAACCGTTATATCCAGCATGCACGACGAAACCTAAATACACGCGTTACATACAGTCTTCCAGCTACTAGTATATACACGCGGTACATGGCAGACAAGCCCGAAATCCTCGTCCACGTCGGAGCTCCCAGCGCGGCCGGCGACGATGCTAGATATCGCGCTCTCGTCGAGTCCAGTCTAGTCTTTGCGCCGGTTTCACATTACTCGGTATTTCGCATCCATGAGAGTGACAATGGAGCAGACCTTGAGGTTAGCGTGGACAACTCGCGCTCACTGTTACTGACGTCGGCACCGGCCTCGTCTTCGTCGTCGTTCGCCCGGCAATCATCATTACCACGACATGAGCAGACGATGTCTTTTAATTCTGGCGACGAGCTGTGTAGCCTCGTAACGCCGTACAACCGCGAGGAGTCTATAATTACACAAGATGCTGGAACTCTACGCCAACCAAAAGAGACGCCGCCCAACAATCTGTCTTTACATGCCGAGTCGACGGACGAAGACAGCTACCTTTCTTTCCAGCCACTAATCCCACTCAGCCATGCCCAAGACAAACCGGAGTCTTTTCAAAAAACGGCATCTATGAATGAGGAAAGCGCTGGCACTGGCACTTTCAGTAGCGAAGCAAAAACCCGTAACCCATCAATAGTCGACATTCAACTGACTCGTGATGAGCTATCTACCTGGGATACTCCTCTAGACGTGATTCCGGACTCACAAGAGAACGACTTGGCAGCAGATCAGACTATTTTAGATTACTCCGTTCAGGTTGACCGATCATTCGTTCCTGACTCTGCGCGCCAGTCGAGACACATCGAGACCAATAAAGTAGGGACGGAGGAAAGTCGTTTATCTGATATCTCGAGAATACCATCGTCTGTGCCCAGTCCGAGCCCAGAACGAACTTCAGAACGACATGTTGACTTGAATTCCGAAGCTCCACCACAAAGTCCAAGCCCTTCGCCAAACCAGCTTGACACAACCACCAGCGTACTCGGAAAAAGAAAGGCCGTCGGAAACGGCAACAATAACGCAAGCATTTCCCCTCAACAACCACCAAATGTTGCTGTCGCTTCATCATCATCATCATCATCATCCTCGCGGCTCAAAAAACGCCAAACCCTCCCCGAAGCAACCGAAACAATCTCCCTCACCACCTTACCCATCGAAATCCGCTCCCCAAACCCGCCAGTCTCCAACTCCAAATTCCGCACCCACGTCACACCAACTCTAAAAGCTCTATCAGAGCGCATGAAACACCCGTCCCGCTTCATGCCTACACAGCAAACCCGTACCCTCCAGCCTTTAGAACGGGGGTACTGGTTCATCCCATGCATCACAATCATACCCGACACTACAACCACAACTACAACCACCAACACTAATACAACTACTTCCACACAGCCCCAAACCTGGCCGCAAACATTCTTCTCGCAATTCTGGTGCTTTCTACGCGACTTTCTAACCGAAGGTCGCGCTGGCTGGGGGATATGGTGCTTACTTGAGGAATCACCAATACAATCACCACCGATTAACCTAGCCCCGACAAGCGTGGAAAACGCGAGAGTTGTGAATTTGAAACTATACACCTGGGGCGAAGTAGCAACGCATATATACCTATTACTATTCCTAGCGACGGAACGACGAATCAAAAAGATGCGGAATGTCGAGTGGCGGGATGCGAGGGACGAGGCTGTTCTAGTGATGTGATTGATATCACTGATTTGAGCAAGCTAACCAATCTTTTTTTGTATTTCTAATTTACCCAAATAGCTACATTATTTATCTATCAATGGATCTACAAGTAGATAGGAAACTTTTTTTTGCGTCGTAGTTAGTAGCATTTGTTATTGATTGATTAAATAGGCTCAACATCGCCAACTCCATCCAAACCATGATAAGAAAAGAACATATGGCATGACAAAAAGTTAAGTATAGTACAATTTTCTTAATCTTTTCCTCCCTTGTTTTCCATTCCCCACCGTGGCTAGCTGTCCGTATAGAAAATAAATATTGTTATTTGAGCAATGGATGGCCATGCGACTGGGTCATGTCATACACATAGCAGATGAAATTCGGTCATCGGCGTGAGATCATCACATCACTTTTGACGCATTAAGATTCGGTCAGGCGTAATCTTGGAATGACTAATAGTTCAATTCTCCACCTCCTGATCCCCCAACAGCATCCAAATCCTCATAGCTCTTCAAACTGCGTCCTTGCACTGCTTCGCGTGGACCCATCATCGCTTGTTGACCGCCGCCCGCATCCAGGGCACTGCCTGCTCCGGCCCCGCCTCCTCCGCTTGCACCAGCAGAGACAGCGCCGGGCGGGAGCATTGCTGCTGCAGGATGACCGGGTGGGACATAAGGTATTCCACCACCGCCGCCAGGTAAACGACCGCCGGGACCGAACATGCCTGACATACCGCGCACGGGGCTAAGACGACCCTGGTTGGAAGCATTACTGGCATTGTGTCCGGCTCGGTGATTACCACCACGGCGATCATAGGGGCCAGATCGGTTGCTATACCGTCCTCCGCTGCGGCGCATAGCGCCTGGCTGGTTGTGGGAAGACATCATGGTTCCGTCGCCGGCTACAAGACTGTTGAAACCTGGTGAATTGACGCCCATGAATCCAGGGAAGTTGCTACCGCCATGGAGGCCCGAGAAAGCATTGGAAACGCCGTTGAAATACGGCATGTTCGCGAGGTTAAAGCCACGCGGCGTGCCGGCTTGCATGTGGTTGCCGGGGAGTGGGAAATGGCCGTTGCTGTTGGCATCAGTTCGCGAAGGTGCGATGTGGGCAGGATCCAGGACGTATTCATTGACCAGCACAAGCTACTTTATGTTAGCAACAGATTAATTTAAAAAAAAAAGGAAAAAGAAAAAACAAGAATAGATGACTTACATCATTCTTGATGTTGTGGTACCACTCCTCATGACGCTTTTCCACATGCTTGCGCCAGAAATGCTCCGCCTTGAATAGCTTCGCACAATCCGGGACTTTGCATCGAAATTTGAATTCGTCTTCCTGCTTGACATGCTTGGACAGCTCCTCCTCCAAAGCTTCCTCAATAGGCTTCCCTCCAAGCTTCGAAAGATCGACGTTCTCAGGTTCTAGTATTTGGAGCAGCTTATCCTCAAAAGTCTTAACCCAGTTAAAGGCACGCTGTAGCTGTTGTTCTGCTTTGGAAAGCTTTGAAGACCGCTTTTCGTCTACCGTTGGAACCTCCTCACCGTCCTCGCTGGGCTCTTTCTTTCTAATGGGAAATGGTTGGCCCATAGCACTAGCCTTGGCAACGTGCTTGGCTTGGTTGCTGAGTCCAGACCTGGGTCGGCGCAGATGGCCACCAGGGCACTTGCGAACCAATTCATGAACAGAATCGCTTTCGAAGACGCAGAAGAAACAGAAATTATAGACCCGACGCAGGTATTCAACCATCAAATCCATCGTCTTTTTCTTCGCCAGGAAGTCCTCGTTATCTGCTTCGCCCTCATCCAAAGCTTCCACCTCCTCGCCTTCTTCAGCCTCCCCTTCATCGACATCCATGTCAACTCCATTCTTTGTCTTCGCGCTATCCGAGGTAGAAGCGGTCGGTTGTAAGAAGCCTCTTGAGCGAAGATCCTCCACCCGTGCCTCAATCTTGGCACATCCATCAACTTGGCCCATCTCTGAATCCAGCTTGCCAATAAGACGACGTGCAAGTTCAAGATCTCGTTCGATACGTTCGGGTGCAGAGAACAGATCCCACAGCGCCTTTTTCCGCGGCTGAGAGGGCGGAACATGCACACCGACATGACAAACAAAGTCTCCATTGACAGCATCATGGATAGTCTTATCATTGATCGCTTCCAGGGCTTTCTCCGCTGTCGACATCGAATGGGATCCATTGGCTGCAGTCTCCGTATCCTTCTCTTCGCCCTCCTCGTCACGGCCATCTCCCCTCTCAACAAGAGCAGATTCACGTAGGGGAGGATGCAAGATGATCCAACCCATACGATGAAATTTCTTGGACGGATTAGGATCACTCAAGCTAAGCCATCTGAAACCGCCATCTTGCTCGCCCAAATGCTCTTTACAGAATTCCTCAATCTTAACTCGACTCACGTTCGGCGCCAAAGTTTTGATGAGTAATGCAGGCTGCGACAAGGCTTCGTCACGTAGTTCCGCACCTCGTGCTGGCAAGAGATCAAGAACGCTAAGAGTCTCCCCGACTGCGGTCGCTTCACCTTCCTCTTTCTCAATAACACCGCCCGCACCATCACTCTCGCTTTTGTAGATTCCCTCCAATGTAAACTCATCAAAATAGCCAGAATCAACATCGCGTTCCCATTGATCGTAAACACCGCGTCGAAAGTCCATCAGATGCCGTCGCAAGGGGTCGCGCACCTCCGAAACGTATCTCTCTTTGAACCACTCCTCACTGCGGTGCTGCTTCACAAAGGTACGAGACATCTTCACCTGCAATTCTGCCTTATAATTATCATAAGCAGTTTGAATCAAATTCTTTTCCTTGTCTCGATCTTCGCGAGCTTCCTTTTCGCCTTTTACACGGTCTGCAGGGTGTCGACCTCCGTGTTTTGCGCGTTCCTTCTCCTCCTTGACATTCTGCTCTGCTCTCCACCACTCGGCAAACCACGTATATCCAACTTGTATGTCAAGGGACATGGGATTTGGGAGAGGATTTGTCGGGATGATCCGTTTGCCCGAGTCTTGTCCCGGGACGTACCGATCAATTATAGCGGGAGAAGGACCGCGCCGACGATCATCGCGTTCGCGAGACGCATAGTCGCGAGTTGGCGTATAATACTCGTCTCTGGAAGCACGGTTACGATCTCCCGGTTCATATCTATCAATTGCAGGGGGCGACCGCGATCGACCACGACCTGCGCCACCTCGTCGTCGGTCCTGTGAGACACCTGAAAAAAGGAGACAATTAGTTAGTTTAGATCCTATATTTCATCCTTAATGAGGTAGCCTCCCCACCTGGTGAACGACGACGGTAAGCATCTCCTCCGCGACCCCTTCCAGGTGAAGTAAAACCATCATATGAATCCATCATGATATAAATCCGCCACTAATTCTCTTGCTCCGTGTATCGCGAAAAGTCACCCCGATCTTCCTGCCCTGTTTGCGATGTGCACAAGTATCGATTCGTGCGTGTATTTTCCCCACGTATGAGGAAGAATTGGTACGGCGAGACAGGGAAGGAAATAGGAACAAAAGAAAAGCTAAGAGTCGACTTGTGAGCATTGTATTGAGTTAAAAAGTGCGGATAATGACGGCGATCAGGCAATTGAATGATTTGAGAAAGCGAAGGCAAGCCAAACAGCGATTATTAAGAAGAGTGGTGATGAGAAAAAGACAAAAAAAAGAGGTAGGCAGTATTCCATTCGAATTGGATGAACGAATAAAGAAGAGAACAGCATTATGGCCGGTCAAGTCTGCAGCATAGATCATGCGTTCGTTCGTTTTATTTTCTTCTTTCCATGAGCCAGGACCAAGGAGGATTGCGCTCGGATGTCATCGGAGGATAGACAAGAGCTTCATCTCCCTGGCGCATCCAAGGCTCCTGGAGTTTCATGGAACCGGTTCCGCAAGACACACTCAAGTAAGGCTTGATTGATGATTGCAAAGAGTCCGATATATTCGAGAGAGAAAAAAAAAAATGAAATGAAAATAGGAAAAAAGAAAGAAAAGAATAGGGCAATAAGTAAGAAGAAGAAAAAGGAAGGAGTAAGAGCAAAAAGAGACACGAAGGTAAGAGGCAGGGGTAGGCCAACAACTAACCTACACGAAAAGAACGACGAAATGTCAGGATAGAAAGTAAATAGAACGGGCGTATTCGTTGTATTCTCTGTGATCACATCTAGGTCGTCTTCCCAGTATCAGAGCAGCCAACAACAGGCAATCCCGACGAGAGCTGGAGGAGCTGTGGTTGTTCCTGGGCGGAGCTAGAGGTTGAGAGAGTCTAGTCAGGTGGCCCGAGACAGGAGGAAGGCTGAAGCAAAGCTAAGCTAAACCTGGAGACGGACATAGCGCGCTAGTCCTGAGGAGGAATAGCGGCATCATCAGCCACCGATATTATGCAGGGCTCTCTCCATGTAGTTAGTATACTGTAAACATGTTCATATATCATATATTTACTTGTTAATTTATTAACAATAACCATACATTAACCTGAATGCATGTAAGGCCAATTCGACAAATGCCATAGTGCAAAATACTATGCAAAGCAGTTCACTTCAGGTTCCTTCAATGCTACCTACCTACACATACAACACATAGATCCGAGCCGGGTGCAAGTTAAGAATGAATCAATAATTGAAGTCAGTAACTTTGACAAAGATACAAACAAATAAATATCGAAGAAAAAAATGAATATCTTGATTCCAGCACGTTGATGATGAGGGGGGAATGAAAAACACGTAATCAAACTGAGAAGTTAGAGAATAGAAAAATCGTTATGGGAAAAAGGAAGCAGGGTATGATGTATCATGTCTGTACCACCTTCTCAAAGAATCGATGGATGAATTGATTGATTCAAATACATCTATCACTGAATCAGTGTCGTACCATGTCACTTCAGCTTCAACACGTGTTGGTAGATCGAAGTGTAGTTTGTTCCCTGTTCAGTTCTGTTATTTGGCGACACCCCGTTTGTGGGTTCGCAATGCTTCGGTTCCGAAGGTACCGACTCGTTTTGACGTATGTTGTTTGTTGTATATGTTCGCCTTTTTTTTGTTCGTTTTTCTTGGCCTTGTTTTTGTTTTTACCAGTGATGGATGCCGTCTCTAATTTGCCCAACCCAGAACCCCAATGACATTTGACAAAAATGAAAAAGCAGCACAGCTCATTATATATTGCGCCGGTCGTAACAATATAGAATTCAGCAAGACTCAGGTATCATCGTTATAAGGATGATAGTCGCTTGCCGAATGGGTGAATCCCAGTTGGCGATATAATGAAAATTTGCTGCCGACGAGAGAAAACGACCAAACACGTACAAATTGGTAATCATAACAGGTAAAGATAAAGGATAAAGATAAATCAGACATTTAAATGAAGAAATAGAAAAAGAAAAATAGGAAATCAGACGAACACAGCAACAACCCTCCCAGTTCACCACCATAAACAGACATCATCAACGTAGAGACAATTGCAATTCGGCAAACACAAAACATTTAAGGACGTTACACATGACGGAAAATGCAGTGAAGGAAATCCAGAAAAAAAGGCGGGGGAAAATAATGATAAAGGAAGAAAAAAAAAAAATCTCATGTCAACGCCGCCTGCTAGAGAGTAAAAGTTCAAACGAGCCTTGAAAAAAAGTCCATGTTCAAAAGGCAGCTATTCATATGAATGGCCAAACTTATGGAACGAAGGGATAACCCTGACACTGAATTTCAGGTGGTTATAAAGTATAATACCGTCGTGTCAGATGAGGGTTGAAAGAGGACGTCGAGCTCAACCATCTTCATCCGAAGGCTCGCCAGAGTCAACATCTTCGCTTTCTTCGGCGCTCGTGCTTATTTTACTCTTCTTTGAAGGGTTGGAGTTGCCATCGTCAGCCACGCCAGACTTTCGTTTCTGTGCCGTCGAGTTGCTCTCACCGGCTGGTTTGGCCACCTCATCATCGACACTGTCTGGACCACCTTTACCCTTTTCAATTGCGGCCACTTCATCGGCTGTCAAGAACCTTCCACCAGGACCACGAGGCCGTCGCATGGCATGGTTGTGTCGTGACTCATGCAAGTATGGCTTGCGACCTTTCGAAGTGAGCCGTAATTGCTCCTCGAGCTTCTGTCGCGCAACTCGTCGCTTGAGAATCCGGTGGAACTGTTTCGCGTTGACATACAGAGGTGATTCCTCTTGTGTGCCGCCTGCGACTGGTTCGGCGTTCGGCGGAGCCTGTTGTACTTGAGGTTGAGGAGGAGGCATGGTTGGAGGAACACCGGGGCGACCTACGTGATTGATGACTGGTTGCGCATTGGGCAAATGTGGACTACCAACATGGCTCATCCGTCGATTTTGCTGCATCTGAGCATTCTGTGACAGCTGCACCTGAGGTGGCATAGAGGGGATCTGGCCAGATACCTGCGTAGGTGATCGGGGATTTCGCTCGTTCTTTACTTGTACACCAGCCATGCGTGGTGACCCACGCGGGCCTGGCGCCATTTGTCCCGCCATTTGATCCTGAGGTATGGGGTAGAACTGGCCCGAGGCGGCCGCGGTGGCCATGGCGGCTGCTTGCGTGGGTGAAATTCCGTAGGGAGGCTGCATCGACGTTGTGACACCGTATGGTTGCGCAAAATTCATTTGTTGATGGACGGCGCCCGGTGCATTTTGGGACTGCTGATAGTGGCCCTGGCCAGGCAGAATCGGAGACGCTTGGTGGTTCTGGGGGATGTGCGCCTGTGGATTTGTGGGAGAAGTCAACGACCCGGCGTTCTGGGCGTTTTGATACGCGCCGGCCATGTGCGATGGAGCGTGAGGGTGCTGGCCATGCGGTTGCTGGTATTGCGGAGAGTATTCCATTTTGTATAGTTTCTGGAGGTGTGTTTGTATTGCTATGTTATGACGATAGCGCTATCGGCGCACTCCGTCGCACACGAAGTGCTCTGAACCGCGATATGGCTTAAGAGCACGTCGTGAATGCGATCGGTAGAAAACCAATCACGGCGATAGGCGTACAAAACAAAACGGTATCAATGCGAAAGGGGAGTAGCCGCTCGTCTCTAGGCGGCGATTCTTCGCGATGGTACTGGATGTGAGTTTGCGCGACGTGAGACGGAAATTCAGAGGCGTTAGGCGTTTTAAGCCAAATGATTCGATAAACTACCGACGATGTCTGCAGCCGCCAGGATTCGCGTCAGCACCGACTGCATCACTGGATGGTCACTGGACCTTGGGGTGTGGGACGGCCGGGCACGCGGGGCAAAGCAAAACATGCAATGACGCCAGCGCCGTTGATGGAACAACGTACCTTTCAGACTCCTTTCTTTTGTCTTTGTGTTTTTTTTTTTCCTTTTTTTCTTTTTTGTCAAAGACTTGTTCTTTCAAGTCTCGCTGATACGTACAACGTTGCCTCGACACGGTTATTATTATTTTTTTAATTTCCAGATGACCGACGAAACGCTACTCTGGCACAGCTGGTCAAGGGAGGGGGGACAGAATCAATTCCTTTCCCGATACAACGGAATGAGACGTGGTTGGGCGCTGATGCAGACGGACCAGGTTTAACGACACCAAGCAAACGATGCGTTGTCGGTGGAAGGTGGTCTGTCACCAAGGCGAGCTGTTCGTGGCGCAGGCGCTGTCAATATGCCTGCGCAAGGCGACAAAGAGCCTAACCCCGTTGGAGAAGCCGCGTGCTCACTGAGACGCGATGAGGCGGTGTTAAGAGCCTGAGGTATCCAGGCGCGAAAAAGCAGGAGTATGCGACGCGGAAGCAACTAAGACTACGACGGATTTGTCAGTCCAAGCAACTCGCGACCGCTGGATTACCCGGCGAAATGACATGAGGGGCTTTGGCAGTGAACAGCTGAAGTGGGGATTGGCTGGAAGAAGAAGGGCAAACAAGGGCAGTTAGGCAGTTGGAGAGAGAGAGAGAGAGAGAGATCGGGCTGTGGCATGGGCTGCTGGGTGGAGGAATACATGTATGCGTTGGCAGACGCGGGAGCTTGCTGCACTTGCAGGCAGAGGACATACCTTGTCGATCCGCGTGGGCAAGGGTGGTAATGCGTGCAAGGCGACTCGCGAATTGCTCGTCACAGCAGCGCAACTCGATCTGAAAGACAGTTGTTTAGCAACCAACAATGCCAGAACCAAAGAATTGGCGCACATGTCAACATCGAGATGGGATGCTTGACGCGCCGAATGTTCGCGCGGGTCGCAGAATGGGGCATAGCTTACCAGAAAAGCTTGGCGGTCCAACGCGCACGATCAAAGTCACGTTGCCTGAAAACTTGGAAGTTGAATGGAGGAGAAGGGTTGGCCAGTCAGACTGTGGGCGTGCGATTATTAGATAAGATGCGTTATTTCCTGGCAGGTTTCGGTGTGGGTGGGCGAGGAAGGAAAGGGAGGGGGATGCAGAGAGGAAAGATTTGTCATGTATTGTCAGAAAACAATGAGGTCAATGGGGGCGGGCGGGGAACACGCGTGTAATGTATGTACCAGGCGTGTAATGTGCTTGTAATGCGCCAGGGAGGGTCGCGGCACGGCGGCCTCTGTTGTTGGGCGCTGCCGGGTAATTGCCCGAACAGGCCAAGCGCCAGGCAGAGGCCTTAGTCAGCTCCAGCCTGAGGCGCTCAAAGCAGACCCGGTGGATTCCGCGCGCTCTACGGCCGTCCGCAACCACCACAGCCGCAGACCGCCCGGATCGCGCTGCCATTGGCTGCGTGGCGTTTCGCGCCCGCAAGCGGACCTCGCCGTGGAAGCAGGATGGAGTATGGATGTATGGGATATGCATGGGCAGAGACAGGGAAGAGGCTGTCGCACATGCAGAAGACGAACAACGAATTCGTCGGCATGGGCGGGCTGGTGATTGGTGTAACAGGACTGAAAAAATCCAGGGCTTACCTGCAACGCTGATTTGCTCGCCGGGCAGTAAATGATGATGTTGCTGGCTGGCCAGACGGCAACAAATCACAATGTATTTCGCTGATTCAGAGCGATTTCAGAAAACAAGTAGCAAGGGAGGGGGGGAGGGCCAATCAGCTGGTGATCGGTCAAGCAATCAGAAGAGAGAAGCGCAGTTAGCGCGCGATGGACGAGATCCTTGATTGGAAGCGCGGTGGATAGGCCAAGGTGAAGTCCAATCGAGAGAGGAGGATTGGAGAGGAGAAGAAAAATCCAAGGGATAAATAAAAATGATAGGGTGGGAGCAGACTGCCACACAGAGCGCAAGGAGCAGCGAGGTTGACGACCAACGAGAGAGAAAAAGAGCGGGCGATGGGGCATTTGTATTGCCGCTGACTGGGCCAAATTTTTTATTGCGTATTGCTCGTGCTGCGTGTGTGTACCGCGCTAGTCACGCCCGCTACCCACCCAGCCTCGAGTGGCGTAACTTACCGTATGCGCCTGTATTCGCGCGTAAACTATGTGATCAGACCCCATCACGCATTAGGACGGCGCACTATATGTGGCATATTATGCATTCATATTTTCTGCTTATGTCTCGTCCAGCGATTCGCCGGATGGACCGAGCAGGATTTATGTATTTACTTTTATAACGAAGCAGAATCTGACGTGTATAGTACCGCACACAATACAGTCTCGTGAATTCCTTGGCTTGGAACATCCACGTTCTGCATCCCGTCCGTATATACGCGTCGAAGTTCGAATAACTACACTTCAGTGCCATGCAATAATTTACTAGATATTGAATAGTGCATCAGGATTTCAAATACTAGCTACTAGCTACATTGTGCCATGAACCCGGTTTATTCGGGATGGATTTGCCAGGTAGGCGCCTAACTACTGTATCCAGGTTGAAAACTGAGCCTAAGTGTGAATGGCACAGGTATCTGCATATATTTTCGATATCACACACTTAGCACAGATCTACGCCTCTTGGCTCTATCCATCGCTTGATGGCAGTGTTGAAACACGCAGGATAGTAACTAAATAGACCCTGGACAGATGCCATATGGATCCTTGACCGCTTTATCCATAACAAGGATCCGGCCTCGGCTTGACCGCCAGTCACGTTCAACTTTCATACAGTGTACGAAGAAGTACAAGAAAAAAAACAATCTAGAGTCGGTGTAGCTAATTCGCTAGGGAGCTTGCAATGCCCAGGAACATGATATCAGTTCCCTTTTTTTTTTTTTTCTTGCATATCTTCTTCCGGCATGGCTTCAGTGGTAGTAGACAGGGTTGAGCCTGTAAAGAGTGTTATTCGCCGGTGAGTCGTAAAAATGTGCCTCTGACATCTGTAAATTTCAAAGCGGTAACCTAACTAGAGTCTAACAAGGTCCACGACGAATCAAAACCGGAGCGCATTGTTTACTTTTCACTAGATCGGTATCGCCGACGGCTGTCTCTGACGCTTATCACCGGCATCTCTTTTAAGAGGTACACTAGACTAGCTGAAGGCTCGAACAAGCGCTGCCACCAGAGCTGTCTTCAAGAACGTAATCGATGCAGCCAATCGGCGCTTCTCCTGGAGTACTTTCACTCAAACTTCAACGAGATGCTGAAGCAATGGTCTCTGTGAATGTCACGGGTGGTTTTTGCTGAGCGTTATCATTGCGTGTCATTCGATGCAGGCAGGCAGGCAGGCAGCGGTCGACGCGAGGGAGAACGACAAAATAAGCCGGCACGTGATGCGATGGCAGCTCCTTCCTGTTGCACATCGGGCCTTCCTGACAAACCACCCGCGCATCATCTACATCGTCTACATGTGCAATGCTTACATTCCCTTGTCCGTATCACTCCGCTCAGGAATTCTGCTGTCTGCGCCAGATCATGCGCTGCGTTGCTTGCCTTATCGTTGGGCAGGCCAGAGTTATGCTAGTTTATACGTCCGGCGGTGCATATTAGCACTGATCTACAGTCTGAATGATCCTAGGAACGTCGCCACGATGTTACCATGTCAAAGGCCATACCCGAAGACATCGAGTCGTCTCGCGAATAACATTGTCAGCCATCAGCCTAAGTTCCAAGCTCAAACTTGTTTCATGTCTATCATCCAAGCAATCCGAGGCAGCAATCTCTTTGTATCCTTCTTCCAAGTTCCCAAAAAAAAGTTGGCAGCATTTCCGCACGGCGAGCCTTGACGGATCAATTGGCCACAGAACTTGACACGAATCACACTAATCAAGCGGATTTGGACGAATGAACCTCGTCATGTGGTTGAACAGATGTCAAGGAGGCTGTGATAAGCTGGCAGCTGAAACATGCGAGCAATAGGAGTTGACAGCGGCCACTATATTATAACGAAAGCCGACGATTTGCCACATGCATGGACATTCTAAGCTCCAATCATATCTCTATGGATATATCCACTCGTCTTGAAACGGTATTACTCTTTACAATAGCTTCGTCTGGGTTTGGTAATCACCAATCGGGGAATAGCAAGAGCCCTCGGTTCAGTATTATAATACATACTGCATTACCCGACGTTGTATAACGTCGAGTAAAACAGCTAATCGTCTGTTTAGGGGGTTTTCTGTGATAATGACAGCGGATACTAGCGTGACTCGTCTTCGTCATGGTTCAGATTTGTGCCCCCATGACTCGGTTATAGTTTGACCAGGATTGCCATTGACTGGAATTGGGAAACCCTCCATACTCCATATGGCGTGTTATTCGGGAGCTATGATGGTCATTCCAGCAAGATCTCCCTAAAATACAGAGGACATACTTCGTTTCGAAGAATGAGGCACAGCCAGGCCCATCAACCCGATCCAATCAGATGATACGACATATTCCTTGACCTTGATAGGATGAACACAGCGATAATTAGATTTCGATAATCATTACATTATCCGCCATACGAGATAGGGTGAATACATGCGGATATTTCGGAGTTATTCACATATCTTCGCGTTTCAGGGGTACCTAGGCTAGGATCCCTTGGACAGCATGCAGGCAGCAGCTCGTTATTTGCGACTCTGATCTTTCAATTTTACAGTTTATCTGGTACGATCAATAGGCTTCAGCTTCTATGTGCAATTCAAGAATTCCGTCTTTTGGCATAATCCAGATCAGCTGATAGATCTCTCATGCGGGTGTGCGCCACTCTGTTTATTGCACCTACCTTAGTCTCGACGATACCAGCTTAGACAATACAGGCATACCCTTTTCCAAATAGTTAGATGCATGAGATAGGATGTACATACTCACCGATTGAAAGTGTACAGTGAGTTTCATCGTCAAAATCTGGCAAATCATATACCATAAACCTCCCACATTGCTGGAAAGAGGTCGAACTCCGAGGGCGAGAAAAAACAGAGAAACAAAAGAAACTGTCCCCCAATCCTCCTAGATGGTCGACCCTTTTATAAATACACATTAGGCACCCAAGTACGACTACGCAGTAAGCAGCAACCCAAAACAAGTGGGTACATGTCCAACGTTAACGTGCCCGAAATAACCCACAATTCATCAATGTTACCTCCATCTAATGCATCCATGATTGTCAGATGTTCCCCCCGAGGTGACTCCTATATAAAGATCGAACGCCATCCTGCTTTCCACAGATGCATATTTAACATTGTTGTTGGGTACAAACTAGCAGCCGTGCCAGGTCATTCATGCAGCCAGCTAGGCTTGTTAGAGATGTAGTCGGTAGCGGACTTATGTCATTGTGCGCAGTTAATATTTAACTAGTTTATTATAGTGATAATAGGATTCATTTATTTTGTCTAAATACCTACGTATGTTTTATTCTAACCCTAATACACCAACTCACGACCATTATATGCGCAACTGTTTCGGTCTGTTGGATCAGTCAGGTATATATCTTGTATATAGTTTTTAAATTGGAATAATGCCAATCATACTTTTTTCTAAATCACATTCTAATCTCCAAGCAGGCTTCTACTAATTTCCGGGGGCATACCCCCGAGCTACACATAGTTCCTTGAAAAAGGAAGCTTCCCTCTTCATAAGCACAGTAGGAGCGTCAAACTCGACAAGTTCACCTTCTCTAAAGACGGCCACTCGATCGAAGCCAAGAATGCTCTCTATCCAATGCGAGATCGCGATGATAGTATGGTTTTGAAATCGCTGGCGAATTACATTCTGTACCATGGCGTCGATCTCCGAATCGAGACTTGCGTATGTTAGTTAGCTATGAACATTTCTAAATCAAACTATTATAACTAACGTTATATATATAAGACTCACCTGCTTGTAGGTTCATCCATTAAGAGAATCCTCTTTTCCGGATGTAGCAGGGCTCGTGCAAGAGCAAAAAGTTGCTTTTGCCCATGACTGAGAAGATCGGGTTTCATCTCCGCTTCTAACCCGCCCAAAGACTCGATTACTGTCCACAAATGCACATCCTAAAGGGCCCGAATCATCATCATCTCATCAGTAGATTGATTCTCATAAGGGCCAAGATTGAAGCGAATTGACCCTGGGAGGAAGAAAGATTCCTGTGCAATGATGTTTAGTCGCGTCCTTAGGGCATTCCGTGACATGCCTCCAATATCAAGCCCATCAACCAAGATACGCCCAGACCGAAGTTCAATCATGCGAAGTAAGGCAAGGAGGAAAGATGATTTTCCACTGTTCCAAGGTCAGTATTGTAACTTTGTCGTAGATTATACATTTATCGGCCAAATATACATACCTTCCAGTGTTTCTCCGGGCTGGATGACCATGTTGACATTCTTCAAGATGTCAACACCGGTGTTGAGACTTTTTGATCGTCAGCTTCCACCTACGTAAATCGTCTTGTCGTTAAGGACCCAACGTCCACTTACTGGTATGAGGCTGTCAGGTTCATTATCTCCAGCTTCCCATGTGTCGGCCAATTCGTTGGCGGCAATTCTTTCTCATCCAGTCTCTCTTCCGGGGTGATGCTGTATTCCAATTCTCGAACTCTGGACACCCCTCCAATAGAAGTCTCAGAAAGAGACCAGCAGAATATGATGGATCTCAACGTAGCATTGAACGATATAAGATTGACTAGTCCAGCGCCCATGAATCCAGAGTTCGATTTAACCTTGAAAGCCAAGGTAACAACGACTACTGCTAGGATCGCAGTGATGATGTCGAGCACAAAGAAAAGCCATTGCTGGATCATGAAGAGCAAATAAAAGGGCCGTTGAGAGCTGTCTAGGCGCTGGTAGCATCGATCCATGCATGCTACACGCCAGCCGAAAGGACGGATAGTGGAAATTCCGGCGACTGTTTCAAGGAAATGGGTGCTGCGCATGACTTCTCGGTCAGTAATTGTCAGACAGTGAAGGAAGCACGAATCGTGAGAAACATACTATAGCGGGCTTCTTGTCTCAAGGTCCAAAAGCCTCAAGCGCTTGGATGTCCGAAGGTAGAATCTCTGCACCGCGATGAACACCGCAATGATGAAAGGGAATGATATCGCAGCGAATGGTGCAGCAAGCGCGATATGAATCACTTGGCCTATGGCAGTGGCAACGCTCATGATCAGATTCATAAAGGCCCGAGGCAGTTCCCCATCAATCAACTGCATATCCTGCGAAACCCGATTCGTTGTGTGGCCAGTGTCCGTCTTAGTAAAAGAATGCAAGCCCCGCTGACATGACTGCCTTCAGAGCTGACTCGTGAAGACTAATTCCAGAACTGACTGCAATCCTCTCCACGGTGTGATAGAAGAAAGCAGCGACGGAGAGCCAACCGAGTGCTTGTAATGCAGCATATATTCCAAAATATTTACCGTTGTGAACTGGGCCTTGAACCTCTGCATCCGTCCACCACGTCAGCCACACTGAGGGAAAGCTCGTAAAAAAGCTGAGGGAAATGGCTAATATGAAAAGAATGATAATGTTGCGAGTTCCCACGGCGTCAATATAGAACTTGTATACTGTGAGATCTCCAGGGTTGTGTGCTGAGTTGAAGGCAGAGTCAGATTTGGAGGAACGCCTCTCAATTTCGCAGGATTGGTTCTGGTGGAGGTCCTTCGATTTTTGACATGGGCTGTATACTATCATCGATTTGCGCCATGAAAGATCGAAGATTATCTGATCTTGAATATAGATCATTGTAAGTCCCCTGGTGAACCTGGCCATTCTCGATAACAATAATGTTATCTGCCATTGAAAGAAACCTAGTACCATGTGTAAACAGCACAGCTACTGTCCCCTGCATCTGTAGAAACCCACCAGCGCCGAAGGGCTTCTCAAAAATCAGCTTCTCGGCGGAGCTGTCCATGCCACTAAATACGTCGTCAAAGAGTATGATTTTCTTCCGAGCATACACCGCACGTGCCATTGCAACTCTTTGCTTTTGGCCACCACTGAGAGATATGCCATTGCTACCAACCAGGGTATCGTCTCCATCAGGAAGGCCCTTGATGTCGTCTTCTAGACCAACGGCAGTTATGGTAGAGTTGTACCATGAGGCACCATAGCTTGAGAATGCGGTGATGTTTTCACGTACTGATGCGTTGAAAAGAAAAGCCTGTTGGTTGCAGACGGCTATATCAGGAGATGTACCGACGTGTACACTGCCAGAGACGATTTGTGCCTCACACAGAAGCGCCTTGCAGAGAGTGGTTTTGCCACTGGCATTTGGCCCAATAACAATGGAAAGTTTCGATTTTGGGATCTTGATGTCCACATTTTGAAGAATAGGGTCATGATCAGGCCATGCAAGCGTTGCTTTATGGACCACAGAGTCATAATTTTCGCTGTTAGTTTCACTAAAGGTACTTATCCCAGTCTTCCTGTTGCGCAGCTCGAATGAATCTCCAACTCTGGGGAAATCAGCAACGATATTGGAAGTCTTGAATTGTTGCACAGTCTTGTTAATGTGCAAGAAGACGCGAGAATCATGCTGAGGGGACAACTCGAGAAACTTTTCGACACGCTTCAGGCACCTCCGTGCACCAATCATCAGAGGAACAAGTTGAAAAAACATGGAGAATGGCGTTGATATGAGAGCCAGCAATGACAACGACAAGAATGCACGTGTCATACTCAACCCATCATCTGATTTCTGGCCCGTGGCGATGAATACTCCATACGAAGCAACTGGCGAGAGATATTGGGGAGCGAAAGCTTTGGTCGAGGTCAGCAGCTTTCCAACTACTTTCCATTTCCAGGCGGCCAAAAATAACGTCATTAACACAAGAATGTGACGAGGACATTTCTTTTCTTCCAGGAAGCCCTCTGTTGAGTTAGTTTCCCTTGGTGAAGTGCTGTTAATATGCAAGGTGGATTAGAGACAAAGAACGCGCGATTTTTTTAATTGCTTCAGACTAACACTGGATTAGTCCCACTGAGATAAGGCCCCCTGTAGTCTAACTACCAATAAGAGGTTACTTACCTATGCAAGAACCGTTAACTTATTGAGATAACAATCTTGAAGGCTCTACGAATCACCGCTTTATGGCTCCTGTCTTGTCGGTAGAATAAGGAGTCGGAAATTACCCAGTTGGGTCGATTAGGGCTAACTACTAGTTGTATAACCCTAGTTAACATCCTCTCCAGCCATGCTTAACCTCGCTCTTTCTAGACTTCGAGCATGGATTGAATTGTGCATAAATATATGTACATACACAGACAACAAGATAGCCGTTTCTCAATCGATCGGGTTGGTTAGGACCCTTGCAAAAAGAGATTCGGAGGCGTTCGAACAGCAACTAGCTGTCGAATGCTCGTTACTTTAGACGTTTACTATACGAATTCTATTCCCAGGCAATATAGCGATTTCTAGCTACCATCCTTTAAATTCGTCAGATCATCGACTGTTGAGGAACGGATGCTCCATCAACTCCCGCGCCGTTTTTCGCTCCTCAGGCAGTCATGTGAGCATGTTTCTGATAAACGACAAGAACGCTTCCTTTTCATGCTTTTCTAAAGATGGAAGTGTGTCTTCGAGGGTTCGAGTCGGTATTAGGTCGTCGTGGAGGAACTTGCCTGTCATCATACACGCAAAATAAGTGTAAATACAATATAGAATATAATCATACCGCGAACGAGCGAGTTGGTTAAGACTCCTACCTTCGTCATCAAAGAATGGACCTCCAAAATACTCCCTATTGTTCTTGAAGATTTTGCCCCTCTCATCTGTGATGGCTGGAGACCACTCGATGCGTGACATAGAACTCGACATTACGAGCAACTTCTTTGGCGGTGGGCCAAGCAGTGCTATCATTTCCGCGAGATGTGCTTTCGAATCATAATTTCCTTCTGCATCTTGCACCTGAGTGAATAATTCGGTACCTTCGATCATATTCCATGCCTGTTTCATTATGTTACTATATATATATATATGTCTGTATTGTTGCGTGCCGGATAAGATATATGTTTTACCATAACCCCCAGATTCCATATATCAGCAGTAAAACTCCACCCGCAACCAAGCACAACTTCTGGTGCACGATAATAATCAGGTTGTATAGGACGAGTCCCAAGTTCAACAGAGTCATCGTGACCGCTGTTGCCAAGTGAAGTAGCTGCGCCAAGATCGGTGATTTGGGGATACATATTACCCAGTCCACTCGGATCAAGAGGTCCGAAGTTGTTGTGGCAGCGATAGACGACGCGTCCTGTGATTAGATCGGGTTTGTATTGCATAGACTGAGTGGCCTGCTCTCTGACGAATTTGGAAAGGATGGTTTTGTTTTCGGGAGTTATGAGGACCTTATCGAGTTTTAAGTCTGGAAGCATATATTAGTCTCTTTATTTACTCCCAGTGTAGCTGCGGAGTACGGTTGATTGATTATTACCTACCAGTATGCACAATCTTGCATTCAGAGTGCAGGAAATCAAGGCCAGCCAGAAGAATAAGGATATACCCTTTCGCCATCGACAGCGGGAACCTCTCCGTCTCGAAGCGTCTTTGGAAAACCCATAGAGGCTCTCGTGCAGCTTCATAGGCTAAGCATAGATGTTTTCCGATGGGGCCAGTCACCTCAAAGCTGTCAAAACAATTGCGGACGACCGGGCGTCCGCAGTGCGAAGCGGTTTGTTACATGAACTATATCCGCAGTTATAGATGAAAGAAAGAAAAAAAAAGAGAGAAAAGACAAAAAGAAGCAGGAGTGCATGCCTAGCTACATCTCGTGCGAGCCACACCGTTGAACCCGCACCCCATCCAATTTTAACCAGCAATTGATAATGATCGGAAAGGACTTCGCCTGGTTTCGCTGGATAATAGTGTTTAGGATTGTAACCAGGGCTGGCCTCCTCATCTACGAGTTCGTGAAATTCAGAGAGAAGATTGGGATATATTATGGTCTCTTTTGCATAGCTAAATCCGTGCAATGCCTACGATGATGTCGTGGTTGTGACAGTAATTGGCGGTTGCAGAAGGAGTTATACGGCGTCACTCCCGCCGCTCAGGCCCACTCTTACGCCCGAAGAGCACAAAGGGTACATATAAGGGAGCATGACGTCCTTTCTTCGGATGAGTTTACACGGCAACAATAAACATTCAAGACAAGCCATGGCGCCCTTCAAATCCATCTTCCAGCCCTCCGCAGCAGCGCCCAAAAGCCTCGTTTTTCAACAAAGCGCAGGCGTGGTACGTGTACACACATATCCATGTTCTCTCGAGCTGCTGCTGACAGTTTGACAGTATCTCCGTGACCAGTTTCCGCTGTCAACATGGCTCCTCCTCGGTGCCTCTCTGCAAGCCCTAATTTCAATCCTTCTCCCAAAGACGGCAATCTACCTGTCTACCTGCCTATTCGCGATACTGGCCTACTACTTGGCAAACACCATGTTGCAAGTGTACGGCGTCATTCCCAATCCCGAAATGGCCAGAGTTATCCCCGGCAAGGCCAGCGTACAGCTGCCTGATCTGCATGGCAATATGCCGTCGACGGAGCCGACCAAAGAGAGTGTCGTTGTGATGTTTCTTAGTTCCAAATCAAACCAGTACGTACTTGCAATCATGTAAAAAAAGCATACGCTCTCCAATTAACCCCGCTTCGCAGCCCGCTACGGATGCTAGCCCCAGGTTTCAAAGAGGTCGGTGATTATTTCCAAGACATGATGCAGTCGCTCGATAACCCTGAGGGCCGTGAGAAATATGGCTTCCTCGGAATGAGCTCGTACCTAGGCAGCCAGTCCGCATCTTCCAACGAGTTATTGTCCATCAGCTACTGGCGCAACATCGAGGGAATCCATGCCTTTGCTGAGAGCCCCGTCCACCGAGTGGCCTGGGATTACTGGAACCAAACAGTCAAGAAGCATCCGTATCTCCTTATTAGCCATGAGATTTACAGGGCCGAGGGAACTCAGCATGAGAATATATATATTAATGCGCCGCCTACTTTGATTGGTATGTTTTCTTTTCTCCTTTCTCTCTGTGTGCGGGTAATGGATGCTGATAGAGACTCAATCAAGGTGGTACCGCATTCCCAGTTAAAACAAAACAAGAGCAGGAGTGGCTGAATCCCCTCGTTGAAGCCAACAAGGGTGTTTTGGCGACGAGTAATGGAAGATTGGGACGTCGACCTGCCCATAAATGAGCTACAGTTTAGTGGTACTTTATCGCATTTTTGTCTGAGAACCCTTTACGATATAATGACTGGCAGGCGTCTACCGCTTCCTTGCTTCGTATTACCTTGTTGCCATTGTATATGTATTTCACAATCATTTCTTAGGACTTAATTCTGAATTGCCTACTCGAAGTACGTGGGTACCTCTCTCTCTATATATCCGTAGTTTCCGGTATATCATACCCGACTAGTTTTTATATATATATATATATATGACCCTATAGGTATTACACCAATTCTATCTTCATTCTGTACTAGATAGTACTTTTCGTCTTTAGACCCCTATGCGTCTACACAAGCCCAGGCACTGCGTGTATACTTCAACATGCAAATGTAAACAAACGATATGATTCGCCGCGGACCGAAATGAAAGGCGAGTGGATGCCGCTAAGCCGCATCTGGCTGGGGACGGGGGTGGCTCATTATTTCGCCGTTCCTGAGCGGAAAGGCAACCAAGGATCGAAGAATCTCCTGCTCCATAAACGACGCATTTCATCATTGCAGCGCAGCTGGTTGCGACAACCCGGTAATTTCATATATCAAAACCCAGAAGAGACCTCGCATACGGCAGGACTGTCCTGCCACTTACCGCCGAGGCGTCCTACGCCCACTCGACGCGACCCTTTTTTTTTTCCCCCCGGTGCATGACAGCTACCCTGGCGGAGTCTACCACAGTGCTGAAACAATCGACATATAGAAGAGACGAATTATTCGCGGCCACCTGTTCGTCTTATCTGGCCGTACGTACTATTGTATTGGCATATCTACGCGACGCCCGGCTTCCGGGAGAGACGCCGAGTCTCAACTGTCTGCGTCTCTGGAGGTGACTTGAGTGCATGGAAAACGTATCGCATTCATAATGGCTCCAGCCGGCGGTGGAAATATCAAGGTGGTGGTGCGAGTGCGGCCGTTTAACAGTCGAGGCAAGTTATAAAAAGCCCCATCGAGTGATTGATTGACTACGTGCAAAAAGCTAACGTCAACGGCGTCGTCACTAGAAAACGAGCGCAATGCAAAATGCATCGTACAAATGAAAGGGAACCAGACGGTTCTCACACCGCCCCCCGGTGCCGAAGAGAAGATGCGCAAAGGTGGCATGAAGGGTACGCCGGACGGTCCGAAGACGTTTGCGTTCGATAGATCATACTGGTCGTTTGACAAGAGTGCCCCCAATTATGCCGGACAGGAGAATCTCTTTGCAGACCTGGGTGTCCCGCTTCTCGACAATGCCTTTCAGGGCTATAACAATTGTATCTTTGCCTACGGTCAGACGGGTTCGGGAAAGTCGTACTCGATGATGGGCTACGGCAAAGAGCATGGTGTTATCCCGAAAATTTGCCAGGACATGTTCAAGCGGATTGCTACGATACAGGAAGACAAGAATTTGAACTGTACAGTGGAAGTCTCATACCTGGAAATCTATAATGAACGTGTCCGCGATCTGCTCAATCCAGCCACCAAAGGCAATCTTAAAGTTCGCGAGCATCCGTCAACTGGTCCATATGTCGAGGATCTGGCAAAGCTTGTCGTGCGCTCTTTCCAAGAGATCGAGAATCTCATGGACGAAGGTAACAAAGCCAGAACGGTCGCCGCGACCAACATGAACGAAACCTCCAGTCGATCGCACGCCGTGTTTACTCTCACTTTAACGCAGAAACGACACGATGCAGAGACGACGATGGACACAGAAAAGGTTGCCAAAATCAGTCTGGTTGATTTGGCTGGTTCTGAGAGAGCGACGTCTACAGGTGCAACCGGTGCTCGACTGAAGGAAGGAGCGGAAATCAATCGTTCTCTTTCAACTCTCGGCCGTGTTATTGCAGCTCTCGCAGATCTTTCGTCGGGCAAGGGCAAGAAAGGGACATTGGTTCCATATCGTGATTCCGTATTGACGTGGCTGCTCAAGGATTCCCTCGGAGGAAATTCGATGACCGCCATGATTGCAGCTATCTCTCCGGCAGACATTAATTTCGAGGAGACTCTGAGCACATTGAGATATGCAGACTCGGCAAAACGGATCAAGAATCATGCTGTGGTCAACGAAGACCCCAACGCTCGCATGATCCGTGAACTGAAAGAAGAACTGGCTCAACTGAGAAGCAAGCTTGGTGGCGGTGCAGGTTCAATAGCGTCAGGTGGTGGCTCGGGAGTTCCAATGGAGGAATCTTACCCCCCTGATACACCTTTAGACCAGCAGATGGTGTCTATAGCGCAACCAGACGGTACCATCAAGAAGGTCAGCAAGGCTGAGATCGTCGAACAGCTCAATCAGAGCGAAAAATTATACAAGGACCTGAATGAGACATGGGAGGAAAAGCTTGCGAAGACCGAAGAGATTCAGAAAGAACGTGAGGCCGCTCTAGAAGAACTGGGTATTAGCATTGAAAAGGGATTCGTGGGTCTCAGTACGCCAAAGAAAATGCCTCACTTGGTGAACTTGAGTGACGACCCGCTCCTGACAGAATGTCTCGTCTATAATATCAAACCGGGTCAGACGCGGGTGGGCAACATCGACCAGGAAAATGCAGCTGAAATTCGACTGAATGGCTCCAAGATTCGTCAACAACATTGCATCTTCGAGAACGTGGACAATGTGGTTACACTCATTCCTAGCGAAGGAGCTGCTATTATGGTCAATGGTCTACGAGTCGAAAAACCAACGCGCCTTCGAAGTGCATGTCGAATTATCCTTGGCGATTTCCATATTTTCAGATTTAATCACCCGGAAGAAGCTCGTGCAGAGAGAGTGGAACAGAGTCTGCTGCGCCATTCAGTGACTACTAGCCAGTTAGGATCCCCGGCGCCTAGCAGAACGCATGATCGCACGATGAGCAAGGCTGGATCTGAGGTCGAGGGTGAAATGTCCCCGACTCCGACCCCCTATCGTGGCGGGCGAGATGCAGACTGGTTTTACGCTCGCAGAGAGGCTGCCAGCGCAATCCTCGGCCCTGACCAAAAGATCTCTGACCTCAACGATGATGAATTAAATGCGCTCTTCGATGACGTGCAGAAAGCTCGTGCTGTTCGTCGGGGGTTGTTGGAGAACGACGAAGATACTGATTCGCTTAGTTCCTTCCCAGTTCGCGATAAATACATGTCCAACGGGACCATTGATAACTTTTCTCTCGACACTGCAATCACAATGCCTGGAACACCTCGACAAATTGATGAGGAGGAAGGGGAGTTTTCATTACAGGCAGCTCGAGACGATATGCAACGCCAACTTGATAGACAGAAAGGCGAATTTCAAGAGAAATTGAAAGCAGAGGCGCCCCATGCTGATGTGGAAGAAGTTCGCCAACAAAGGACTCGCATGGAGGAAGCTCTTCGGACAGCCAAGGCTGATTTTGAGAAACAGCTCCAGAAACAGAAAGAGCAGTACGAAAACCACATCAAGGAGATGGGCCATCCTGTCCCAAAAATTTATGAGAACGGATTCGCAAAGCTGGAGCCCGAAGAGATTGAAGTTGCTAAAACTGTCGTCCGCCACTGGTCTAAAAGGAACTATGTCCGAATGGCCGAATCTATTCTACAGCACGCTTCGTTGTTGAAAGAGGCTCAAGTGATGAGTCAGATAATGGACAAGAATGTTGTCTTTCAGTTTGCAATTATTGATGATGGACACAACATGGTGTCATCCTACGATCTGGTCTTGAATGGTATCTCTGGCGAAGATGATAGTGCGTTGGACGAGGTCAAGAAGCCCTGTGTTTGCGTTCGAGTGATCGATTTCAAGCACTGTGCCATTCATCTCTGGTCGATGGAGAAACTTCAAAAACGTGTTCAAGCGATGCGTCAGATGCACCAGTATATTGATCGACCGGATTATATCCAGCATTTCAAACTCGAGAATCCCTTTTCGGAAACGTGTCCAGCTCAGTATTCCCTAGTCGGCGATGCAGATATCCCGTTGACCGCTGTGTTTGAAACCCGCGTCCAGGATTTCTCCGTGGAGGTAGTTTCCCCCTATACGCAAAGTGTGATTGGTATCATCCGGTTGTCCCTCGAACCATCGTCAGCGCAGGGCCCGTCTTCTACCCTCAAGTTCAATGTGGTTATGCGGGACATGGCTGGGTTTGCAGAACGCGAAGGCACAGAGGTCCATGCCCAGCTCTTCGTACCTGGCGTATCTGAAGAAGGAGGAGCTACCACCACGCAAATGATCAGTGGCTTTGATGAGAACCCCGTTCGATTTGAGAGCGTGCATAGTATGAGCTTGCCGTTGTCGAGTCTGCGGACGGTTTCGCTGAAAGTTTGCATATATGCCAAGGTAACGCCTATGCACCTGGACAAACTGCTTAGCTGGGACGATATGCGTGACTCTTCCGAGACGCCCGCACCGTCAAAACGCAAGGCGCCACGTATTGCCGAAACGGAATTCTTTTCAGAAGAGCGCCATGATGTGTTTGCGCGCATCCAGATTCTGGAGCTTGCGGAAAGTGGCGACTACTTGCCTGTGGAGGTGGTGCAGAATAGCAGCATGGATGCCGGCACATACCAGCTGCACCAGGGTCTGCAACGGCGCGTTGCTGTTCACCTGACACATAGTTCTACCGAGAACTTCCCCTGGGAAGACATCACCAATTTACGGGTCGGTTCAGTCCGTCTACTCGATCCATGGGGGAAGATACCAGACCAAGACTTGCAGACGCCAGATGTGCCGCTACGTTTGATACAGGAGCCGATGATTAAGGATAACGCGGATGGCACGTCGAATGTCACAATCATTGGGCAATGGGATTCCAGTCTTCATGGGTCTCTGCTTCTAGATCGTACAACGGCCGAGAAATACCGCGTCCAGATCTCGCTGCGCTGGGATCTGGTCTCGTCGCGTGTCCATGAACCCATCGTATTCCAGCTGGATCAGACTCTTGTCATTCTCGGACGCACCTACGTTCGCCAACAGTCGATTCTAAGACAGATTTGGAATTCTACAAGAGTGGTGCATTCCACGGTCGGCATGTTTTCTGTTGTTATCCGGCCTGTCTCTGCCAAACGCGCAGCAGATCTTTGGCGCATGAACACACAGAGCGATTACGTGAAAGGCGAGGAACTGCTAACGAGCTGGTCTCCGCGAAAAGTATCTCTGGTGCGAGATTTTATTGCATCTCGAAAAAGAAGACAGCGCGCAGCTGAGCTGGAAGCAGCGCGAGGCGCTTTGGGGGCTGATAGTCTTGTGGCGTCACCGTTGAAAGGCAGCGGCCGGTCCACGCCGATGCGGAATCAGGATTTTACAGAGCGACAAATGAAACTTGTTCAGCGTTATCTCAGTCTCTGGTCGACGAGGAAAGATCCCACCGAGACGATTCTGGTGAAGACTAACACCGAGCAACCTACTAATGGGGACGTCGTCTCCACGACCAACAAGAACAATAATAAGGCGCTCTTGGACGCTTCTGACAGCCACGGCTCAGCCCCGCGTTATGTTGCGGCTGTGCAGACACTCAGCAAAAATGCCACCGTCGCCAAGTCCAGCTATCTGATGATGCCGGACGATGACAACAGCACTCGCTGGGTGCGGCGGTTCGTCGAGCTTCGCGGATCCTACTTGCACATCTACTCTGCCCCCGAGGGCGACGAAATCAACACGATCAATCTCCGACATGCGCGGGTGGACCACGACCCAGACTTTGCGCGGCTCTTTGACAACAGAGCAGACGGGATGGCTTCATCGCGAGGCCGGCCAAACATCTTCGCAGTGTACGGACCCCAGAATACATTTCTTTTCGCGGCACGCACAGAAGCACAGAAAGTCGAGTGGATTCTGAAAATCGACCAAAGCTACTTCAGCAACAATGCGCCGGTGAACGGGAATGGACGTCGCTAGTTGTGTTCCCCCTTTTTTTTCGTTCCCTCTTTTCATTATCGACCGTTTCTTCTTCTTTTTTTTGGTCCGTCACGATGATTTATGACCCTGATCTATTATCCCTATCGATACCCTTGCTTTCTAAAATACTATAGTACTATTAGCGTGAGCCGGCTTGTACATTTGGCAAGTATCTTTTTTTTTGTTGTCTGCCATTGCTTCTCTGTGTACATTTTTCTGCCTTGTATTGAGATACCCCGGATAAAGAGATAGACATGTACGAGTTGCCCGCAATCGTCCCTCCGTACTCCTCCGTAGGGAGTATATACATACTCTGAAGAAACGAGGCACCGTGAAACAAGAAACAAAGGCCCAGACCGCAGATGAGCTCTGCCGCAGTGGAGTCGCGCAAGATGAAAAGTGGACTTGCAAGCAGCAATTGTCGTGGCTCAGCCAGTGTTGCTCCGTCGACGATCCCCGTACTCCGTTTGATGCAGCCTACGTAATCGCCGGGTGTGACGCAGTTGGTGGGTCTTTCTTCCTGGCTGGCCTCCTCCCCTTTTGGCTTTTGCTCTTCTTTCTCATGTCTGCGGAATAGTCTCAGCTTCGTTTCCATGTATATCTCTTCTCTTTCATTCCTGACCATGCCACGCCGGAGCATGACCTAGAACGCACGCCGCAATCGCACCGCAACTATCGCAGACACTCGCCAAACCACGTGTCGCGGGTCCCGGCCTCGCCGCCGCACCACCACCACCACCACCGCCATCAACTACACCATGGCCAACAAACCACAACACCATTCTCCGCCCTCTCCAAAGCCACTCTGGGGCTCCTCCTCACGCCTGCCGGGCCTCTTCCGCCCTCGACTCCTAATCATCGTCGGCTGCACCTTCACCCTGCTCGTATCGGCGTGCTTGCTGGTGCTCGAGTTCGAGAACCAAAACTACGCCCTGCGCCTGCAGCTTTTCCGGCCGAACCACTACTTTGAGAAACAGTGCTATACGCCGCTGGAGTCGGCGACGGAGCGCCTGCAGCATGGTTCTCCTCCTCCTGTCCCTCCTCCTCCTGGTGGGTCTGGGGGCGAGGTGAAGAATGGGGATGAGGAAGAATGGAGGTTTGTCGCTAGTCGCGATGCGAATAATTATGCCCTGAACTCGGAGCAGTGTCTGGCGGCATTTCCAAAGCTGTTTACAGAGATTGATAAGAGCGTGACGCAACGCAGAGAGGCGAATAATCCCATTACGTTCGGCGAGATTAACTCGAGGAAGAAGCTGGGGCAAGGTATGGCGAGAGCCATGATATACCAGGGGGAGGTAAGTACTGTCTTGCCTGAAACTAGTTTTCCTTTTTCCTTTTTTTTTGGGTAAACTAACTGTTGCAGCTATATATTGTGGAGTATGGAGACATGATGTACACTGCCACACGTGCGAAATCTACGCTACACTCGCTGCACCGCGCGTTGGTCGCGAACGCGGACCGTGAACCACTGCCCTCCATTGAATTCCATTTTTCCGCAGACGACTTTGTGTGGGACGACCTCAAGCTGGCCGGTGGTCCCGTATGGGCGTACTCCAAACGTGACACCTCTGATATCGACCTGGGAGACGTCGACGACAGCAACATATGGCTGATGCCCGATTTCGGGTACTGGGCCTGGCCCGAAGTTGAGATTGCGCCATACCGCGAAACACGCCGACGCATCGCAGCCGTTGACTCTGAATACGATGACTTCCAGGCCAAAAAGAAACAGCTGCTGTGGAGGGGTAGCCTGAACACGGCATCTGAGTTGCGCAGTGGCCTGGTCGAAGCTACCAAAAACAAGTACTGGGCGTCAGTGCGCGTGGTGGATTGGGGCGATAGTAAGAGCGTGGCGGACAACGTCCTGCCCATCGAGGACCACTGTCGTTACATGTTTCTTGCACACACTGAAGGCCGGTCATTCTCTGGACGGGGCAAGTACCTGCTCAACTGCCACTCCGTCTTCATCACGCATCCGCTCATATGGCGGGAAGCCCACCATGCGGCTCTCATATCGTCCGGCCCAGACGCGAATTACGTCCAAGTCGCGCGCGACTTTTCGAATCTGGAGGCCAAAGTGGAATATCTCCTAGACAACCCGCAGGTCGCGGAGCGCATTGCCAATAACTCCGTCGAGACTTTTCGCGACAGATATCTGACGCCGGCTGCGGAGGCTTGTTATTGGCGTTACCTGATCCGAAAGTACGCTGAAGTATCTGATTTTGAGCCCAAGCTTTACGACGAAAGGACGAAGAAGATGAGAGGCCAGCCTTACGAGCAGTGGGTTCTCTCACTGTAGATTCTGGTTTTCTCCGTTCGTTTCTGTACATGACCATATGATACATAATCGGAGTTATTTCCTTTCTTTCTTTCTTTCTTATGGTGGCTACATTTCTCTAGCCATATGCGGCGTTGGACATGGAGTTGGGCGGGATATAACTGGGATTTATGATTTGTTGTATAAAGAGAGATACAGGGGCCTGGTCGATGAGTCAGTCGGTCGACCGACGAGTTAATGTTAATGACAGTGATCTTTCGGTATAGATAGAGTACAAGAAGTATCATAAGTAAGCAACCAAGTTAACTTTCTCCGTCGTACTACGTATGAGTCATGTGCAACGCTGGGGCTGAGCCTTAGGCCAATCAGGCAGCCCACCACCAGCTAGCGCTTCTCCGACTTTGAAAGTTGAGGCTGAAGTCGCTGTGTATAACTCGCCTACGTCCAATTAGTTCCCCGACTGATCCACCTGCAAACAACGTGACGTACCAGCCCAGAGAAAGTTAAGAACCATCTGCGTTTAGGCACCAATGCAAGGCTGATTTGCTCAGGTATAAATACTGCCGATTGTTCTTTTCTCTGAGCCATCATCTCTCCCTTGACTGGGTGGGTGTTCCTTTAAGCCCAAGGCTTCACACACTCTCTGCATAGGCATCAGACTGTCTACGTTCTTTTGCTTCAGGATGTTGTCTCTGGTCCAGGCCGCCCAAAATGCCTCCTCCACAGCTGCATCGTCCAGTTCACTGGCAGACTCATCGATGCTGGATAGGTTCTTCCCAGGCTTCTCGATCCTCTCAGCCCTCTTCTCAACATACCTGCATCTGGACATTAGCGCCTATCTATCCATGATGTTTGTCCTGACGACTGTAGCTGCTGCAGCGAGACTGCGACTCGAGGGAGTGATAGAGACTGTCCAGAGCTACTTCACCTCCACCATCGAAGTGCGCATGAACGATGAAGTCTTCAACTATCTAATGTACTGGATCTCTCAACAACCGTTCTCGCATTACTCAACCCGTACAGTAGCCAGCACAAAAACGAAAGCGAACTCATACTATTCCGATGACAGTGACCAGGACAGTGACGAAGATGATGATGACGACGACGACTATGACGAAGACAAGAAATTTGGCAGTAATAGCACCGAAAACGAATATGCCGATGCCGCATCCAACGACTTCGATTCCTACTGGGCAAGAAGAGTAAACAAGGACAAAATCAAACGTCTCCGAATCACCCCTGCAGAGGGCCAACATTGGTTCTGGTTCAGAAGTCACCGCATCAGGTTTAAACGAGAACAGTTGGAACGAAGGAATTATGGCTGGGGCGTACCCGTCGAAAAGCTCTATCTGAGCTGCTTTGGCCGCAACCCCGAGATTCTGAAGGAACTCCTCCTAGAGGCACAGCGCATGTATGTCGACCGTGATGGAGACAAGACCATTATTTATCGCGCACAGAGAGATTCGAGTGCGGACTATGACTGGGTGCGGTGCATGGCGCGACCGCCTCGACCTTTGTCTACCGTTGTGTTGGATGATGTCCAGAAGCGGGCTTTCATCGCTGATATCAAGGAGTATCTGCATCCTCGTACTCGCCGGTGGTACGCTAATCGCGGTATTCCATATCGTCGAGGGTACATGTTTTATGGACCTCCGGGGACTGGGAAGTCAAGTCTATGTTTTGCAGCTGCTGGCGCAATGCATTTGAAGATCTATCTCATCAGTCTCAACTCCAGGACGCTAAATGAAGAGGCCTTGGCTTCACTATTCCAGAGCCTACCACGTCGGTGCATTGTCTTGCTGGAAGACGTCGATGCCGCTGGTGTTGCGAACAAGAGAGATGAACAGACAGCTGATCCTGCCACAGCGCCGTCCTCTGGCCAGTCTACAACTAACACCGGCAACACCAACAACAACAACAACAACAACGATTCAAGTAACAACAGTAGCAACAGTCATAGCACCAATAAAGACAGTGACGGAGCAAATCGCGGAATCTCCCTCTCCGCTCTGCTCAACATCATTGACGGCGTAGCTTCCAGCGAAGGTCGGATACTAGTCATGACGACAAACCACATTGAGAAACTGGACTCTGCACTTTTACGGCCAGGACGGGTAGATCTGAGTATTGCATTTGGCTATTCAGATCGCGAGACGATCAAGAATCTCTTCTTGGCTATCTATGCCCCGTTAGAATGCGAACTACCTCGGACATTGACAAACATGACTCAACACAAAAGTGCTGCTGCTCCTCCTCCTCCATCTACCGAAGAACTAGCCACTCTCGCCAATGCCTTTGCCGACCGCATCCCGACTGACGAATTCACGCCTGCAGAAATCCAGGGCTTCCTGCTCTTCAACAAAAAGGACCCAATGCGCGCCATTGAAGAAGCTGAGAGCTGGGTGCAGGGTATCCGGGAAAAGAAGGGGAGAGAAGAGAAGAAGTAGTTAATCTAACCGAGTCGCACTTTCTATCAAGTTGCGATGCTTCACATATTGATTGATTGCCTTGAAGAATAATATATAAACAATCCCAATCTTTGGTCCATGGTAACCTTCCGCTGCATCTCGTCTAATTCTACGAGGATATCTTAATTCTGACTGGCCAGAGACTCGAAGTGGGTCCTGTGGGTCTGCCGGTGACGGCACGACGGAAGCGGGTGTGGCTGTCGATGTTCCCAGTTTAACTTCGCGCTGTCCAATCACGAGCCGCGAACTAAATCTGGGTTTTACCCTGCTACCACCTCACATTAACTTGGAAGGACAACGTTCCTCTTATCTGAGAATCCAATTCGTGTAGAGCCAAACACCATTATACGCGATGTTCGTGCTAGAGTCTATACTCGAACGAAGGATAGGCTACCCTCCGGTCCTCCCTTGCGTCTGTATCATAGCGTGAAGACTTACGTCATGGGAAAGAGGGATGTATGAAAAAGTATCCTTGCTGTGATTGATACGCATGGGCTTGCTGCTACGTCCTTTTCTAGTTTAGTCCGTCAGTGGGGCCAACACATCTCTAGTCGGTTTCGATTGAAAATCTTCCCTTTCCCTACCTACAGAGTACAAAATACCCACTTACCTAGCTAACTACCTAGCTAGGTATTGTCGATTGGTATCCCTTTGGATAATTGAAAGAACATCCTCATAAAACCAGGGACCCACCCTTGGTAACAGGGACATTCTCAGACCAACCCGGACATCGACATCGTTCGCATACCCAGCTACGTAGTATCCCGTGAAGTAGACAAACACTTACCTACTAACTGTTCCCAGAAACCTCGAGTGCAGCTATGCACATTATGCATACCCACATGGTATTGACTGGTAGCACGTACAATGGGTAGACTACCTAGCAATAGTAGACCCTTGTTGCATCTCCATCATAGATGCTTGCGACATACAAAAATACCCTTTCTTGTCCTGCCCTATCCAGTACCTGTCTACCTACCTAGGCACCCGGCGTAGCCAGCTCTGCCCACGCAAGGATATCCACCCTTATCAGTTAACGTGAGGTACAATTAGTTAGTTACCAGGTGAACTAGAACTGCAACCGAGAAGAAAGATCCCCCTCAAACAAGGTTTCTTCCGTGTGCAGATGTGCTTGGAAATGGCGACCAGGTGTGGTACCTGTGTACAGGTATATCTATGTCTATAGATCGCCAAACTTTGTTTTTGATGTCATTCATTCCAGTGTCAAGTTCATGTTGATCGTGACGAGAAGTATTGCTTTTTAAAAAGTTTATTTTCCTTTTTTTTTCTTGCTTTATACCAAATTTTCTTCCATCCTACACACTAGAATAATGCGTTTGAGTCTCTCGCTTGCAATTTTGGGAGGACTCAGCCTCATTCCCACCGCATGCTCTTCACCTCTCCTCCTACAAACACCCGAAACAACATCTTCATACACCAAGAAAAGAGCTAGTAATGACTACGGATTCGACAGCGTGGCTCTTGCCCTAAACACAGATTTCCCTGACCCGGCTTTCGTCCAGCATACGAACGGATCTTGGTACGCCTTTGGCACCAATGGGAATGGCGAGCGAATTCAAGTTGCGTATTCGGCCGATTTCAAGTCATGGAGTCTACTATCCGGTGTGGAGGCGCTTCCTACGCTGTCTGGCTGGGAGACGGAGGTAGATCATTGGGCACCTGATGTATTTCGTCGGGTATGTTACTCTTATTCCTTTGCATTGTTAAGGTATATATGCTGACACTGGGAAAAAAAAAAGAATGACGGCAAATACGTCATGTACTATTCCGCCATCGCGCAGGAAAACACAAACCGTCACTGCATCGGCGTCGCCATAGCCGACGGCGACAGTCCGGCGGGCCCTTACATACCAACCTCGGACAGTCCACTCGCCTGCCCGCTCGACCAAGGTGGCGCAATTGACGCCAGCAACTTCCAAGACGAAGACGGCACACGATACGTACTCTACAAAGTCGACGGAAACAGCGTCGGCCACGGCGGCGACTGCAACAACAGCCAGGAGCCTCTTGTGCCCACCCCGATTATGATCCAGCAGGTCAAAGAAGACGGGCTCACGCCGGTGGGTGATGCGATCCAGATCCTCGACCGGGACGAGTCTGATGGGCCTCTGGTCGAGGCCCCGTCGTTGGTTAGGTCGGATGATGGCATGTACTTGCTTTTCTATTCGACGCATTGCTTCACGGATGTGAAGTATGATGTGCGCTATGCGACTGCTTCCACCGTCACTGGGCCGTACACGAAAAAGGGGAATTCTCTGCTGGCTTCGAATGATGCGCTTTACGGGCCTGGTGGAGCAACTGTACACGGTAGTGGCAATATTCTCTTTCATGGCTGGTGCAATGATAACTCCGTGAGGTGTATGTATGCTGCTCACGTTGATATTGATGGAGGTGCGGTCACTGTTGAATAAAGCACTTTCAAACACCTAGCTAGGCATTGTCATGCCGGTATCGATTCTAGCTATGTACATACATTTGAAGACATATCTGTTATAATTACGCAAGGGTCAACTGATATATAGAACTGAATAGACTTGATTGGTTTTTACCTTAGTGTCGCCCGCCCTCTTTACCTGCTTTCTAATCCGATATGGTATTCAGTCAGATCCCCCAAACACCCAAAGGATCTCCGGTGCCAGTATCACCTCTAGCCTCTTGCAGCCTTTTGACTCGCCTAACAAGAAAGCCAACAGCAATAGGGCCAATCAATGTGCAAATTGAAATCGCCCAAATGATCACCAAGTAGATGTCGGAGGATCCCGATCCACTAGAAGAGCCATTAGAATCATTATCAAATATGCCCTGACTCTGCGCAAGTGAAGCAATCAAATAGCCTACTTCCCCTCGTGCTATCATTGCAAGCCCAAGGATAGAAGGCGGATATAAGGATTTTGGCTTGGGAAGGAGTGAGCTGGGCTCGGTTTGGGCTACCACATCATCCGGCCTTGCTCTTAGAGATGGCTGGCTTGCGCTGGTGGTGTCATTGTTAGACCGAGTTGGACCTTCGTGTGATCGACTTTCCTTCTTTTTCTTTTCGGACGTATCAATTCCCTTCTTTCGCTTAGAGTCTTTGCAAAACTTCACTGGCATGAAAGAAGTAGCATAAGAAAATGCTTTCTTAAATACAGCCATAAATCCAGCCACAGGGCTCGCTGAGACGCGAACGAGCCATATACCAGTGACGATCTTTCCGAGGGCCATCAAAAGGGCATAGACAATGCCGCGCCATACGACATTACCATGAAACATCTCCGTGATAGGAATCGCAAAGCCAATGGATGCCTAGATGTATTAATTTGTTTTCTTTTCTTTTAAACATAGAACGAATCAATCGAACGTACAAAGAAAAGAGGTATCAAAATGCGATTGACCGGTCCTCTGTAGTATGTTTCGTAGATCATGTCACCTGTCGGTATTCTGTCACGAGTAGTGTTCTCTTGAGTAGCAGGCAGTGCGTTTGATGAGGTATTTTCTTCGCTTTGTTGGTTTCCCGTATGCGCCCCGGCCTCTTGATGTTGAGTCGAGACAGACTGAGATGTAATGAAATCTCTGTCTTTAGACCCCGCAGCAAGCTCATCAAACCAAGAAATGATCACTCCACCTAGATAAGCAGCAAAAAGACTCGACGTGCCGGCATACGAAGCGCCAGCAACCATTCCAAAAAGTACAATTGCATGAACACAGAAGGCGAATTGCGTAGTCCGTATAAATTCTGGCATTTTTTGTCCACTAGCAAGGCCAATTCTTATCACTGGCTTCAGACAGAAAGAACAAAGCAGAAAGATGCCGGCCGCAAAGCCGATAGACACAATGACTGGCCGAATGATCGTCACAGCGCTGATGGAAGCGTCGTCATTTCCACCGAGATTTGAGATGACTTGCACCATAACAAGACCTACCACATCGTCAAGCATCGCCGCACAGGTGGTCACTGTGCCGAGTCTTGTAGCTATCAACTGAGTGGTGGACAGAACGGTAAATGTAGTTCCAAGACTGGTTGCACTGAGAGCAGCACCAGCAGCAAAGGCCTGGAGAGAAGTTGCTGCCACCAGCTCCTTCAGGATGAATGACAACGCAATTGGCGTCAAAATTCCAGTCAGTGCAACCGCTAGAGACACAAATATATTAGCTCTCAAGGCTTTGATTGACATGGATAGGCCGCCTGAGAGATGTCAGAAAAGGAACGTCATTGTAATCACAGAAGCTAAGAATAACTCTGACCTTCATAAACCAGCATAATTAGTCCAAGGTATCCCAGCTGCTGGATAACCTTCTCCATTTCGCCACCGATCCATTTAGCTCCAGGAGTGCCCCAAAGAATACCGATGAACAGCTGGCCAATCAGTCCACAATACAAGAGCTTGTCCAGACAGGCATTGACAATATTCAGTGCCAGAAGAAGGCCTGCCTGGTTGAGGATAGTCGAAATGGTGGGCTCCTGGTAGGGAAAAGCTGTCTCGGTAGACATACCGGAAGGTTATGCGAGAGTGACTCGCGACTGCCGAGGATTCTAGTTATGAGAGTAATAGTGATCGATGTCTTTATATTTGCCAACCGACGCCATTGGGAGAAAAACCAGCGGGTCGAACGAATAGTTATATTCGCAATGATAACAAGCGTGACCAGTCAAGCAGGAGTGATGACAAGATGTCGGAAGAAGAGGTAACGTACCCAAGTTAAATCCCGCAGTCTTGGCAGCCATTGCACATATTTCTTACCATGGATCTTACAGATGCAGAGTATTGTCTGATAAGGTCACGGAGTGCTTTACTTCGTGATTTGCTTGTAGAAAGGAGATAACAGCGAATGAATTCTTGATAGATATAATAAAGTAGACAAGCGAGACTGAAAATCAAACAATGTCTAGATCAGAAGTATATGGCTCGCGATGGGGTATCTTGCTATTAAATTAAGCGTACCAAATATCTAGACAAAGCTCTGTACACCCGAATAATGAAGAAAAAGAAAGGAACACCAATACTCCCTGCTGAAAAAAGCATATGATTATGATGGTGGTGGCCGATTGTCCACTTTGGAACTGAATAACTGGCCTAACCAATCCTTGAACGAGCCCAAGGTATCCTTGACACTGTCATAGAATGACTGAAGTGATGATTTTGCGTCATCGTCATCTTCATCCCCGTCGCCATTGCCATTGCCATTGCCATCGCCATCGCCATCCTCCATGGAGGATCCAGGGGTAGTCTCTGGCGGCGGCGGAGGTCCTACAGACGCAGTCGGACGTGTAGTTATTGGCGAAAAGCTCATACTAGCTTTTGGAGGATCTTCGGGAGTATCAAGAACAGGAGCGTCGTCGTCACTGTGCAGACCTATAGTTGTGAATGGCAGGTGCAAAGTTCCATTGTTTGGTAGCGGTATGATTCCGATCGAATCGCAAATCAGGTTGTAAACGTTAGTATTTTCTATACTTCGGGTTAGTAGCACGACAAAAGACGTAGAGCTGGGCCATCACTTACGGAAAACCTCCACTCTGCTGTTGGGAGGATGAGGAAAGGCTGGTCCTCGGGCAACGAAGATGGCTCGCATAAGTGGGTGGTAATTATCATACCCATGAATTCCCCGAGGCGCATAAGGAAGCACCTTGGCAAGTGCTTCCTTTACGTCGAAATCGGGCCTTTCCACGACAGCCCATCCAGCTTTAGGTATAATCCAAAGTGGCGCGATTCGATCATTGTTTGAGAAATGCCATCTTTCTGGCATTGTCTCTCGAGTATACACCTCTATCCCGTCCGGATATTCCTTTGCTGTCTTCTCCAATTGGCTCTTGAGGACTTCTAGATCTTCAGGTTGCTTCGGTCGGAGACCCCTCAATGGCCAGCCATCGATGTGTTCCACCAACTCTATATCAATTAGATCTTCCAACTGGATGGTACGTGTAGTCGAGGTAGTAGCCATTCCATGATCAGAGACAACCACGATGTTGACAATGCTAGTCAGATTTCGAGCTTCAAGCCCCTCTAACAAACCGGCGAGCATATCATCTGCGTACGAGATGACGGATCGTATTTCGGTACTGTTTGGCCCATACAAATGACCAGCTGTATCCACGTTGGGCACGTACGTAGCAATGAATTGCGGACGAAGCTTCTCAACGCCATCCTCGCTTTCTTCTCCCGGAAGGTCGAGGAATTCCATAACACGATCTACTTTCCGCGATAGAACTTCAGAGCCATTGAATTTGTCGTAGAATGTCGGATCCATATTACCAATATGCGCTTCAGACCCGGGCCACATGTGGATCGCGGTGCGAATACCTTGCTTTTCCGCCGTCGTCCAGATAGGCTCTGCTGTCCACCACTTTGGATCATCGCTTTTCCCCGGCACGACTGTGAAATATTCTTTGTAATTGGGATCATAGAAATCGTTGGCGACCATGCCATGACTCTCAGGGTACAAGCCCGTCACAAGAGTAAAATGGTTGGGAAACGTAACACTGGGAAAGCTGGGAATCATATATCTCGGAGAAACACCCTCTGCAATGAACTTATTAAGCGTCGGTGTAAGTCCGCGATTGAGAAAATCGGCGCGAAATCCGTCAAGCGAAACGACGATGGTGGTTGGCGCGAAAAGGGCTGTCCCGTTGGACAGAAAGCCTGCCACCTTGCCGTTCACATTTTGAGTGTCTTTAGATGCCTTGTAAGCACCCAATAGAAATATAAAAAACAGAACAGTCATGGCAGCAAACGCTAGAGCGAGCCACAGATACATGCCCTTTTTGGGCTTTTGGGCAGGAGTTAGCATGGAAACGAGCTAGCTAAAACAGCGAGCGAAATCCTGGGCTTACCGGTTGGTCTTGCCACTTATCCAGGTCTTTCTCGTCCAAGTCCAACGAATCAATACTATCTCCATCCGAAAAATCTCGGAACCCTTCTTCCATTTCAAACATGAGATCTCCTTCCTGGTGCGGTTTGCCCTGCACACTCCTTTTCCTCTCTCGTCGATTGCGTTTGCCTATACGTACGGGGCCCACGGTTGGGCTAAAAATGCGCCGTAGACCGTCAGCCGGCCCGCTCCTTACAAGCAGCTTCTCCATTTCCTCCTCTTCTTCCAAGACTGTCTTGTCATGCCTGGCGAGTTCGAGTGTGGACCGGGTAGCGCGCAGAAACTCGTCATCTTCCGAGTCGGAGTCTTGGTCCGAAAGCGATCGTGGAGACGTGACATCGTCGTCGTAGGCGGAGGGAGAGAGCAAGTCATGATCTCGGAGTTCCCGCCTAGAGGGCATGATGGACGGTCGATCAGCGTTGAAGGGAAGGAAAGGATCAGTTGCAGCGAGTCTTTTTCGTTGGAGTTTGGTTTGATCTTGCGGAGGTCCGGAGATAAGAGATCAGATGATTTTACCATACGGAACCGGTAAAATTACAATTAGCCCTTACGGAGAGGCTCTCGTAATATTTACGGCCAATCAGAACACGCTATGCGTGCTATGTATAAAGGCGAGATGATAGACATCAGCAGAATCTGTGAACATAGACGAATGGGTGATACATTGCCCATCTGCAGATGATGATTGGCACTTTGAAGCCTGATGGACTGTCAGAATCAAGATTCCGAGAACATAAACTTGGTAGACATTAAATATGGAAATACCCTAGTCTTCGTCAGACCACTCCCTCTCTTGCATTATCCATAGTAAGTGCCTGCCATTATCCGGGTAATCTACATGCTTTGAATTTGGTATCAATGCTTCTATCCCAATGATGGTTTTCAGCTTGGATGTGGCACGCTTTTGCAATGCCACCAGCGCATCAACCTGGCTGTCATTCTCCTCGCTCTTGCCTCTTTCATAGCCTCGAATACACAGAGATTCAAGACTCTCCGGCAGGCAGTCGACAAGGCTGAAACTCCCGTCGTGCGTGGGTTTGACACCGCGGGCAAAATACATCAAGAAATGAACCCCAAGGCTCAAGCGTTTTAGGGCATGAAAATCTCGTAGAGATCCGCTTTGATCCCACATCGCAACAGGTGGGGGTCCGGAGCGACCAACTTCGGCCTCACGCTGGCCGTATTGCACGTCTAAGCAGCGGTCTCGTGTTGATGAATCAACCTTGAATAGGTAGCCCATGTCTTCCTCCACGTCCACATCTAAGATCTCCAGTGTCTCTTTATGCATTAGGATTGCCTTTATAAATGTCTTTACATTGAAAAACGAAACGGCTGGGGGGGTCCTTGACCTGCCGCCAATTGAGTACTCGAACTCCCGTAAGGCCTTACAGGAGCATATTAGCGACGCCAAATACATGCTGGTTATTGACGAATGGTGGATAGCGATTCTGCTAACATTAGACTCGGCGATTTCTGCCACTGGCGTCGCATATGGCATCTCTAGTAAGAGATCTACGCTGACTGAATTGATCGAGGGAAGACGATGAAACATTGCGAGAGCTCCAGTGAAGTCCATGAAGGAGTAACACCTACCATCATCCAGATAATCCTTGTTGATATTTATCATATAGACGCTGCGCAGATGCTGGAGGAACAGAGATTCCTGTGGAGACGTGTTGTTCCGGTATAGCAACTGGTAGAGCGGAAACCCGACTTCCTCAGGGGCCAGCCTGTTAGCGTTCAATAAGTGATGGAATGGGGGAGCTATTGCCATTGACTCGAGATAAGGTGAAACTGAAATGAGAAGCGTTGCTAGAGCCTGCGCCATGTAAGCTCCGCCTCTTATTAGGTCTCTAGTTCGGCGAATTAGAACTGAAAGGAAGACATCAAATCTTTCACCACATTGGAAAAAAAAAAAAAATCTTACCCGCGTGTAGCATATTTATGAACATCTAGATTTACCAACTGCAGAAGTAAATCAATCACGCGGAGACCCTCAGCATCGACAAATCCGGCTCTGCGTGTTGCAGCACGCAGCAGTTGCATTTCTTCTCCGCTCAGCTCTCGACGTGGTTGTTCGGGATTGGGTTCATTCGCGCAGCACTCTTTGGTGTATTCGATATGACGCACATGTTCTCCGAGACCAGGTTTTGTCAGAATGTCCAACAGCATATTGAATGCGCGGTTGAAACTCTTACGGCTGCTAGTGATGCGTATACGCCGGTATCTTTTGCGTAGGGGCATATTGCAGAGAACGTGTAGGGAGCGACATTGGACAGAAAGAGCGGCAACATCACGATGTGAATAGAGGAAGAAAAGTACTCGGTGCTGGATTTCAAAGGGGAGGTGAGTGAAAAGGAACATTTTGTCTCGATAAAATTGCCTCCGGATTGAGCCCGAAAATTGCAAGTTATCTCGCTTTTATGCTTGCTGCTCTCCTGACGGTTGCCTGGAAGAAATTTTCCCTGCACTTTTCTACGTGCGTGCTAGCATTACATAGTGCTAAGCTAGCTAACTGTACTAGGCATCCAACGTGTTACTTATGGGCCTCATTCAGCGCTAGCTTTTTTGTTACTATCAACTTAGTATAGCTAACAGCAAGCTGCTATACCTATTTGCTGATGGTCTGACAACTTTGTATTGGGTCACGTGATATACAGCCCTCCAACCCAAACAACGTACAAACACTTTTTTCAGTCTATATTGACGGAAAGATCTTTTCAACTGCTAGCTAATAGTAAAAATTATCTGCTTTAGATTCCCCAACAATGGCCTTGATCGGGTGGGATCTCAAAAGCCCACTAAGGCTTTACGCGGTCGACTTGCCGTTTTCGGAAATTTCCAGGTCTGGCACAGAACGGCATTTATTTTAACAGGGCAAGTGTGAGGTAGCTGTTCAGGTGCCTTTATTCGAAAAGCAGCAATTGGACAATTGCTTTGGCACTGTCTAAGTGAGACTGCAGATCAACATCAGCTCGTTTTCAGGACTATGCTTAGAACGACAATGGGCCCATAAACCTGTCTCTTTCAATCAAAAGAATGTTGTATTCACCTCAAATAGCCATTTCCGGAGAGAAACAACATAATGGCTACTCGCATGCAGGTACAGCTTCCAAATATAGAAGCAGCTTGCGTATTAACGAGACTGAGAGGGAAGAGATCTTCACGCACCAGGTACACCTAACGTAACAACAAACAAATTCTGAACAATAGTTACAGTATCTCTTTAGAAATTCCTTTTCCCCTCGAGAATAGGTGTTGTATTAGTGGCTACTAGCCAAGCCAGCACCTAAATTCGGAAAGAGGGTGCTCAAACCTAGTACCCATATAAGAAAGAAGAAAGCATGCAATCGATACTCAATGTCAATCAACTTGCAACTATGTTATGTAATTTGACATCTTACCCTCCATCGATGTCTCTGCTTTCAGATCACCCATGAAATATATCGCAATGATTGGTAGAACCGTAATCCAAATCAGATTTTCCAGCTTCCGACAGGCGAACCTTGTCTATATAAAGACTCCGGACAGACCATAATTTAGGAGTTTGATTTCCCTTCCTGTTTTACCTTTCCTCTTGTCTAGAGGTGTATACATTCTTTTGTTCACTCCTCCAAACTACACACCTTCTTTCAGACATACCAATCAAGTAAACCAGCCAACATGCATGTCTCTACTCCCATCATCGCCCTCTTCGCCATCACTACTGGCGCCGTGGCTCAGACCTACAGCGAACCCGCCGCCACGTTGTCCCTGAATAGCCCTAGCAGTGCCGTCGTCACAACTCCCATCCCAACCAGCAGCAAAGTCGTTCCTCCCAAGAGCAGCGCAATTACCACGCCTGCCTCAAAGACCTCCTCCGCCGTCAAGCCCACCAAGACTTCTGGCGGCGGTGGCGGTGGCAGTGGAAGTGGCTCGGGCTCCGGTTCAGGCTCAGGCTCAGGCTCAGGCTCAGGCTCAGGGTCCGGCGAGAATGGTAGTGGCACCGTCCCTACATACACGCCAGAAAATCCAGCAGCAAAGATTGACGCCCAAGGCGCAACCTATCTTGGAGCTGCCCTTGGAGCTCTCGGAGCTTTTGCCGTCCTTGCTTAGATCAAATGATATATCATAATGACTTAATTCGACTTCGATCTCGGGTTCACTTCTTTCTTCTTCTTCGAATGAATAAAATGTTGAATGTTCTTCTGTCTTGTGGGAGACTTATTATAATCAGAAAAGATAGGGGGGGGTTTATGGGTTCTCTATGGTGAATGGGAGTTATCGGCGTGGCTATTTCGTTTTCTTCTTTTCTTAGATCATTTTTCACTTAATGTTGATTGATTCTAATATATGCCAGCATCTCAGATGCTCGATTGAGGATTGATACTTAGCCAGGGCACGGAATGTATGCAGCCAGCTTTTTCCACTTCTCAACTTTGAGAAAGCACAATGTCAATACCAGACAGAGTGTACCTTTAGGTGTCGAAACTACTAAAAAGGTCACTCTGGCATTCCTGTTTGCGTAGCGACGGCACCGTTTAGGCAACATCACTTTGACTTAGACGTTGCTTTCGCCGCTTTTGCTGTTCATAGGGTCCAGCTTTTGGCTTCCCAATGCGTACTCAGTCTTCTTCATTTAGTTGAATAGAAACATCAAATTTTTGTTAACTTCTCTCTCCTCTCACTAGCCGCTCGATTCCATATCACGATCGATGTTAGTCACTCTCCCTGTAAATTATTCCACAATTCTATAAAAAATCTCCTATCTGCGCGAAGCTCATGCCATGTTGACCAAGGGACAGATAGACAATATAGGCTCAGTCACATCCCGCAGCACACTCCATCAAGGAGACCTATCTGAATGCTACAAGCAGCATAGTCCACAGTATAGCGAATGACACTTTCTTAAACGTGAATCGAGATAAAAATGAGTAAATTAATTTCAAGTCATATTCCCTCGTCAACCTACGCCAGGTCCTATCGCTTTCTGTCCGCCAAAAGAGTTTTGGCTTCCGTCCTCATCTTCTCCGTGTCGTGCCTAAAATCCTTTTTGTACTTATATGCGCTATTCACTTGCGCTCGGGTTATTTTGATATCTCCGTCCTCTTTCTCCGCGAGCATTTGTGCAACTATGAAGATATTTCGGATCTCTCTCCCACTCAGAAGATGAGGTCGCCGGGTATCGCTGACAGTATCGTCAACCCAGTTTTTCAGATCTGCATAGTCATCACACAAGCCTTGACGATGTAGACGATCCAGCCACATCTTCCAGATTCTTTCCTCCTGATTGCTGTCAGGCTCTCCGAAGTTGACGGCATGATGAATACGAGACAGGATCGCCGGATCGAAGGCTACCACGCGGTTGGTCGTCATGATTAACACACCTTTAAAGTATTCAACTTCTCGAAGCAGAACTACAACAATGTGGTAAGCACCATATCATCCATATCGAGAATATAGACAGTCTTTCCTACCGGACACCAATGCATTCTTCGACACAAGACTTTCGTTATCCTTGCCTCTAGCATCTAGGAGGACATCCGCTTCATCTCTGTGACATGCATTAGTAACCTTTCACCGTTTATTTGCTTCCTTCTCACTCACATAAGCAAGATTGCATTCCAGGCTTCGGCGAGTTCGAATATAGTCTTCAGGTCACGTTCTGCGCGAGGGCCAATGAACCCAATGTCACTGGTACCCACTTTGAAAAGCGGTTTGCCTGAGTTTTTAGCCAATGACTCGGCATAGAGTGTCTTTCCTGTCCCGCTGTATCCTAGATTTCTCGTCAGATATGTTTGTTACCCAGGAACATGGTTTTTCGGAAACCTCGAACATTGTGAACTATCCCTCACGGACACACATACCATGAAATAGTAAGATCAGGCTCTCTCCTTTTTTTCCGATCACATCCATCAGTCTCTGGCTTCGTGGTCTAGCCATAGCCCTTGAATGATTGTTGACCATTGCGTAAATGTGCCGTTCCTCGTCTTCATTCATACCAACCGGTAGGATAAGATCTTTTCCCCTGCTTTCCCGGACAGCACCCTCGGATTTATTGACCACCTCAATATTATTCAACCAGAACTGTCCCCATTCTTTCCTGTTCAGGGCAAATCCCACAACTCTAGGTGTAAGTAGCAGCTCATTTTCGACAGAGAACGGTGCGTTGCCCTTTTCGATAGATTCGACCCATAATATGGCCTCATCGCTAAGACACAATGGACAGTGGCATGGTATTGACTCCCGAGCAACTCGAATATCACCAAGCCACAAGGTAGACAATGTTTTTCGCAAATAGTTTACTGTGTCTAGTACTATGTCCTCGTCAACCTGTATAGGCACTTAGCACTTGGCAAATGATCTACAATGATTGTCACAAACCTTGGCGTAAGGTAACTCCTTAAATCCTTTTGTGTCCGCTTCACGCATGAGAAACAGTCGTTCCTCTGAGAGGGCAGGAATACCACGAAATTCGCCGGAGTATCGTAGCAACTTTTGCGCGGGAGGCTTTTGCTGGAAGGTGTATTTGACATAGTTCTCTTTGCGGTTTTGGTAGATCGCACTCTCGTAGACGGCACTGATTCCTCTTTTGTTTCCAGATCCTAAGTACAATGTGGCTGGGTAGCAGCTAAGTTCTGTCGGTGACTTCTGGCCTGTGTAGGCTTCTATCTGAATTTCGAACATATTGCGGAAAAGTTCAGACCCGTTCCAATCCCAGGCCCAAGCATGAATAAGAAGGGCCCTTTTTTTAACAAGTCCCATGCCGTAGAACTGATAATCCATTGGGGGACGGTCTTTATACCTGGCCTGATGGACTTTGAAGATCTGGGGATGTTTGCTAGGTTCACACGATGAAACAATCAGACTCCCAGGTTTGAAAATGGCCCATAATAAATCAAATTCCACGTGGAAGTTTCGAGCATTTTCAATTTCCTCGGGTATTTTCCATGATGCAGGATTCTGAAGTTTGTTCGCTTCGTCGAGAAGAGACCTTAGACCTTTGGCAACCTCCGAAGCAGTAGAGACCGAGACTGCAGCAGATTCCAAGTCATCATAGCTGTAAACAAGTAGCTTGAAAGGTGACTCGATAGCGAGTACTGCATCCCACCTCACCTGTATCCCAGAATGAGCGATGTATGCTGAAGTCGTTTGGATGATGCAGCTTCGTAGATCTTGATCTAGAATTTTGACAACGCGATAGTCATCACTCTTGTGCCAGAAGTCTCCCCAGATCTGGAACCAGGAACTCTCGAAAAGAACATTTCCTTGTTCCGGAGTTTTGCTTGGAGGGGTTCTAGCTTTAGGTTCCGTTTCCATAATTCTCTGTGTTCTCTGCCTCCAGATTATGCGAGTCTAGCAAGAAAATATTGGATAATATGGGAATTTGCGGATGCAAGTCTCGACAAGAGAATCCTTAAAGCTTGGGAATTAAGCTATAGACAGTCTTTTGCGCAAGGCTCGGCTCTACCTATTCAAGGATTAGTAGACATCGTGTGTATTGTTATGTACACTTACCACACTTTCGGATCGATCCAGGCTCTCAGGTATAATACTAGTCGTATTCAAGGGAAGAAAAGTTCACTGTAAGGAGACAGGAGGGCAAAGCATTCTTTGAACTTTCAGATTCAATTTATCGTCTCCGTCGCACCTTGCCTTTCTCATATCATATACAGGCTGTATCTTCTCCGCACGCACAAGGCTGAGAGCCTAAGCCATACTGAGATTGGCTTCCCCTCCTGAAATAGCCATGCCGCCTTTGTAGCAATCGCACAGTTTCTACTGGCCAGGTATTTTGATCAGTGACGTGTCAAACTCGTGTCCTCGCGCTACTGTGTTGAATGCGTTGTCCCAACATGTCTGTAGCCTTGTCTGTTCGCAACTTCGCACAATCATGAAAAGTAGCAAGGCATCCGTGCACATCAAGGACATCATCCATACTTGCAGGACTGAGCACAGCTCCGAAAAGGGCAGTGCATCTTTACCTAGCGCGAGCAGGGTTTTGATCTTCTTCCGGATTTCCAATGCTGCATAGCCTGCCTAGACGCCTGAGTATATGAATGAGATGTGCTTTCCAATGAACATGTTGTAAAACTCGTCTATTTAATATGTTCGCATAGTACAAGAATGGCACACGCATCCTCATTCTCAGCCGATCTTGACAAGCTAATTTTCCAGCCTGCGGAAGTCGATATCGACGCGGAGTGTCTCAAGAACATATACAAATCAGACCATGCGTATGTCAACAAACTTGTGGAAAATATATTGTCCCATGTTGAGCGAAGAAGAGCTCGACTGGAAGGCATCCGCCGATCCTCCACAAGACGAAAATTAGGGACAAATATCCAGAAGCTTGCAACTGCGACACAAGACTTTGTTCAAGATTTTTCCGGAATCTTCGAAATCATCAAAGGAATAGATTCACGAGTTGGTTCCATAGCTTACGGTACCTTCAGCTTGCTTCTTACGGTTGCGAAAAACAAGCAACAGCATGAAGATGTGATCACCAGTGCTTTGGAAGATCTCGGCCGGTGGTTGTCCAGATTACGAGCGATCGAAAGGTCCGAATATGATAATGATGCAATTCTTCAATTCGTTCTGGAGATATATATCAAAGTGATAGATTTTGGCAGAGATGCAGTACTATATTACGGCTCGTCATCTTCGAAGAGAGTTTTTCAAGCCGTGGCTCGACCCGCCCAATCTGCATCACAGAAGCAGGCGGCAGAAATCAGATCCCTTATTGCAGATCTGATGCAAGAGCTACTTATTATCCAGCATGATTACATTAGAACAATCAAAAGTCACTTGGAAAGGGAACAACAGGAAGAACACCAGCGATGTGTCGACAATCTTGAAAGACTGTTTGGTGTTTCGTCGGATCTCTGTGCCAAAAACATGATCCAGGAGAGCAATCGCAGGTTCGAGGGCATGTTTAGCAAGGGCAAGCCCAAAGCAGGCTTCGCGAGGAAAGCGCCACAACTTGAGCAGATAAGCCTTGATGCACTTGCTGAGCGATCCGAGTATAGGTCATGGATGGCCAATTCCTCTTCATGCCTGCTACTCCTTGAAGGAGAGAACTACGATGCGTATGATACCAGCCCACGGCTGTGCTGGCTCTCTCCGGTTGCTGTTCAGTTCTACCAGCATTTTGATGAGCTCAAGAACTGCTATATACTATACCACTTTATTGACGAAGGTGCTCGAGGGATCGAAGGTTCGGAGACTGGGATAAACATGATGCTGAAAAGTATAGTGTTGCAGCTATTGAGAGAAAACCGCGGCGTTTGCAAGAAACTGTTTGACAGAATACAACACCTTTCTACCCTACCAGCGGCAGAGCAGGAAAACTTGTTTGAAATTTTGTACCATGTTCTACGCACTTTCAGCCAGGAAAAGACGATCTACATAGCAGTCTCAGGTGTCGAAAATATGTTCAGCAATCCACCGACAAGACTTTTTGGCAGGTTATTAAAACTGATCAGATCGTCTGATGTCCTCGTCACTGTGAAGGTTTTAGTGATTTGTCGATCAGGTTATTGGCCAAATGCCGGCTCCAAAGATAGGTCAGATCTGCAGCGAGCCCTGGCGATAGGCGGACATGAGGAGCTGCTGCTGGCTGTATTTGTTGCCTTCGGTTGGAAACAGAGGTCTCTGGGTAATTGATAAGGGGATCTCTACAAGTTATCCATAGAATGAGCCCAAGTCTCGTACAAGCTCAGGTGCCTGGCTGTGGAGTACCTAAGTATGTTCAAGATATCGTAGGTTGAATAATATATGCCAATTACTTGACCCATCATGGGTTGAAATCCAGTATTAGACAGGCGTAAAGTTGAAAAATCAAAATTAACTTGCCGCTCGTCAAAAGCCATTGTGAATCAGTTAGTAAATGGAAATAATATTGATGTTTTGTTTGTTCTTGACATAGGACGTTGATGATGGTGGCTAAGACCATGCTGATTTTGACGTGTGTGATGCTCTGAGACTCCTTTTCCGAATTGGGTATCAATTACCGAAAACGGAAAATATCCAGGACTCCCGTGGACCTCTTTGCATACACCACACGTTGAGCCAAAGTGAAGTCAATGTCCAAAACAATTTATTTCCATTTTGGTGTCTGGGTCTGGTAATTCATGTATATAAAATTTGTATTCTTTTTGGTCAAAACAACCGCGTTCTATGCGTACTCAATGCAATTGCAAGGACATTTCCGCCATGTACTGAGTAATGCATGCTCAAAAAAGTAACAACAAATAAATCACCCAACACCACTCAAAATGCAAAAAAAAAAAAATAAAAATAAAAAATAAAAAATAAAAAATGGAAAGGATTAAGATACATCTACCCAATTCCTCCATTCACACATACAGCCTCCCGTGCCGCCATCAATCGGTTTAATCTCATCCTCCGGCACATTTTGCTCAATCGCCTCTGCCAAAACCAAATAATCCGGACTAGGATTCACAATCGTACCACCAGACGATCTATCCTCATTTTGTAACTTGGGGTTTGTCAAATTGTAGTATGTCCCTGCCACATCGCCGTCGGCACTGTCGGCTGTAGTGTCCTGCTCGAGACCGTAGCAGTAGGCCAGTTTCTTAGTAGCGAGGCCGCCGTGCCGGTCTATCGTTATTGTGATTGGGTAAGGGAAGGATCCAGGTGATACGAAGTCGTTTGCGGATGAGGATGAAGCTGATGCCGAGCTACTTGCGGTTTTGGTGCTCTTGGCCGCGGTGCTGGTAGACGTGGAGGAAAAAGAATTTGTTGTACTAGTCGTGATATTCGCAGAAGAAGTGAGCACCATATGTGATACATTCTGTGGCTGTGTCCAGATGCGCACAAGGAAGCGTGTCTGTGACCATGTACAACGCACGCTGGCATCGGTCTCCTTACTTCCGCCATTAGAATCATTCGGGTTTTCGTCTGTGGTATCGCCTGTGACTGTTCCGTTTGAGGCGAGAAATATACTCTTGTCGAAGTATGTGTAAAACCCGTAGTGCTCCGATGCCAGGCCCCGATTGTACAGTTTCACTGGCTGCGAGATTGGAAGGGGATACAATGTGGCGGCGGCGGCGCTGCCATCGGATGCCATGGCCGGCGCAGGAATTATACTGTTAACATCGAAATCTGAACCTGACGATGAAGAACTGGTGCTTGTGGTGCTGGTACTTGTTCCAGTACCAGTGTTTGTGCCAGTAGCAGTAGCAGTAGCAGTAGCTGTGCCAGCACTCGTACCTGTACCCGTACTGCTAGTACCAGTCACACTCGAACCCGAAGCAGTTCCCGTTGCAGAAGTAGTGCTAGAATCATCTCGTTTGACCTTTGCAGCCGTCGAATTAGCCATATCAAGTGGCGAGAGCACCGTGATATAGAACGGCGTATCTTCTCCTTGAAAAGGTTCCGTAATATTATCTGTCGTATTTCCCAGGAATATCTGATCGACGAGCCGAGGCGCCGTCGGTGACGGATCCCAGGTCCCATCTCTGCGATACAATGCAGAAAACAAAGACCTTCTCGATGCAGTTGAATTCGCCGAAGAACTATTGTCGCCCGCGGTAGTATTAGTCCCATTTCTGAAGCGAATCTCAAACCTGAAGTTAGGATAATCAGCCGCATAACCCCCCGCATTACTAGCCTGCTGCTCCTTTGGCAGTGCGCAACTCCATGCCTGCGACGGCGCAATACAGCTGCTCCTTTCTACCACCGGCGCCGGTCCAGCAACGGTCATGATGCCCGTGGGCATAGGCGGGAAGCCAGTCAAGTTCAACCATTCCGACTGAGTCGGGGTCGAGTCGCCTTTGTGAGTGAGCGTTGTCGCGAGAGAGACACAAATAATAATCACGACAAGACAAAATGCAATAATGGCGCAATACCACCGTCGACGTTTCCTCTTCTCGCGGCCGCCTTTACGGCCAAAGCAGCCTTTGGCAGGGAAACATGCGCGTCCGCGCCAGAGACTACCCAGTCTTTTGGCGAAGTTGTCTTCTTTTTCTAGTCGCCGCCGTCGAGCCTCGTTACGTTCATGGCCACGTAACTGCGCTGGTGTGACGAATTGGTTTCCGGGGCGTGGTTGGTCGAAGTCTTCTCTAAAATAGTTCTGCCCGTGCACATTGACAGCTCGAGGATTTCCATGCGACATATTTGACTCTTCTATCCCTCGCTGGTTGACTTCAGACATGGGTATCCCGCCCCTGCTGGTCATTGCTTGTTGTAAGCCTGGAGATGCCGGTGCCGGGGAGTCTGGCTGTTGGCGCTGGGCATTACGTGTACTGTGATTGAGTGGGAAAACTGCTCGATATCGAGGAGTATCTCTGTTAGATGGTGCCGCAGAGTATGGTGGCAATACTGATTCCGAATCCGAATCTTCCGATGCGTCACCCCGGCTATCCTGACGTGGTGCGGGAGAAACTAGAGGCGAAGGATTGCGCCGCCGTGACCAGAACGGGCTTGGCCGGTGGAAAGAAGGGGTAGCCTGTAGAGCTGGTGCTGGTCTAGACACTGGGGTGGGAGCAGGTTCATCAAGGTCTCTTGGTGCGTCGTTTCTTGATGTATCTGGTAATGGGGACGCTGCTCTGGGTGGTGATCTTGTTCGGGAGAATTGGGCAGGTTCCATGTCGTACTCACGCCTTCTGAGTGTGCGAGCTTGGTCGTTTTGTGAAGCCATTGAAATGGGTTCTTGCTCTGGCTGTCGTGTCGATACCTCAAAGTCTCTCGATGCTTCCGAAGAAGGATATGCCGCTCTAGGTGCAAGCTGTGGTGAATGCATTCTAGCTGGTCTAGATGATGATCTTTCTCGGGTAATTTGTGCAGATTCCTGTTCATACTCTCGCTCAGGCCTTCTGACTCTGCGACTTTGGTCGTTAGGTGTGGGCATTGTTGACGATGGCATTGCAACGTGTTCCGATTCTGATTCGTGCGTCAATTCCTCAAAACCTCTTAAAGTTTCTGATGATGAATACTCGGTTTTTGGAGGCACTGTTGTTGAAGTCATTGGTGCAGGTTCTGCCTCATACTCGCGTCTTCTGAGCCTGCGAGATTCGTTGTTCGATGCAGGCACTGAAAGGGGCTCTGTCTCTACTTCTCGTGCCGAGGCTAACTCTCCAAAGTCTCTCGGCGCATCATTTCTCGAAGTATCGGGCAAAACAGGCGTTATTCTAGGTTCAAACGATGGTGAATGCATTCTAGCTGGCCGAGAAGGTGACTTTGCACGAGAAACTGGCGCTGGGTCAAAGTTATACTCTCGCGTTCTAGATCTATAAAGTTTATTATTCGATGAGGGCATTGGATGGGGTTCTGATTCTGATTCTTCAAGGTCTATTAGCACATCTGCCCGAGGGGCCGCTCTGGATGGAATCGGCTGTGATCTATCTTGAGACATTGCCGCAGGCAATCTCGCAGATCTGGGTGGTGATCTGCCCCGAGCCGGCGCAGATTCCCATTCGTAGCCACGAGGCACTTCACGAGGTATTTCACGGCCGCAAGATTGGCTGCTAGATGAAGGCGCTATTCGCGAGGACGTTTGAATGTGTTCTTGTTCTCGCCCTAATCCCAACTCTCCAAATCTGCTCGACGAATCTGAGGAGTGATACACCGCTCCAGGAAGTCTCGGTGGTGATTTACCCCGAGCCATCGGCGCAGACTCCCATTCATACCCACGAGGTATTCCGCGCTCGCGAGGTTTGCTCTCCGATGAGTTCTTCGCCGATGAGGGCATATTAACAACCTCCACTTCCAGTTCTAGCTCCAGCTCCAGCTCCTGTGCCGATTCTTCAGGATTTTTTGGGGCACTCAATGTTGGAGATGGTGCTTTGCTTGGCATGACCGGTCTAGGAAGTTGCTTATCGCTAGATTTTGATGCAAGATCTTGTCCATATCCAGGGGGTTTGGCCTTGCGAAGTTTGTTTCTGGGTGGAGGCATTATTTGTGGGAGGATTTCACCTTGTTCCGGCTCAGGCTCAGGCTCAGATTCTAACCTGTGATCTGTTTCTGATTCTGGTTTGGCTTCTGATGTCGGACCTCGTGCTTCTACCAGCATTGTTGGTGGCATCCGCATAGGTGCTGGGTCCGGAGCAGGCGCTGGAGTAGGGATTGGTTCTTGCTCTTGCATAGGCATATGCATTGGCTGAGAAGCTGGAGCCGGGGCTGGCATGGGTACATACACTATTTGAGGAGGCGGGGCTTGCGGTATGGGCACGTACACTGGAGCTGGAGCTGGCGCTGGCGCTGGTACCGGTATCTGTGCTGGAGTTGGCGTCGGGGCTGGTTCTGGCTGCGGAGCTACCTCTCTATCATAACTCGCACGTTCACGGGGAGCTTCACGAGGAACTTCGCGAGGCATTTCAGGCTGCGGCTCTAGCGCAGCTTCAGGTTGAGGTGGTGGAGACCGCTCACGATACGAGGGCGGAGGCGAGGGCGTGTGAACAGATCTCTCTGCCGGCAAATTAGGAGGTTCATATGTTGTTCTACTCGACGAGAGGGATGCAGGGCCACGCTCAATCACAGGTTCTGCTGCTCTTTCTTTCTCCTCATCATCTCCGCCGTCAACAGGAATCAAGTCCTTGCTCTCCTCCGGTGCAGCTTTGACCGATTCGTCGGCATGCCCATGTGCTTCCTCTTCATGCTTCTCAACTTTCTCATCACCCATTTCGTCCTTCTCATCATCATCATCATCACCACCACCACCAACCTCTTTCACCCTAGCCTGGTCCTGAATCAGTGCAATAAACGGATTCCTCGAATCCGCCGACGGATCAATAACAGCAATGACAGCCAACCCCATGTTCCCCTGCCCAGCTTCAGATTCAGATTCAGCCAACGCTTTTTTTCTCTCCTCCTCCTCCGCAGCAAGACAAGCCTCGATTTCCGCCAGACGCTTCGCCGAAGTCATTGAACACACATGATTCACACACTCAAAATACGGATCATCTTTGTTATACAAATCGTGCGCACTCGCCTGGTAGTACTCGGCGGCACAACCGTGCAGGTCGAAATTGGGCACTACCACGTTTCCCGTCTGGAAGACGCTTCTTGTAGCTTCGTTTCGAGTAGTGGAGGCAGAAGGTTCGTTGTGATCAATAGTATCGTCAAGGTTACTACCCCAAATTCCGGCGCTTCGGCTTAGAATAGTGTCTTGATCCTCGGGGGTGTCAGGCGAGAAATGCGATTTTTCAGGCATCGTTACCAGATCCTCTTTCTTCTCGTCCCACCAGTTCAGGCTACTAACACCAGTGCTAGCATAGCCGTTTTGCGGTGGTGACAATGTTGTGTACGATGTAGCCGACAAAGGAGGATTGAAAGAATGCTGTCCGGGAGACAGCAGAGTGGCTGTCCTGCGACTGCTCACGGTGCTCGAGCGACTCAACAGCGGAGACAGGAGATAGGTCCACCATCCCTGGGATCGGTGTCTGTTGGCATCCGTTGTGTTGACGCTTAGTTTATGGAGGACCTTCTTCTTTTTCTTGTCGTTTTCGTTCTCGTTGTTTTCATCGACAGATAATACCGTCTTCTCTCGGTCCTCCACTTCGAATTCAGTGTTTGTAGACAGCGGACGCTGCTCTTGTTGATGTTGGTGTTGGTGCAGAGTTGAAGTATTTTGAGGTGAGAAAATCTGGTCCGTTGAGTTATTCTGATGGTGAACTATAGAATGAAAGGCCGGAATGGCAGGGACAGGCGGTATGTCTTCGTTAGAGAGCAGGCGAGGAGACGGCTGCGAGTAGACACTCGATGCAACGCGAGGATGATGCAGCATCTCTGGGCTGGTGCTCATATCCACGTCCTTATGCAAGTGCCACGGGGGTGTCTCCTTTGCAGGCGTCACGAGAATAGAGGGAGTCGCGGGAGTGCGCGAAGAGGCACTGTCAACAGTGTCTCCTCGGGGTGTTGAGTCGCTGTATGGCACCGTGAGACCAATAACGATAGGCCTATCTGAAGGTGACAATTCCGAGGCACGCAGCTTGTCCCTTTGCGATGAAGCGTTGTAGTGTTCACGGTCATGGCCATGGTCATCGTGCCCCAAATCAGCGGCAGTCATATTCTCTCTCGATCGTTCTTTCTCGCGAGCCCTAGCCATATCTTTCAAATCACTCAGATCAACGAATGCATACCCCGTATCCTTCGCGTCACGATTCATGTTACGGTTGCTGTTAGCATCAGCATCATTCACATCCCGAGCAACAACAGGATGGATCTTCTTCTTCTCAAAGCTCGTCAACAGCTGCAACCCAGCCGGGCGACGATTCTTTTCCACAATCCCACTTCTTCTTTTGTCTCTATCAATATGATTCAGCCGCGCTTCCTGTCGCGCCTGCGACAAATTTGCATAAAGTGTCCTCTCAAACTCGTTCCTACTCAGCGGCGAATCGGAGCTTGGATTCACAGATCCTCCACCACCACGCGCGGAAGAAGACGAAGAAGAACCCACAAGTTTCGGCACAGACCGTCGCTCGTTGTCATTACCTGAATTGCTGTCCCCGGATAACGAGTGCTCCGGACTGGAAATCTCTTCCGTGATGGGCGACGAAAGCGGGAATTTGGGCAGTTCAGGAGGCCTCAGGTTGATGTCGATGCCTCCTCCAACGCCAGGTTTTGTGTCGATGGTGAGGTTCATTCGTACCCTTTTTGAGGTTGTTGGTCTTTTTTTTTTCTCCGTCAGAGGCGGGATAGCGTTGACAACAAGGGAGAGGTAGTAGGAGTGGGAGATATGTCAGAGACAAGAGTCAATAGGAAGATGAGACAATAGGCATGTATGTAGTCAGACAATAAAAAAAGTAGCACAACGAACAAAGAAAGCACCAGGCTTTGACTCGAGCATCACCACAATCAATTATCTACACGCACGATGAATATGACAAATGAATGACAAATCTGCCAAAACGTCAAAACGTCAAAACAGCAGAAACGATCAGACAGACAATGCAGATGCAGGACGCGGATGCAAGATGGGAAGAAGTAAGATAAAAAAAAACGAATTCACGACGAGAGAAAAAGAAAAGAAAAAACACGAGCAACAGAGGCATAGACTGATCCAGCCCATCGCGCACCCGAATAACGTTGAATCATCAAGCTTGATACTACTACCATCCAACCCATCAATCACAACAAAACCAGCCCGAAACACCGACAAGAATAGCAACAACCAATCTGCACACAGCAGTAGATCACGTAGCAGCATCCTTCCGCACACAGCAACGCATCTCCGACGATTGGCCCAGTCTAATTTCCTCAGACCAAGCTTCAGAAAGAGACGGGGGTTTAACAAGGTATAGAAGAAGGGCGCGCACACCGCAATGATTGGCCAGCAGAAGATCTGCGGACGGTTTTAAAATAGATGCTAAATCGGAGGGCCGCGGCCAATAGCAGCGCGCAGATGCAAGTTTGCAAGTTTATTTTCTGCAGTCAATGCGCGCTAAACTGTTTTGGGTATGAAGCTATGACGGGCGCTAACCTGATATGTGCTTAGTCTAGTTTTCTCCATGGCTTCTTTTTGTTGCTATTAATAATTGATTCTTCAGTTGTTTAATCTTGTTCTATGTCATGGATGACTACTCTGTATAAAGCAAAGCAAATGTATAGTTATGGCATTAGATGTGTCATAGACACTCAAATACCGGCGTTATCAATTCGTTATACTTGAAATGACATGACGAAGCATAGCTGTGAAAGAAAAATCGTGACCAAAATATAGCCGTCGAGGATATCAGAGTAGGTATACGAAACCCAGAAAAGAAAAGTCCAGAAGAAAGAAATAAAAGAGAATGAAAGTCCATAATACATGATTCGCAACCCCGCCCATGATTTTTGTCTTTTTGTACATCCAGTGATCGATCAACCCACCACAACTCCGGAATTGAATACATGACTCCCAGAGGTACGTGAAGAATAATGGAAAATAAAGAGGCAAAAAAGTAAAACATTACAGATGACCACTGTAGGTTATGTATAATCTACCCAAACGAGAAGAGGTAGACTTGCTAATACTCTTGGCGTCATCGTCTATCGGCGCTCTTCGGTATATTGAATCCCTTGCATGGCCGCCACCGACCCATTGATAAGCGGCGGGAGGGTCCGTGGCTGCTCGACAGCCATCCCGGAAGCATAAGTGGGATAGGTCGTGGACTGAGGCGAGCCATTCGATTGTGACGACGACGCCATGGGGTGAGGGTCATACATATTCTGCTGTCGAGATTTGCCGTTGACTTGCTGCCCGCCAAGCTGCGCTCGCAGCTCCTGCACCTCTCGTTGCAGGTCGTTGTTTTCGCGTCGTGAAGTCGTCAGTTGCTTCTCCAAGGAAGTAATATAATCAATCGCTATAAGAGTTAGCAAGGTCGAAAATTGATAGGAAAAAAAAAAAAAAAAAAAAAAAAAAACAAAAAACATACCTCTGGTCAACGTCTCCCATTTACTAGACTTGTTGTTCTGGCTCTGTGGCAGTCGCATCCGGAGCATTTCAAAACAATCCTTCATCTCACTTCGACGCTTGCGCTCGGCCAGCTTATGCGTGACCCGCAACTCCGGCGTCCGGCTATACGGAGTAGCATTGTTGGGAGACTCGGCATCTCCTATAATACCGCGCACTTGTTTGTGCTGCAGCGAATGATGATGTACATTCTGCGGCAACTCTGCAAGCTGTCAGTGGCTGGAACAAACATGCGAAGAACAAAGAAAATCATACCTTGCTGACCTCGGGGTAATCGAGAATCGGTGGAGAAAATACTACTATTGAGCGATTCGGCCACGCTCCCCTTGCGTGAGAACGGGCCCTGTGGTGTGGTCGCCTTGTCCTGAGAGGTGAGACTCGAACTAGACCGGGCAACGTCAGGATCTGGAAAGGCGTATGCCATACCCGCTGTGGGAGCCTCGGCATTGTAGATCTCAGATCGAGGATTGGATGAAATAGCAGGGGCGGTGCGACCCGAAGGAAATCCACGCTGATCGCCGCCGCGAGGCCCTAATGGAGATAAAGGTTGGGCTCCGTAGCGAGGCCCCCGGAAGCCATTTGTATTTGTGTAATCATTGGATATGCCGCGTTCTCTCTGAAGCCCTGACACTATTGACGATTGCGACGCATTAGTGCTGTGGTAAGGCGACGTTGGGTTGATGGCCAGAGCGCTGATGCCTTGATTCATGCGGCTATCGACGCTGCTTCGCCTTGACTCCGGCAAATCAATAATACTGTTTCGGTGTGCCGGCGCCTCAAAATTCTGGTTGATTGACGGGAGCGTGGAGGAAGTGGCTTGTGAGGTAGCGAAGGCGGGGGTAGGGTTGGCACCGGCTGGAGAAGGAGTGTTGGAGTGATCCTGATTCAGTGGCGACCGTTCTGAAACACCAGAGTGACGACTCGGAGATGGTTGTTGGGATGAATTAAGAAACGATATAGGATGGTAGTTGCCCGTTCCATTCGTCGTCTGTGAGTATGTAGACGATCCTATCTCGTCAGCATGCGATGTCGTATTCAGCCGACTGACAAAGAACTCACTTGTACTTTGCGGCATAGACCAATTGCCCGAGTCCCGCTCGAGCGTGTTCATAGAGCTTGCTGGCGACTTTTCGCCAGGCGGAACGCTGACGCCGCTCATGCTAGCGGTCAGCGTAGAAATCGAAGGAAGAGTCTGGGTCGTCGTGACCATAGGGTGTGCCTGTAGCCCAGGTTTGACGTCCTCCCATGGACGATGCGCAACGGAGGGTTCCATTGTGAGAAGAGGCGACTATAGCTTCAATTGTATGCAGTAAAGGCCTATCTCATATTCCGGCTGAAGCGAGATAAACAAGCCTTCAATCGAGACTGGACGCAATACAGCAATCCGCTCTGTTCAATGTGCGCAATCACGTGGACGAGGGCGTTTGCTTGGGTCGAGAGTCGTACAAACGACGCGCAAAATCGAAGCGAGTCAGTTGAGCAAACGCGGAATGTCCTCCATATATTCTCGCGAGACACGTGAAAGTAAGCCGCCGGGGGATTGCGAGGAAGAGGGGCTTTGAAAAAAAAAAAAATAAAATAAAATAAAATAGAAGCGACCACGCGAGCGGTGCTCTTTGGTATGCGTCAAGACCCAAGGCTTTGGGTTTACAACGGCGTGAAAGCCAGGGTCGACACACAAGGAAGGGATGGGTTCCGTCGGTGGCGGTTCGTGGGCGGAAAAGACAGGCGCCAAGTCTTGCAGATCAAGGAGAAGAATCGGCAAGGAGGCAGACACGCAGCTAAACAATGATGTAGTACCTATTAGCATTTATTGTATGGCGAACGCAAGTGGCAGCGCGGAGGCTCTCTTTGAGAAGGAACGCCTTTGTGCACCCACACACACACATACACACACACACACACACACGCACCTGTTGTCCGTTGGAGAGTAGATGCACCTAATTCGGGCACGCACGCGGACGTGGGCTTGACTGAAACGAGGTCAGACGAGACGGGCTATAAATGTGTTGTTGTTGTATGGTATATGAGACGTCGAATTGCATGTATGTAGGGTTGACCGGTGGCAGGAAAAAGAAAAGAGAGGAGAGAGAGAGGACAGATGAGAACGAGAGAAGAGTCGGATGAAATAAGAAGGGAGGGACAGGATCAATGATTGATCTGATGTGAGATGCTGGATCGATAGTGTGGTGCTCGTTTTGCTCCGTGGAGAGAGACCTTTTTGTTGGCGGGCCCCTTGGTGAGTCAAGCAAGGACAAGCCTTTGTTTTTGGAGGGGGGTTTGGTTTTTTTTGTTTTCTGGTTTATTGATGTGAAGACTGGCGCGAGTCAGACAAGGAAAAGGAGAACGAATGGCGTGTGGCAGGCTGGCGAGAAGAGCGCGAGCAGAGGTAGACAGAGAGTAGCGAGAGGAAGACGTGAGGAAGGATTGCCAGGCCGATTTGGGCCATTACTCTGGCTCAATAATGGATCTGCCCACGTTTTTTGGTCTTGCTTTTGGTTCGTTTGGGCCGCGCCAATCAGCGCGCCGCTGCGGGCCCCACTGGTAATGGGTGCGCGGCGCCTTGCCACTTGCAGCCTAGCGCGCAATAGCTTAAGAACAAGACTGAAGAATCTCCTTCCTCCGCACGGGCAGAGCTGCCATTCGACGGACGGGGCGCGGGTGCAATGGGTGCACGGAGGAGTCGACGGTTGGTACTCTGGAATGTATGCGCCTGCCTCGCGCGGTATGCGTAGTATACGGCGTATCGCAGCCAGGGAAAAACACATGGCGGCGATGTGGCCTCCTCCAGCATCGAGACGCTCAGCCACGAGGTGCATTCCGGGGGTGTATCCGTAATTGTGCTGTAATTTACGGTATTGCAAATTACACGTTTATTTGTCGGAGGACGGAGCATATTTCTGTCCTGCGGCTTAGTCATCGCCACAACGGGTTAGCTCGTTAACTAGTGTAGTCTCGATTCATGCCCTAAGTTAACCAAGTCTATAACTATAACTAGTACTAGTACGCCGTAGCTAAATTGCCATGTCGATCTGCTGGCTGACTCAGAATCTTCTCGCCTTCAGTCCTTGCATGTCCGTTGCACAGCGACTGTCAGTACAGCCCGAAGACAATCATCCCAGGCCGCCTTGCTGGGAGAAAAAAAAAGAAAAAAGCAGACACCCGGCGTCACTGCAACTTCTGAGAAAAATGGCCGTTTGCCGACTTGCCTTTTTTCACGTGGCACTGGCTGTTCGGCGAGACCACGGAGCAGCAACCAAGCTGCATGCTTAGTGGCTGTTTACTATGCAGTAGCACGACGGGGAAAGTCTGGATGGCTGGATTGGGCAATGCCAAGGGCTGCTTTTGCTCTTTTCTTCACTGACATGCTCTCGTACTATATAATCTATGATATACTCCATAGATATTAATGCAGCCAATCGCGTTGGAATTCCTGGCGTGCGTGGTCCGAAGACCACCTGGCATGTGCTGATCCATGTGCCTTGCTCCGGTATGCAAGGATCAGGCTACCATTGTACTATTTTTGCTAAGTCTGGATTGACTTCAATATATATTATAGTATCTTAGTATATAGTACATGCTTTGAAGTCTACCAACACATGGCAAGGTCTAGTGCAGATCATCGTGCCCCTCTATTTAGTACGGAGTACGTAGTGTTATCGTCCCCGCCAACGCCAGTTCCATGACTACGAACGCCTCGCTTGATCCTGACCAAATAGTGGGGGGAAAAAAAATAAAAATGAAAATGAAATTAAAATAATTCAAAAGATCTATCTAGCCGTGCCGTGACTATCATTTCCCATGGCATGCCGTGGTATCTATCACGCACCTAGGTATAACGGGAGTACGACAGCCAGGGTTACTTTGGCAAATTCTGATCGCACAGCCATCCGTGCTTTGTAGCTGCAGCGAAAGGAACGGTGCCATTTATTCATTTACAAGGAATCCGAAGATCTGCCTGCGTAGTACCCACGGCGCACTCCGAACTCCGTGGGTATGCGAGTGGAGATTGCTTCGAGACATGGCGTGGTAAGTAAGCACTAGCCATCACTAACGAATTAACCTTCTCCGTGGGTGAATTTGAAATCGAAGCTCAAGCCAAAGCCAAGTCAAACGGACCTCGGTACTCTCGGAATCGCCGTAATCCGTACTCAGATTCGATAGCCTGACTGACCATATTCGAACTGCTAGCAAGTGTGCCAATCTTGCCGGCCTCATACGGATTTCGACTGGAATGCCATCCAAGGAACCCAGGAATGTGCGGTGTATAAACTATGCACATACAGCACCATAAATCCATGGATCGCCGTGGATTCAACCGTGCACGCTGATTGTATGTATGTATGTATGTGCGGCCAACGTTGAAATATGGGGTATGCTTATTCTTTCAGTCGATACGTAGCAGGCAATTCTTCACGAATTGCCGTCGGTGTGGAAAATATCAAATATAAAATAAATAAATAACTCACAATTTAATCCAGCCATCGATGTTCGCTGCATTCGACGTCGTAGCTTGTCGGCGTTGGCGCATGCTCGGAGCATACAGCTGCATACATATCCCTGCTGGCGTCATTTCATACTTGTTCAATTAATTTATATGCGGTCTTTTGATCTTGAATTACACACGGGGTAACTAAATAACTTGTTGACTAACTAACCCACCGGTGATTATCAATCAAACGGTGCCTGAGATAACTATGTCGGCGATCAGTTACCTATCTCCAGGCCTCTTCTTCTTCAAACAACGTCTCCTCCTCCTCCTACTGCCTATCTAGGTAGTAGGTAACAGGCTAAGTCAGAGCTCCGACAGACGTGTGTAGTCGTGCTACCTCTGCCGGTGCAACTTGGTGTTTGGTACATCTAATCGGGTACGTACCAGGAGGAACACCACATTTTCGTGTAAAGCGTACATACTGTACACCGCAAATCGCAACCCTCATCCAGAACTGGAAATACTCATCCACGATCAGGAATTGTGAGCGCTGCCAAGCCTGGCTCTTGAAGAAAAGGTAGGGACGTAAATACATAGTCGTATATGTACTGATCGACGCTGCTATGCGGCAATGCTACCTACCTACCTGTATAGATAGATGTATATCCAACAATGTCAGACAACGATACCCGTCATATGCACGCTGGCTCAAATTCAGTTCTTGGCTGAATTAAACGAGTGACTGACTTAGTAACTACTCGTACAGCGCTTCAAATGAATTCTGGGCAAATTTGTCTCACGTCCAGCCAGTCAATCCGTCAGTCAGTCCGACTTGTATAACATTCCGTAGACAGGCATCCCTATGACCATGTGTAACGTTACTCCCGGAGCACAGGACAGGATGAGAGCTGTCCACATTATTGTTATGTTTATTCTATTCTACAACTGCTATTGTTGATCGAGACTGTCGGTCTGAATGTATACCTTTGACCCAAAAGCCCGAAAAAAGACAACTCATCCAACGCCGAATAGGCATGAGCCATATGGCACGAACAATGAAGGTTTGCGTTATGTCCAAGGATTAATTTCTACCAGTTCAGACCTAGGATGAGCTGAGATAACTCTCACTCCATAGTTAGAACACCAACACTTTTGCCTAGTTTACCTAGGTACGAGAGTCTACTAGAAACCACCACATGGTGAGTTGCCACGCGGCCATGCATATAGAATAACTTTGAATAAATTAGAATACGATCAATAATGGCCCGATAATATACATATAATTGCGACGAGATATACACTAAACAAAATGAATACGATGTCGGCTATGCCTTTTGGCCCCAAAAGATGGGGGCTGCTTATTGCCTACCCACAAGTTTAGCCCTATATCAGGACTCCTATGTACATTAAAAAAAAAGCCTTGCACATAATTTACTCTTGATCATTCTCATCTTCTTCTTCTTCATCATCATCAGCAAAAACAACACCAACCTCCCCCGTAATATCCCATCGATCCCCGCGCGCAGCCGCGCTCACATACTTGACAAACTTGAGCGTGCCACTGTCGCGCAACACAATACTCATGCGATTCCAGCCAGCCGCCATGCTGAAAAGAATTCCATCGTCGTCGTCATGCGCTGCTTTGTAGATTGCCGGGTCCGACTTTTTGGATTTGCGGTCCTCTGCGCCTTCGTTTGCATCGTCGTCGTCGTCTTCTTCGTCATCTTCACCGGTCATGTACATCTCGTAGCCGCCTACGGACGGATCTTCGCTGTCGGTCTCTTCGGTAGAAGTAGATGTCTTTGCGGTCTTAGCACCTTCACCTTCCTCCTCCTCGTCTTCATCTTCGTCTTCTGCCTTCTCCCAGCCAGATGTCGGGGTAAGACCAAGAGTAAATTCCAACCGCGGCTCGCTGCCCTCGTAGCTACTGGCCAATGTGTAGTCCTGGCCACGTCGGAATCTGCGAGCTAACAGATTGTGATCCGTTAGACGGTCTGCGCCCGTGATCAAAGTGAGCCATTTCCGGAAGGGCTGCGATGGCAAGAACTCATTTAGTAATTTTTGTACGGGCGATACACTATCTTGCTTGGTGCTGGCCGTAGTAGGTTGCTGGAAGACATAGCGATGCTTGTGAGGAGGACGAGCGACTTTCCAACTTGTGCTTGCTTCAATATCGTCCGCGGAAGCCGGCAATCCTTCCTTCTCCTGCTGCTCAATATACTCTCGGACCTTGCCTGCAAACTTTTCCGACAGCACCTTCTCCAAACTAAGCGAATAGTCGTTGGCGAATGTCTCCGAGATCTCCTCGGCAATATCCGGAGTCAAGTACGACGGCGCAAGGAATTGTAGCAAAAAGTCCAGATCAGACTCGGTAAGTTCGTCGCCTTGATCGTCATCAACAGACTGTTTGGCTTTTCCTTTTCCTTTTCCTTTGCCGCTGTCCGAAACAGCCTCGGCATCCCAATCAACCGGCTGCGGCTGCGGCTGGTCATATATATCGCCTCTACCTTGGAGTTGGGATAAACTGCTTCGTTCGGCCAGTTTCTCCTCCAAACCAGGCTCGTACCCCTCCTCACCTTCTTGCGGGATGTGGAACCAGCCACTTATCGCCATCCGCACGCGTTTCTCTTTCCCTTTATCCTGTTCTGACGGGTGATAGACCTCCTCGACGTCATGAAAGCTTTCGCCGGGCTGCACAGTGAAGAAACTCAGCTGATTGAAAGCCGGTGGAATCGACAAGCTAAAATCCGGGCTGGGTATCTTGATCTCGTCGCCGCCTTTGCTCTCGTCTCGAACAGTCTTGGTAGGGTACAACCGCAGTGCGCCACCCCATTCGGGCTGCCATGGCGTGTCCGGGTCCGTCAAATACAGAATATAGCTTAGACGTCGACTGCCAATAACATCGTCGTGGCAGAGTAAATGGCAACCTTCCGTGTAGATGGTAATAGCCATATCGGTTTTCTTCCCGCTCAGCTCTCCCGAGCCCGTCAACGAGGACAGATACGCGCGGAATTTGGCGGAGTATAGCGCATCGCGCAACTGCAGCAAGGACGGCAGTCGTGATAGCGAAGCATCGTCCAGCCCGTCGAGGTTTGCCAGGTCGCCCGACTGAAACGTTTTGTAGATATCGGTTTCCTTCTCGGTGAAGGAGATTTTCTGCTCGATCTCGTTGCGCACGGAGCGTAGAAGGTCTGGCGCGATTAATGGGGATATAACGCCATGTTTGTAGCTAGCAATTCACTCAGCCAGTAAGCATCCGGTTCGAGATCTCGATAAAAAAAAAAAAGGAAAATAAAAAGACTCACGGTCCTGAGCTTGCATAGCTCTTGGTATATTTCTCCAGTTCTGCCGGATCGAACAGACCCTCGCGAAAGCGTGCAGCTACTGCGTCGTCTGAGAGGGTTCTTTTCTTGGACTCATGGTGGCCATTTGATTGGTGGGTATCGTCTGTCTTGCGCTTCATGTTGGTGGTATCTATCTACCTGAGGTCTCTGTTCAATTGGAGTTGTTGGGGAGTGTACATGTTTTTTTTTTTTTTTTTTTTTTTTGAATTACTTTTTCAACGACGGATTCGTCCTTCACCGCCTGCCGCACGCTATCACCCGCTAACTCAACGGAACTTCTTGTGTTGCACAATGAATCCCACCTCCGAGTAATGGCAGTTCATTGATATAAACCTGCACGACCTCTCTTTCCTTCCCAAAAAGGCCCTTCAAGATCTCAAAAGCCCTGATGTCAGCCTCCTCATCGCCAAATTTCGGAATCACCAGTCCGCCATTTGGTAGATAGTAGTTCACGTAGCTCATAACTGGAGACCATCCACTTGCAGTCTCGAGTGCTTCCATAGATTCCTCGTCTAGGTTCAAAAGAGCCATGTCAGGTTCTAGAATGTCGATAATCTCAAGGCTTCTGCCTTGGGCATCTTGTTGATTGCACAGGATATCTTTCGTCTCTTCGTATACCTTCATCCATACTGTCTTCGCCCTGGGCCCTACAGGTCGACTGAGAAGCACAACACCCGGCGAAGCAAATCTCGCTAGAGCATCAACATGACAGTCTGTACTATCGGCATTCATGACCCCAGGTAGCCAAATGATTTTCGATACACCCAGGCACCGTTGCAATTCGTTCTCGATGTCTCCCTTGCTCTTTCCGGGGTTTCGGTTCTGGTTGATAATGGAACTCTCTGTTACTAATAATGTGCCCTCACCGTCAACCTCCAAAGCGCCTCCTTCAGCGGTGATTGATGCTTTGACGCGACGAGTTTTAGTGTCTTCAAGAAGTATACGCGCAAGACCGGCCGTCGCTGCAGTGACATGCCGACTTCCCCAGCCGTTGAAGTTGAAATCAACCCCAAACAGCTGTTGCGTTGGTTTCTCTTTTTGCTGGCATATGGTAAATGTAGGTGCAATGTCTCTCATCCACAGATCCATACCATCCCCCGGAACCGAGTGAATTCGAATCATGTGTTTCGTCGTAGATGAGTTGGATTCGAACTCTGAGCGTGCTTCATGTACCCGATCTTGACCAACGACCAAACTGACTGGCTCAAATCTAGAAATTGCCCTGACTAAGCTAGACACCTCGTCCGTGGCAGCAGTCAATGATGCAGAGGTCTGGAAAGACGCGTTCTTGAGTCCAGGCCAAGCAAGGATACAGTGAGAGTGACGAGCCCATTCTGCAGGTCTGAAAAAAGACAATGTCGTGCGGCGTAGCACCATCGTGCTCGTCAATTAGAAGAAGGCAGAAGTTTTGACAATTTGAGGAGCAACATGAAAGGACTAGGTTTTGAGGAAAGGCAGAAAGTTCAAACAACATAGGACATAGACATAGGAAACAGATTGTTAAAACCGCCCCTCACGTTGCCTTGTTGAGACGTCTCTGTTAGAATATTTCGAGGCGAGAAAGCTGACTCTCTATTGTGTACATTGTATATATCACCGGGAGATAGGGGAGATATATCTACCTAGCTCGCTAACTCAATCTAGTAAGCGGAGGCTGACAGCAGATGTCCCAGATAAGCGAACTCACTCTGTTATCTTCTTATTTTATATATTGTTCTATTCGAGGAGCTTCCCGGACACGCTCATCACAAGGCATGATACGTTTTTGTCGACCGTACCGAAACTTTCTATCCAGGAGAGAGAAGGCTTGGGATTCGCCTAGCAGGCGGATCAAGTTCCAACAAAGTCGTGCATGCATTGGAATCGCCGCCGGGTTGCGACACTTTCAACAAGTCATCTGTGTATGCCAAAATCGTCTTGACATATGCCACTCAATTGGGGTTGCATACGCCAGGATATGAGCAGGAATATTCAAAGGATAAAGTAAACTCCTCCGCAGCCCGCAGTTTAGAGCGATCCATGTGGTGTACAGCAGCAGCAGCTACAACTTCAGCTGGATTCCCAGTTATTAGCTCAGACTTCATCGCAAGAAGCCACGCTCACAGAGACTGCGGATGACTGCGATATTTCTGCACAAAGTGGTCCGTTCGGAGGAAATGGGAGTTGGGGAACGGTTCTCGACTCGGATGTTGACCCTTTGAAGAATTTGACCAAAACGCCATCGAAGACTGGGGGTTCTATGGACTGACGTGAGACAGCAACATGAGGGCGGAAAGGTGGTTGATAGAGTTGTATAAAAGTATTGCAAAGATGGCAAAACGGGACTTCATATTCAGTCCTTGGACTTTGAAGCACGCACAATATACGAATCATCAATACCATCTTCAGCTGAATATAGAATTGTCTACTTAGCGTTACCGTCAATATAATGGGACAAGACAGCACATAAGGCTAAGACAACAGCGATCGTGATCGGATGGGTGATTATTGCTCGACTTGCTTCCTGGCGCTGTTTTTACGGTGAAGTCGGCTGTCGGCCATTTTTTGGACATTCTCGTCCACTACAGCAGTGTATATAGACGTATCACACGATGCTGGATGGAATAATTGATTCTAATCGTATATGCAATGTTTCTGTTGAGATTGTATTTCTATATCTATTCAAATATTTATCACTTCTCATTTCGAGTGGCCCAGAAACCCGCGAGCGGACAACTCTAGGGCTAGGCTAGAGTTTAGGGCAGCGGCTCACCCTTTTGGTCTCTCTGGGAGGTTCTTCTTATATCGTGGTATGATAGTACCTAGTGGAAGTATCATACTGCAGCAGAACTTCTGTCTCCATCTCATCCGCATCTATGACAACCTGTCTCCAAAGACTAACTTCATATGTGTCTGCCAACGCCCCTGGCAGGACTATGGCGCATAGATAGCGTTGGAAATTTGCACTATCTTCCTGGCCCTCTTTATTCTTTCCGACCTCATGTCCGAAAAAGTCTCTAACGCCTTCCCCCACTGCCTGCTGAGGACATAATATGACAGCCAAGTTGTGCTTGCTCTGAAACTGCAGTGCAAAGTCCGCCGGGGGATTCCACCGGACTACCATTCCAGGTCGAATGCGTTCTTTGAAAGGCACCAAATGTGCTCCAGGATGGACGTCGCGGCTTGATCTAAACTTGTCGGGCCATAACTCTTGGGATTTCCTGCTGTCCTTCGACGAGTCTGTCGTTGTGGTGCTGTGTTGAGATCGAATGTGCAAATCCCACAGTTTAGAATGGAACGCCTTGGCCTGGCCATCTGTTACTCCATCTGTTTGAAGACAGCGATGTATGAATTCTGCAACCGGTAGTCGGAGGAGTTGGAGACCAGATTCATGCGGCGCAAGAACGGCAGGGGATATTTTTGGAACGCCGGACTATTTAAGAATATTAGTTCGTGGCGTGGTAAAAGGAACAGTATCACACTTACTTCAGCCTCGATATAGTTTTTTATATCCTTATTTGTCCATGTCGTTGGTATATTTGGATCGAATTCCACCTGTTTACGTTTTGGCGTAACCACCCTCAACATCTCTGCATACCGAAGCGTGTTTTTACTGGCTGCAACATCCAAGAAGCTGGGATTAATGCATCCCAAAACGACAGTTTTCGCACTGAGGCTATCATCCGCAGGGTCAAATAGATGCTTTAAAACTTTTGTCAGTGCGCTGCGGCGAAATGGGATGTATGGTCTTTTAGATGATGATGATGATGATGATGATGATGATGATTTTTCGGTTGCCACCACAGCGTCTAGTGCTGCCCTTTCGCGTATGCAGTCCTTGAGAACAGAAAGACTGATATTAATCTCTCGTGTCTCTTTCATGCGATTGGCGGTGTGTGCAGCTACATCGCGGGCGATCTCGGAACCCGCGAGGTCGACAAGATACAGAATTCCATCGTCTAGGGAGTCTGGCGATGGGTTCTTGACTCGAATACGACAGATGGCATGTGACCGTGAAGAACCGTCGTTTTTTTCTGTGCTAGCTGTGTGTCGAAATGAAGAGGCACGTTCAATCAGTTGCAGAAGCTCCGAGGCGCTGTTGACGTGAATATCCTGGACTCCAACGAGCTGCGTGTCACCGAATGAATCTTCGAGAATTGAAAATGATTGACGAGCATTCAAAAGATCTGATGATAAACAGTAAGTTAGCCTGTTTCAGCCCCCCCC